AGTGGTCCCTCAAAGTGATGTGTTGGATGAATTTAGTTAAGTGGATTGCAATCATAACATTATTACAAAAAAGAGCCACCTGTGCTTTGGTGTAGGCGTGAACTGAGAGAGTTTGGAACCAGGTAACAGCCAGGTGTTGATCCTTAGCTACTTTGATCATAGGTCAGTCAGCTTCTCCCAGGTTTATTGCTGTGAAGAAACCATGACCATGGCAACTCTTAGAAAAGAAAACATTTAATGGGTTCTGGCTTACAGTTTCAGAGGTTTAGTCCATTATAATCATGGCTGTAAGCATGACAGCATGCAGGCAGGCATGGTGCTGGAGGAGGAGCTGAGAGTTCCACATCTGGATCCACAGGCAGCAGGAAGAGAATGCCACATTGGGCATGGCTTGAGCACCTGAGACTTCAAAGCCTCCCTGGTGACATACTTCCTAACAAGCCATACCTACTCCAACAAGACCACACCTCCTAGTAGTGCCACTTCCTGTGGACCTATGGGGACCAGTTTTATTCAAACCATGACAGCCTCTTTCCTCACTCATAAAATGGGAGCAGGGCTGATATATATTTGTGAGACCCCAAATATCATCATGTATCATTACTTGTTTATTATTTTATTCACTTACTCATTCTTTATTTACCCAATTTATTGTTATATATTGAATACTGTTTTGGATATCTATTTCTGTGTAACAGATCATCCCCAAAGTTGGGGTCTAAAATGATAATTTTATTATATTTCATTTTTTTAGCCAAACATTTAGGCATCTGAATGGTTTTCTGCTTTACATGGCTCCCACTCATGTTACTCATTTAATTGGTGGGCTGGTTTGGAGGGCAAATGACTCTTCTGATTGCTATCTTGTTGGAGATGGATGGAAAACTAAGCTGAGGTTGTTAGCTGGAGTACCTGCATTTGGCCTTTCCAGCATAGGAGAATTCGGATGGCCATGCCTGTTAGATGGAATGCTTGCAGGCCTTCAAGAGAGTGCGCAAAGAGACAGGAATTTAAAACTTTCAGGCCTGGGCCAGAAATGGCCCATTGTTTCGGTTGCAGTGGTCACTACATCCCTAAGCATTAAAAAGTGGAGACATGGGGTAAAGTCAAAGAGTCTATGACTCTCTTTAATCTGCTGCAGTAACTTCTGTATGTATGGTGCCTTTATAGGGGATAGAGTTTCAGCAGTAAACAAAATATGATCTGCCTTTATTGGACTGAAAAAGTTCACACTGTATTAGCAGTGTATTCATAGAGGGAAAACGTGTGTAGTAGGAGTTGGAGGGAGGGAGGTTATGAAGATTGGAGTGAAGTGATAGATTTGCAGGAGGTGAGGGACAGCTGTGAGCTGCAGGCATTGGGTAAAACAATCATGAAAGTTAATTTTGAGTACATGCCTACTATGTAAGAGCCGCAGCAAGACAGTTAGTTGCCAGCACAGGGCTAGTGGAGCAAGCAGGAAACAGAGAACAATGAGGTAGCCAGCGTTTAGTGGGGAGTCTGGTGGGACTCAATACATCTGATTTTGAGAGCTAGGGAGCTCACTAGGGAGCCTTTGGTGGCCTGTGACTCACTATGTAGACTAGGCTAGCCTCAGATTCAGAGTTCTGCCTGCCTCTACCTCCCAAGTGCAGGGATTAAAGACATGCACCACCACACCTCCATCAGAAGTTTTGAAGATTAAATAGATTAACTATTAACTATTCAGTGTCTGGCACATGGTCTGGGTCCTGATATCTGCTGGCCCCAATAGCTTGTGCACCATTGATCCTGAGTGTTGGAGCATCCCAGGTCCTCCTTATTGCATAGACAAATTCTCAGTCATATTTGCTTCTCTGGCACCAGTGCGTATGTTCACCCTGGGTAAAAATAATTGCAAGATCCCAAGGAAAAACTATGATAAAGTCCTGTTTGTTGGACAGGCGAGTCCTGCCTCTTCTGTAATAGCTTTAGCAAGGGAGATGTACCTGATGGGGAGCAATTGAATCTGTGCTCTTACGTGTACACACACCTTAGGTCATTCTTTTTTTTTTTTTTAATTTTCAATTTTGATGTAATTTTTATGTATGTATGTGCTTTGCATGCTTATGTGTCTTGCACTGTATACATGGCTTGAAGCCAAAAGAAGGCATCAGATCTCTGGAAATTGAAGTTACAGATGGCTGTGAGCTGTCATGTGGGTGCTGGGAACCAAACTCTGTCCTCTAGAAGAGCAGACTGTGCTTTTAACTGCTGAGTCATCTTTTCTCTAGCCTCCTCTTAGATAATTCTTAAGATATCAGGTTTTCTTTGAACTGCTCCTGAAAGTATTGTTATTTCCTAGCTGGCTGTAACAGTTTGTAGTAAAGGGAAAAAGAGAAGAGAAGAGGAGAGGAGGGAAGGGGAGGAAAGGTTAGAGGATGGGAGGGGAGGAGAGGGGAGGAGGAGATGAGTTCCTATCAGCTGTATTAGAAACTAATACTGACAGAGATGTGGTCCTAATACTCCTAATTCTTTAATTATTGGAAGTTTTTTAAATTTGTTTTTTTTTTGTCATTTATTCTGTGAAAAGTCCTCAAAATATGCATAACTTTTGACATAGAAATCCCTCTCAGAGCTTTTCTTGAAATATTAAATCTAAAATTGTAATAAAAGACACCCACAGCAAAAAAACAAAACAAAACAAAACAAAAAAAACAAACAAACAAAAAAAAAAAACCAGCAGCAAACTGTAATGGTGTGTTATGTGGAGGATCAAGTAGTTGGAGACTGTGAGGATACAGTACAATGAATTTTGCTATATTTGTTAAAATTACTAAATGAGAGGATTGCGTAGAATTATTTTGTTTGTTTGTTTGTTTGTTTTTGGAGACAGAGTCTGAGCCAGACTCTGCAGACCTAGCTGGCTTGGAACTTGCTCTGTACACTAGGCTGGCCAGATGTGATTAAGCTACCACACCAGCTTTTCTTTTTTATTTTTTGTATGTCTTTATTGTTTAGTTACTGTATGTTCTTTGTCAGTCATGGTATAATACAATAAATAAAAATGGAAAAAGTCCAAACCAGAGTTAAAATAATGTGAAAACCCACTGCAGGTGTGCAAGGTCTAAAAGAACCATTCACAACTTGAACATGGCTTAAGTTTTTGGCAGGACTGGCTCATTCCTTTTTATTCTATTACTGCTGTTTTAGTGTTACAGTGGGCTCTGTGTCTGGATTCTGCATCCACACATTTAATCAAGCTTGAGTGGAAAATTGTGTCTGTATTAAACATGTAGAGACTTTTGGCCATTCTTCTCTAACCATATTATTTGACAGATGTGTACAGCATTTGTATTGTTCTAACTATAGCATTTGAGAATGTGGGTAGATTCTATGCAAATATTATACCATTATAAGAAGGACTTGGGTATTGCTTTGGGTATCCTTTGGAGGTCCTGAAACCAATCCCCCAGTTGACACTAAGGGACAATTTTATGTGTAGAGTTTTAAAACAAACATCTGACCAAGAAAAAGTCCTAACTCCTTCCAGAACTGAATTTTGGTTTACTGTTCAAAGTTCATGATGGGTTTGTGATCTGATTTTGGATCTGACTCATCTTACATCTTAGATTTAAAAATTTTTTTTCTTTTGTTTCTTCCAAATATTTGAATCTTTGATTTGGTGATTGTTTACAAAATGTTTACAAAAATTATCTGATTTTATTATTTCTTACTTTATAGGTGAATATCCCTGTAAAAATATAGTTGTTTCTTACCTAGTTGTCATGAGGGGCAGTTTATGCAGGAAAAATTAAACACAAAAATATTCACAGAAGGAGTTCTAGACATCTCAGAAAGCATTTAAATTCATGTTGCAGCTACAGTAGGTTAACACAGTACTGATTTACAATCTGCTCTAGAAGCCAGAAGTCTGAAACAATATTCAACAAATTCAGGTGTTCTTAGGGTTGCATTCCTTTTGAAGGCTGCAGATTCTGGAGGCCAACTAATTTCTGGACCTGTGGCCCCTTTTCATCCTCACTGCTGGTCATAGTTATTAAGATGTCTTCTGCTATCTCTTGCATCTTCAAGGGCCCTTGTAGTTACATTGGAGCCACCTTGGTAATTCAGGATTACACATGTTCTTTAAAGTCAGCTGATAAAGAGCCAGAATTGTGTTAACCTTTATTCCATTTTTGTCATTTAGGAATAGTAACATCTCTAAGGAGCATTTATTCTGTTAGAGCAACTAAAGTGTTTTTTTTTTTTTTTAAGTGGTATTATGAATTCATGGATTTTCTGACCACCACTGCACATGTGTATATGTGTTGTGTTGGTGAGATTGTGTATAACTTATTCCTGTTGGTCTGCATTGTTTACAGTCATTTGCTTTTCTAAACAGTCAACCTCACAAAATCAACCTCACTAGCACTTGTAAGCAATCTTATTGTATATTGTCTTTTTTTTCCCTGTCTTTTAAAAAAGTTCCTACCAAGAGAATTTGTGTGTTATTATAAGTTCTCTATGACCTTTTCTGATTACTTGTGTTATAGAATGGGGTAAAAGTAAAAAAATATTTTAAAAAACTCAGAGAAAAAAAAAGAAAAAAAAAAACCATGGAAGACCTGTTGTTGCTTTGTTTACGTGTTCTCTCACTGTTCTGAGGTGTCCACTCAGAGGGTTCCTCAGTTGGATAAGCATGCAGGAAACAATCAGCATTGCATTATACACACAGCTTGATTGTCTTTACTTATCATTGTGTTTTTAGAAATATTTTATTCTCTATAATTTTCTCTTATTTTTCCCCTGTTTTAAGCTGTTTGGTTTTCTGGTTTTTCACCATTATGAATAATACCATGTGTGTAAAGGCTTTTCTAAATTTATGATGTTCTGAAAATTGTTTTTTGTAAAACTCTAAATGAGAAAGAAGCCTGTTTTTGTTAGATATACTGATCAGCTTGTTCTTATCATAACTTGGGAAGCGAAGTGGGGAAGAGATTGTCAAGTTAATTCCATTTTTATTCTTTTTTTTACTCTAGGACCTTAGAAATGAAGTTGAGAAACTACGCAATGAAATGAATGAGAGAGAGAAGGCAGTGGAGAAGCATTATGAGAGTCTTCTGGGAGAAAGCAATAGAAAGTTCCATACTCAAGAACAAGTGGTTAGACATCCAACAGAAAGTACTAGCCAGGAGGACCTGACGCTTCAGGTGCCATACCATGACTTTTTCCTTTCATATGTAAATCTGTCTGTGATTTAGTAGTTTATTCTGAGCTCTTACAAGAACTTTTTCTTTGAGACAGAGTCTCATGTAGTCCTGGCTGGTCTCAAACTCACTGTGACACTGAGATCACTTTAGCTTCTGACTTTACTGCCTCTACCTTTGGAGGACTGGAGTTTGAGGCCTGTTCCATCACTACTACTATAGCAGATTTCATGGCTGTACTTGTGCCACTTAGAGCTATTAGCCTCAGCCAGTAGGAGGGGAAACAAGGTCAAAGAAGGGAAATGTTTAACCTGGTCACATGATAAACAGTAGAGCCTGAGCTAGATTTGCTCCTGTGCCCAGCCCGCTCACTGGGGGCAAGTACTTTAGCAGTGCTCCTTCACTCCTTTGCCCATTTCTTCTCCTGTTTAGTTTTGGAATTCACTTCTTACTGGCCACATAGAAAATTTTTGAGATTAAAAAATTTTGAATCTCAATTCAGGTAAGTGTGGTGGGTTAAATCCAGGTATTTAATGGTGCCTCCTACTACTGAAACTTCATTAATACTAGAATGCAGGAATAGGAAAGTGTAAGAGCACCGTACAACAAAGCTGTGAGTTAACAAAATTTTGGGTGTTATGTGTGAATGAGTGGGAAGTGCACAGGGTTCAGTTTTGCTATTGTGGCACATACTAAAAAAAAAAAAAAAAAAAGGCCAGTAACAATTGAGCTGGCATAGGCTACATCCCAAGAAAGGTTCAGCAGACATAAGATGTGACCAGTACCTTTGAAAAACAGGAGATTTAGCTGGGATTCTAGGCAGGTATAGGTGACCCTCTCTTTCTCTCCAGCAAGAGATTTCTGGGGAATGTAAAGCAGAAAATTGCTGGCCTGGGGGTCATGGGAGGCAACTGAAAGCAGAAATGGCAATGGAGGGAATGAAGTGAATGAAGTGTGGAGACCTCAACCAAGAGATTGGCACTCCCAGAGGTAAATGCCATGAAAAATGCTGGCAGAGGAAGTTCCTTCATTCAAACAGCTGGTTTTCACCTGTACATCTTCCAGTAAGGCTACTTTTGATATGTTCATTTCCACATTCACAGAGTTTCTGAGTGCTTTTAGTGTTTAAAAGGTGAGTGACTTAAATTTAGCAAATGGGAGAAAAGTGTTGAAGACACAAGACAAAGGCTTAAAGAGAATGGAAGATACATAGGAATCAGGCCAAATGGCTCATGCCTGTAATCACTTGGAAGCACTTGGAAGGCTGAGAGAAGAGGATCATTAGTGTAAGGCTAGTCTACACTGCATAGAAAGTGTCAAGCCAGTCTGGACTGTAGAATGAAACTCTGTCTTAAAAAAAAAAAAAAAAAAAAGTATGTATTAGACATGGCAACAATAGAGATTATATAGTATTTTTAAAACTATAAAAATTTGACATCAAAACATAAGAAATAAGATCAAGACCCATACAAGAGATGGTTCTGTGAGCATAAGTGCTTGTTGCATAAGCCTGGTGATCTGAGTTTGATCACCAGAACCTGCAGAGAAGTGGAAGGAGAGATCTGATTCCACATAGTTATTCTCTGACCTTCACTAGTACTATGGCACACATGCTGTGACACACATACTCAAACACATACACACGCACAGAGAGAGAGAGAGAGAGAGAGAAAATAAAGTAAGATCGGAATCTAATAAAAACGATATCTAGAAAAGAATACCATGTTGGAAATTTAGTGTATAATTGCTGACTTAAAACATTTACAGTGGAAGAGTCAGAAAGTTTAAGATAAAAGTTGTGTAAGTCAAAAAAAAAAAAAAAAGTTGTGTAAGTCTTCCAGAAAATGGGATTAGACAAAAAGATAGGGAAAGTTAAAGATTAGAAATCAGAGGCATGGTTCAAGAGGTCTAAAATATGACTCACAGGGGCTTCAGGAAGCAAAGTAGGTGACTCCGTTCCAGGTATCAGGAGGGTATGGCTCAGAATGGAATGACAGCTGTCCCTGCATGAGGGATGAAGGAAGACCCACAGGCTGAGGTATTTTGATATTTCAGAACTTGAGGATAAAGAAAGGATCTGAAAGGCTCCAGAGAAGGGGCCAGCATAGACCATGGATGAAGAACTGGGCCTCAGGATGACATCAGAATTCCCGCAGCTGCTTTAGACACTGAGGATATTCAAGTGATGCCTTCAGACTCTGAAGAAAAGTGATTTCCAACCTAGTGTTCTGTCCTCAGCTAGCTGTTAGCCACTGTGAGAGCAGAGCAAGGTCTTTTCATATGTGTAATGTCTTAAATTGTCTGTCTCACATGCTCTCTGCAGAAGGTTCTTGGCAGAGAAGGAATAAACCAGGAAGAGATGAAGAATCCAGAAAGTAGAGGTCCTAGATATGCTGAAGGGAATTTCAGAATGACAGCTGAACTACTAAGTGGAGAGCCCAAGTCTGGGCCTCTGAGGGAGGATGCCACCTGGGACTCCTGGGAAACACGACAGAGATGATCAATTACTGATGTATTTGACTATTGCAAGGGACTTTGCAAATTTTTTTTTTCTGAGAATTTTGAGAAAATTTGCAGTTTGTAATAATTTTATGAACTAAGTAGGCAAATAGAATAGAATAGTACTAATTCCAAGAATTCAAAGAACTGAAAATGCATGGCTGTGTAATCATGAATGCTACATTGCTTGGCAGTATTTGTGTGGCTACAATGTAATACAAATATTGTTTCAACTAGTTATGATAGAATTGTTAGGAGAGATCTTGAAGTGCAGATGGCTGATGCAAAAGCTAAATGCCCACACTCGTCTGGTTGGAGTCAGTTGGTAAAATTGAAATGTAAGAAGTCAAGGAGAATATCATGTTGACACTTGAAGTCAGAAAAGAAGTAGCGCCTAATGAATGCCAAGTTGATTTTGCTGGGGACTGAGGCTTTGAGGTGAAAACTGGGGAGGGAGTGGGCTACTGTTTTCTTGTTAAGCCTTACAGTGTCGTTTGCTTGTTCGAAACATAACAGTGATGAAGGTGCAGTTGTGTGAACGCAATTCTAGAGAGGTGGTGTTGGCCTGTTACAGTTCAGTGGGATCTTACAGAGAATTGTCCATGTCTTTTTTGTGGGTGCCAAATTACTTCTAAATGAGTGACATGTTAAATTTTTTCTGTACCATGCTCAGGAAGTAGAAGAGGGTCTTATCTCTTGGTTTCTCACAAAGAGTGAACAAAACCTGGTTTAGTAGTAATCACCAGCTTGGGAATTTATTCTGTGCTTGAACTTGACCAGACACCACAGATGCAGTCTCCAATGCATTGTGTTATTAGAGCCAGGATGCTGAGAGTCCACGAGAAACATTGTGTGTCATGGAGAACGAGCATCATGTATGAGCACACACTAATGCTACTTTCAGGCTCAGCCTTTTCCCCCTAATACATGTGGGTGGATCAAGTTTGTAGTGTCAAGGGAGACTAAGACTTTATTGGATTTAAACATATAAACTCTCTACTCATTTGACATGTTGACTGTGTAGGAAATAGACCTAGGGCTCATTCAGTGAACAAGGTAGACCTAGGGATGGAACCAGTTCACAAAGGACAGTCACTGTGCTGAGTAAGGGCAGTTCATGGACAGTCATGGTTCTCAGCCACCTTGCTGGCAATCTGCCTGCTTTGACTCAGTCATAATATGCAGATGAAATTGCATCCCAGTTGTGTAGTTGCTTAATATTTTGGGATGATGGAATTATTTAGGGGACATAAGGACTTTGTGACAAAATATCTCCCCTAAAAGAGTTTAAGAAAAAATCTCTTAATATTCTTTCCTTGATGAAAACTTTCTTATGATTTGTTTCATTTCCTTAGAAATCCAATGAAAAAGATTTGGAAGCAATACAGCAGAACTGTTATTTAATAACTGCAGAGGAGCTCAAGTTTGGGAGCAATGGCTTAATAACAGAAAAGTATTCGCAGCAGTCACCAGGCAGCAAACTCATCTTCTCCAAGGCAAGCTTGACTGAAATTGGCATTCACATGTGAATGTATTCATGGTCTTTTCTGCAACTTATTTGATAAGTGCTTTGATCTATGGACTCTCCAGTGCCTTCGTGCTGGTAATTGAGCTTACACCAGGTGGGAGGGGAAGGGTTTGTCCAGCAACTCTGCAAATTAGTATCCTCCACCCAGGCATTCATGTTGGCTATGCACGGGAAACTGAGAAATCCTACCTTGCTGGGAGAAGAGCCTGGTATCTGTTCCATCAAGAGTTGTCTCTTGAGAAATGTTGGATTCTAAGCAGTAAGAAAGTTGCCCTGTTGAAATGCTGGTATTTGCTCATCTGGCCCCGCATTGTTGGTCTAGTCTCCATTGCTCTAGATGCATTGTAGAGCTTGCTGATACCTGAAAGCACTGCTGGTGTCTCCATGTGCCTTTGTATAATTATGTCTGTCCACCTGCTTTGATATTTAGTTTATCTTTTAACTCATAGTATCCCTGCAAACACCTGTCTAGGATAACCTTCCCTGACCCCACAGCACCGAACTGGCCCCTTTTGGAGCACATTCTTCCTTTAGTTGCTGTTACTGGCTCCATCCTTCTGCTTTTCCTCCCCTGTGCCAGGTGTAGCACCACTGGCAGACACTTGGGTAGGAACTGGTGCTTATCTCTAAATCCAGTGCTCAGCTGTATACTTGGCTCTGGATATGTGCGTAAGTGATTATTTAAATGAGGCAGTAAGGCAGCCTGACCTACAAAAGAAGAGATGTTGAGTGTAGGTCAAGTTTTTTAAACCTTTTAAAAATTAGGCAAATTAGTTCTCCAATGAATGGTTGATTGTGATTTGTGGGTTTGTGAATGGCGTTTCTCAAAATAATAAACAAACTGGACGCACAGGTATTGGCCAACAGGACAGATGTAGGCCTTAGGCTGGTGTAGAGCTGGAGGCTGTCCTTGTGCCATATCACCCTGCAGTTATCCAGTTGTGGAATGGATAGTTAAAGGCCCATGGGGATGAGCCAGAGTGGCTGTGTGGTTGTAGTGGATTGGTAGGCGGGGATGTCTTTTCCAGTAGGCACAGAAGTGTTTTTGCAGACAGTACCTTTATGGTGCTGCAATGACAGACCTGATCCTGAGCATGGCTGGATGAACAGTGAAGCTCCTGTTGGCTCTGGCCATTTTGTGTTTTGGTTTCTGGAGGATCCTCATGAAAATGTCAGCATGGTTGAGAAGGAGCCCTTGTGTTGCCTGAGAATCTGGGTTCTGGACTTTTCTTCTGTTTCTGCCATTCTATTTACGGCAAATCAAAGAACTAAGTCTTAGCCAGTGTTTTGTTTTTTGATTTGCACCAAAGTTAGAAGAACTGTTGAGATGCACAGGACCTCTAATAAAGTGGCCTGTTTTGCAACTAGACAGTTTAGGTCAGGTAGTGTCCTGGCTAATTTGACACAAGCTAGAGTCATCTGAAAGAGGGGAATCTTCCTGAATTGAGAAAATAGCCCCATAAGATCCAGCTGTAGTATGTTTTCTTAATTAGTGATTGAAGGGGGAGAGACCAACTCATTCTGGGTGGTGCTAACCCTGGGTTGCCTGTTCTGGGTTCTGTAAGAAAGCAGGCTGAGCAAACCAGTTAGCATCCATGGCCTCTGCATTGCCTCCTGCCTCCAGGTTCCTGCCTTGTTTAAATTCCTGTCTTGGTTTTCTTCAGTGATGAACTACAAGTGCAAGCCAAGTGGAAGTATAAGCCAAACAAACCCTTTCCTCCCCAACTTGCTTCTGGTCATGGTAACATGACCTGTTTCATTGTAACAACAGGAATTCTGACTAAAACAGGTAGTTTAGAGGGATACATCTTCACTGATTTACATGGTTTAGTTAATAAACTTTGCTTTCATGATAACATTTTAGTCCTGTATGGTTCATTGAACAAAATGTTTGTAATTTTATGAAGCAGATTGAATACTTTAACATTTATTTTATTTATTTTGTGCTAAGTGATATCTGGCCCTCATACAACCACATGTACCAAGACATTGCATGGACATTCGGCAGTGTCCATATCTTGGCCATTTTTAAATTACTGTGCAAAATGCTGAGGTCTTGGTGAAGGTTTTAATTCTGTTGTGCAGGACTAATTGCAAACTGTGGATAAGGAATTGTAAACTACACTTCAGAATTGTAAATTTCTTGGTGTCAGTTTAAGAACTGGTTGTTGCAGCCTTACTGTCCTCGCTCTATTCCCTCAAGAAAGGATTGCTTTTCAAATGGTTGTTCTTTCTGTGTAGAAAACATGGATTTCTTCTGCTATGCCCTTGGCCATTTTGTGTTGATTTAGGATTTATCCTCTGCCCATTTTTATAAAGAGCTCAAGGCTACGGTGTTGATTGTGTTCTTGCTAAGCATTGTGTGATCCTGAGAATTAATGATGATCAGGAAACTGAAGAAAAATGGTGACGCTCCCTCGGTATATGTGACTTTACCACAGTCATGATTTCTACTTTGGTTGTTGAGGTGGTTGGGATATGCGGCTGCATTTTGTGAGTATTGAAATAAATGTCTTTGTTACAGGGTTGTGACACAGCTGCTGAAATAGGCCCCATCCATCTACCAGGTCACCAAATTGCCCTGATTAGCAGGAAGTGATGCATTAAGCCTTCTCTTTAGTGCTCTGCTGTCTCTTCAGATTGTGGTCTGCACTTTACACGTGTTTCCTTCAAGTCATTCAGGAATCGGTGGCAGAGAGAATGTGCCCTTGCCCTTGTTGGGTACAGGATGTCAGTCATGCTACTTAAGATCCCTGGCATTTCACAGGTCACCAGATCTCTTGGAAATGTGCCTTCCTGGTCTTTTTTTTTTTTTTCCCCTATTATTGTTATTACAATTTATTCACTTGGTATACCAGCTGTAGCCCTCTCCCTCATCTCCTCCTGGTCCTAACCTCCCTCCCTTTCCCGCCCCACCATGTCCCTCCCCTAGTCCACTAATAGGGGAGGTCCTCCTACTATCTGACACTAGCCTATCAGTTCTCATCAGGATTGTCTGGATCCTCTTTTTCTGTGGCCTATTAAGGCTACCTTGCCAGGGGGAGGTGATCAAGGAGCAGGCAACCCAGTTCATGCCAGAGACTGCCCCTGCTCCTCTGACTAGGGAACCCCCATGAAGACTGAGCTGCGACAGACTACATCTGAGTAGAGGATCTAGGCCCTTTCCATGCATGGTCCTTGGTTGATTCATCAGTCTCTATAGGCCACCCGGGCCCAGACTTTTTGGCTCTCTGTTGGTCTTGTGAAGCTCCTGTTCCCTCCAGGTCTTTCTGTCTTTTCCTTCTTCCATAAGATTTTCTATATTCTGTCCAGAGTTTGGCTGTGAGTCTCAGCATCTGCTTCAATACCCTGAGGGGTAGAGTCTTTCAGAGGCCCTCTGTGGTAGGCTCCTGTCCTGTTCCCTGTCTTCTCCCACTTCCAATGTCTATCCTGTTTTCCCTTCTGAATAAGGATTAACCATCTTCCCTAGGGTCCTCGTTATTGTTTAAATTCTTTAGGACTCTAGATTTTAATATGTTTATCCTATATTATATGGCTAATATCCCCATATAAGTGAGTATATACCATGTGTGTCTTTCTGTTTCTGGGTTACCTCACTCAGGAAGATCTTTTCTAGTTCCATCCATTTCCCTTCAGATTTCATGATTTCCTTGTTTTTAATTGCTGATGGTAGTATTCCACCTTCCTGGGTTTTGAAGCAGATTCTAATCTCTCCTGAGAGGATTAGGAATAATGGAAACATGATAGTAAGTTTCCTCTGTGTTGGATGCTCCAGAATCCATCATAGAATAGTTTGGGTTCAGCAACCACGAGGAGCGACTTTGGTTGGGGAAAATACTAGAGATTCTAATAGGTACCAGGTAGGAGGCTCTGGAAAAACTGAGGGAGTGCCATGGACTTTGAGAACAAAAATTCTGGGCTCTGGGCTCTGAGCTCTGGGCTCTGTTTTTGACTTAGTGCAGCCACTTCCAAATGGGTGCATGGTTTCTCTGCTAAATCTTAGAATTCACAAGAGAGAATTGTGCAGATTTAACTTGGGCCCAAAGCCTTGCTTACAGAGTTGTGTCTGCCTTCTGTTCTGTTTCAGGGACATTCTGATTAGACAGAATAATGGTGAGCAGGGTGATCATTCCCAGGGCTTTGGAGGATGCACTGCAGAGCCACACATGGAGATGTGTACCATGTGTAGTGGCAAGACTATGTGTAGAGAGACCCTCTGTTGAGCTGTTCCATGTTTGGAGATGCTGGTGGAGGGGGTTGATGGCACCTGCTCAGCGGGTGGGTCTCATTGCCCACCATCCTCAGGCACTGTAGCTTTCCTCCGTGCCAAGGAAATCTACTGGCTGTCAGCTCTGCTGAGGGAGCCAAATGACTTCATTCTAATGGGGCATGAGTCAGCGCAGGGGAATAGGTGATTGATGAAATGGGACGCAAATGGCTCCGAAGAGTTCATTTATTTAACATGGGTGAGCAATTTGCTTCTAGGAAGACGTTGACTCACTCTGACTTCCATTATGCAAAATATCCACAGGAATATCTGCTCTTAAGATTCATATCAGTCCCTGTGTTCTCCTCTTACCTATTTAATCATCAGTTCAGCGAGTGTTTATGGCAGGACTTGATTTGTGCCAGACACCAGGCCTGGTTTAGGATAACTGCTTTATGCGTTGCTCAGACTGAACAGGTGGTTGGCACAAATGCTATGGGTGAAAGTGGACAGATGCTTCAGGGTCAGAGAAGGGCATATTTCTTGGTTAGAGAGGGCTTCCTTTGAGATTAGGAAGATCCTATCTGTGGAGTGCACTGGAGTGCGGCAAGCAATGTTTCTCTATTTCTGAAGTCTCAGAGTGTCTTTGAGACTTGGGGATGCATTTTTGAGATCCCTGGGATAGAAGGTAGGAAACAGGAATGAAGACTGAAACTAAGGTGTGTGGTAGCCTGAGAACCCTGGTGAAGGGCTGATGTTGTTGCCAGCAGAAGAGGAGAGGGGAAGCTGAGTTAGGCATTGGGGCCTTGACATGGTAGTACCTTTCCCAGTCGCTCAGAGCCTGACCTACTGAGATTCTGTCTCTCCACTAGGATTCCATATATATTTTTACTCTATTTCCTAGGCCTTCTAGGTTAACTTTGAGTTCACATACAAGTACATATCCCAACTTTATTGATTATCAGTTAAGTGGACTCAAATTACAACTGAACAGTGGGAGGATTGTTATAGTGCCCCATATATTATAACTCCATGGGATTTTTATGGAGTACCTAGCACAGCTGCAGAGCATTGAGATGGTACTTAGGGCTGACACCAAGTGTCCACTCCATGCCAGACACCACTCATTGATTCATTCATTTACTTTTTTTTTAACCTCTTGAGGTGATTATGGATGGGCTGAGGAATAGAGACTTAAGAGTTCATATCATCCCTCATGATCCCAATGTTGGGATCGCCCTCCCTGTCTCTTCATGTCTAGAATTGGGGGAAGGGTATCACCTCTACAACTGCGTTGTATTCAGATTCAGCGAGAGACTCCTTTGAGTGCATTTAGTATAGCAAGACTTTATAATGTCTTCATTAGCTGCTAACAGGACAGGCAGAAATGGTATACAGTGAGACAAGAAACAATGAGGACACCAAAGACTTGATGGCTTTCTTTGTCTTAATGTCCTGTCAGAAACTAACGTGCAGACAAGAGCTGAGAGAACCCCATGAGGCACTGTTGTATGCAGAAGCATTTAGGAATACCTGAGCCAGAGGTCTGTGACATGATTTGCAGAAGTTCTGCATATCTGCCTTGGTGACTAGCATCTCATGCCTAGCTTGGTGGCTTATTGTTCCAACCTTGAATACATAGCCTAGGGTTGATGAGCTACTGAGGCTGCAAGGATAGCCCTGTTCTCCCAGGTTAGGGTGCTTAACCTTTTCCTACTGCATTACTTTAGCAGTCCAGCTAAAGCCAAAGACCTATGCTCTAGAAAAAAAAAAAAAGTGTTTAAATGCACAGAATTTATACATGCATTTGTTTATGAAATTAACCAATATTTTGAAATTCGGTTATCAAAGTATGAAATTTTGCTATAGAAATGATAATTTTATTTAATGTATTTAAATAACAAAATTTAGTGGTGCCCATACTGACCACAGTAGCTTTGAAGTGGTAAGAAGAATGAATGTTCTGAAATAGTTTTGGCTTTATTTAAGTTAAATATTTAACATTCCTTAGCTGGCAGTCATGGGCTTAATGCTCATGTGGCTTGCGGCAACTACAGTAGAAGAAAATGGTGGTTTATGTTAGAGGTTAGAGAACTTAACGTCCAACTGTATTTTCTGGTTACATTTGTGTATCTTATATTGTCCTTCTGTGTCTGGCGGTAGAGTGGGCTGTTGCAGGGTGCCACTGCTGTACTTTGTTTCCTGCTGCTGAATTGGAGATTTACATGAGTGTTTCTACTGCTGACAGGTCCTGGACAGGAACAGAGGAACCCCTGGAATAAAAGGTTCTGTTTCAGGAACGATTAGCTCGCTTAGGACGAGGCCTGTGCTCTAGGCCAGACTCCCTGTCTAACCAGGGGAGGTTTTCCATTACAGTTAGTTCATTTAAAATATGATTGCTGGTACCAGAGGGCAGTGGAAGCTTCGACATTCTGAAACCTGTGATGATACTGCAGTGTTACAGCCCTTCAGTTAAGCCTCTGTATTAGTGGCAGGTGTGCAGGTAAAAGCCCGAAACCTACTGGAAGGCAGGTCCGGTGAGAGGCAATTCTGCATACAGGTGACTGCAAGGTGGTTGACTGGTTGGCAGCTAAGCCCTGGGCAGGCAGCCAAGCTCAGGCATTTAGCCACTATTCTTCAAGGAGCCCTTCCTTCCCCAGAAGTGAGTGAGACCAGAAGTGAGGGAGCATTTATTTCCTAAATCAGGGACTTACAACCTTTGGGCAGTGGGAGGAGTTTTGAGGGGGTTCCAGGGATACTTGATTTACATGTGACAAAACTGCCCTATCATAAGAGGAGGAAAGCAGTACTTAATTATTCTATGGCTGTGGCAAGAAATCTCACAAAGTACACTTAAAGGTCATTGGTTGAAAGCCACGACACTAGGACATCTTATTTTCTTAGGGTATCTTATTATCTTGTTTCCTGGAATTCCCAATTGCTTGCTGAACTGGTTTCTTATCCTGAAAGGGTTCGGCTTGTAACCTCTCTGAGGGCTATGTGAAGCTACTTAGGAGATATGGAGTTCCCCAGATCAAGTGGATAGGGAAGGCAGCTGAGAAAGGGAGTCCCATTTTCATGTACTTAGCTCAGAGTCTATCTGGAAATGCCAGACTTCGATCTTATTAGCCAGCTCCCACACTCTATGTTAGTAAGGTTGGGAAGAATGTCTGTGATTAGCAGCCTTCACTTTTTCAGGAACTGGATATTCTTCTTAGCTTTTGGACAGTACCTGCTTCTGGTTGCATACTGCGGGTAGGCTGTATACATTACCTCAGTCATTTTAACATATATTATTGAGGTATTTTGAAATTCATACAAGGTCCATAAGAATAAAACAGTTTACCTTTTCTGAGAGGTCTGAAAGTTACCTAAATGAAGCCCTGAATCCTATAAGCAGGCATTCCTGTAGCTCCTCTAGCTACCACAGCAGGAAATGAACATATCTACTTTCTGTCTTCTAATCCTTAGGCTTATTCGCAGTTCATGTATCCTTCTCAGTCATGCTTTGCATGAAGGTCCAGTTTGGTCTCCCATCTTTAGATTTAGTTAGTGCATCTTTTGTGGCAGTATCGGTTGTGATGTTGTATTCATACTATCCTGCTTTATGCTACACAGTCCTTGTGTTTAGTTTAGCTGTGCTGGCGTTGATAAATTCACAAAGACCATGTCTTCAGAGCTTCAGACTATCCAGTTGTTGTTGTTTTTTTTTTTTCCTCTGTAATAAGATAGAGTTTGAGGGTAGTGTTTTGAGTCTGTAAACAACCTGATCTTAAAAAGACTCACCCTCTAGTTTTAGCATCCTTTTATGTCTGTTGGCTGAAGTGTTTACTACCGTGATGATTGCCAAATGGTCATGTTTTCCAGTTTCATCATCCTTCCCACATGTATTAATTGCCATTTTACTATAAAGAAAAGTCTCTTCTCATGTATTCATTTGTATCAATTTTGGGTTTTGTGAATTCCTATCTTAATGTAATTATTTTGATGTTCAAACTGTCCCATGTTTGCTAACAAGAACTTTTAGAAAATGGCCTTTGCAACTTCTAGACAGCTTCTCATTATTTAGGTTTTTTTCTTAATCTTTTATTAGCTTTGTTGGGTTATAATCACCATCAAGTTTTGGCAGGTGGTATATAGTTAAGTGTCACCTGCTTGCTTAGCATGTACAATTCCCTGGATTCAGTCCTTTAGAACTAGTAACACACACACACACACACACACACACACACACACACACACACACACACGCACGCACAGTTATGGTATACAGTTCAATATTTTGATAACTAGTGTGAAATAATCACTGTTATCAAGATAATTATCATATTCATCACCTTGCAGTATTACCTTTTTTCCTTTTTTTTTTTTAAGAGCATGTTCAAAATCTGCCTTTTTTTTTTTTTTTTTTAGCAGATGTCAAGTATGTGGGACTCAGTTGTTTACTTTGGTCATCGTGCTGAGTACTACCTCTCTGGGACTTGTATAACTGAAACTGTTTGATGGCCTCTATTTCCCCCTTCTTGCAGAAGCCCTAGCAATCTTTGCTCAGATCTTAAAGCATGTGTTTTTTTGGCACAACATAATGATGTTGACACATTTTCTTGTCTTTGATTTCTTCTGTTCGGTACTGGGGTTAGCTCTTTCTACAGATCTCCCTGGTTCCTTAACATAATTTATTCTAGTCCTCTGTTTCCACTAGGTGTTAGTCATTGTTGATTGTTTTTTTTAGGAAGGAATGCCCAAGCTATTAATAAGAAACGTTTCTAAATCTCTAAATGCTAAGTGGCTGCACCAGAATTTGAACTTGAAGGCTAATTCATGTTTGTGAATGCTGATCCACAAAACTGTTCCCCATTTTGTAATAGAGGTGCTAAGCCTCATGGGGTTGGCAATCTGCTTTCCCATGGCTGTACTGATAAGGCAGTGGACCAGTCCAGCCTCTGTCATCACTCTGTTCTGGATGTTCCTCAGTTGACCTCTTCTGTCCTCCTGTATGTCCTTTGTTTTAGGTCTTGCTAGGTTTTAGTTTGTGAGTTTTTCTGTGGAGCAGCAGCAGGTGTGGCAAGACATTGCTTAGTGTCATGAATCAGAGGCGGTAGATCTGAGGGGGTGATGGGTGAGTCAGGTGGCTTTGAGATATTTCACAAACAGCTTTTGAGTGTTGGGAGCATGACTCTCTACTTTATGTTGAGTTGTACTTAGCTTTATGTTACTATAATGAAATGCACAAGATAATTAACTAAAAAAGGGAAAAAGGATGTGTTAGCTTATAGTTTTGGAGGCTGGAAAAAGCAATGTTTTAGCTTAGTTTTGGAGGTTGCAGCGCAGACCTGGGTTGATGAGTTGTGTTGGGAAGGCAATAAAAAGAACAACTGGTGGAAGAACTAACTCACTTCTGGCCTAGGAAGCAAAAGAGCTAAAAAAAAGGGGTCCTATAGTTCCTCTTAAGGGTATACCCTCAGTGATCTGAGGACCTCCCATCAGACCCCATGTCTCAAAGCTTTTACCACCTCCCAATAGCACCATCCTTCATGGGCCTTTGGGCACTCTGCAGACTGCCATTCCCCTCTCCTCCTGAAGGTGGTACTGTGTGACTGTGGTCTGAGCCCAGGTCTGGCTCAGAGCCTACAGTCTGTGGTTTTAAAAATCCAGAGCTAGCCACATATCTTTGCATAATGGCAAAGCATATTCCTTGGCTTCTGCCCCTAATGTCAGATGCCCATTGTAATTTCCAGGAAAAGCAACAATCAGACTATGAAGAGCTGACTGGGAACTTAAAGACAGACAGGAGCATCTATACCCATTTGGCAAAGACTTTGCAGGACACAGACAGGTAAGTGTTTCTCTTCAGACATCACAGCCACACCAACTTCCTGCTTAGTACTTCAGGTTTCTGAGCCCCATTAGACATAGCAAGCCTTCAAAGTAGTTAGCTGGTGAGCTGCTCCTTGAATGGTCAGATATATCTATTTTCTATCAAGAATTGCCTGATTAGAACAACAAAATTAGCATTAAGACAGGGTATTTGCTCAGAGTTTCAGTTCTTCATTTTGTACATAGGAAATTGTTCCATGTGTCTTCTCCTAGACATTCCTCATAGCTGTTCTGTGAGGAAAATAATGTTTTTCCTATTGCATGTGATCTCTTGAAACCTAGAAATATTAGGTGATTTGTCCAGGGTCATACAGGTGTTGGCAGAGCCCTGGGACCTGGCCACATCGCCATGTCTTGGAATGACTCATGTGCTGAAATGATTTGGTATCATTGAAGGGTGGTGAGAAGAGCCAGCTGTGGCCAGTGGTATTCCTGGTGTCCTTCCCATAGCTCTAGCTCTGTGTCACCAGGCAAGTGGCCAGTTCTGACCTCTGCACATTGCAAATGATCTGACTTTACTCTGGGTAGTTATAGTTGAAAGACAATGGTGTCTAGTATTCATCTCAGACTAGCAGAGAAACAGAAGTGGGTGATGATTGTGATGGAACAAGATTGGGCACAGCTTCCTGATTATTGGTCTGTGGTGTGGAGAGGTGGGAGAGGGACTCGTTACTTTAGTTGCCTTTTTCTGAATATATCCTGAAACTTCCATTAAAACATGATGAGCCTCCCTTTTCCTTCACCTTTCCTTTTTGCTCTTGCCACACTGGGCTCTTCAGTATTCCCTGGGCTGTGTGCACCTGCCTCTGCCACTTCCTGCCTCAAAGGCCCAGTGTTTCCCTGCTCTGTCTCATACCACTACTTTAGAATTGGCCCAAGTGTTATTTTGTCAGGAAGTCCGTCAGGTTCTCAAGTCAGTTGTCTCTGTGTGCTCCCTCTCCTTCTCTCAGGACAGAATTATCTGCAGGAACCAGTTCCTCAGGGCTGTCAGGACAGGTGCTGGGGGAAAGCTCTGTTTAGGAATGCCCCTTCCCTAGCACTAATCCTACGGGTTGTGAGGTAATTTCTAGACTTCAGATCTGAAATGAGTTTAAAGAAGGCAGAAAACATGCTGATGAAACTAGGTGTGGACATCTTAGGAAGCCTGGCCATTTCACTGTGGGGAGGGCGTGGAGTCAGGTGGGGAAGCTGAAAGGGGAGAGAACAATTTTGCTTTCATTGTATGGCATCTCTGACAGGATCCAGAGTAGATTCTCGGCCCAGAGAACCTTTAAGGGGGCACAGAGGGGGTTTAGTTGCTCTCGAACCCTCCCAGCATCTGAATGGCTCCTAGTTTCATAACGACTAAAAACATGGATGAGACTAGAGAGGGCCAGGCTAGAGAGGGCTGCCACTAACGAACAAGGGTGCTTAACAGGTTTCATATTCATCCTCAGGCATGGGTCCATATCCCAGCTCCAGCACCTAGCAAGCCTGAGCTTGTGAGTTCATCTCTCACCCTGAGTATGTGTGTTTGTAATGTGGAGATGGACTGACCTGCCTCCCTTCTTACCCTGCCTGTCTTCCAACTGATTGATATGCTTTCCTACTAAACCCCCTTCCTCCCTCCCTCACCGTCTTCCTTTCCATCCCACCCATCTTTTATCCTGTCCATAGGGAGCTTACCTAGCTCCAAATCTACTTAGCTGTCTACTTCTCTATCTACCTCTCTGTCTTACAGCCTAGATAATCTTCTTAGTTAAGATGTAATGGTTTGAATAATGAGTTTGCGTATTCGAATACTTGGTCCCTGTTGCTGGAATTGTTTGAGAAGGATTAGAAGGTACATTACTACATGTGGACTTTGAGGTTTCAAAAGCCCACACTATTCTCAGTTAGCTCTGTGACGTGCTTGTATATCAAGATGTAAACTCTAAGCACTGACCCAGTGCCATGCCTTTGTGCCTGCTGCCATGTTCCTGCTATAATGATTATGGACTCCCATTCTCTGAAACTCTAAGCCACAATAAACTCTTTCTCCTATATGCTATTTAGTCATAGCATCTTAGCTCAACAATAGAAAAGTAACTAAGAGATAGGGGCTGATACTATTTAAATTTTAATGCTGCCTGTCTGTCACTAAGCTCTCAGTAAACAGAAACACTTACTTGATGTATTAGTAATAACAGATCAAAAGCCCAGTCTCCCTGTCCCAGAATGCATATACATAGCTATGGGATTTTGGATCATCTGACCTCGATGCAGAGGAAAAACCTGTATATGAGAGCCAGTTGAATTCCTCTTTGCAGTTTTAACACTGCTCACTCTGGAAGTGTAGTAAAGGGGGTGACCTGTAAAGATGCACTTGTGATTAAAGTGAGAAAGGAAGGGATAGCTACCATGAGCCTGGTCACTTTAGCTTGGAAGTACTCAGAAGCTGGTGTTTTAGTTCAATACTACTGTGATCAATGATTAGACCTTCTTTAGAGGCTTCTGTACTGAGCCCTTCGTTGATGCACTCTCTACCAGAGGGTGAATTCAGTTCTTGCTCAGCCTCAGCAGTATGGTGCTAGGTGTTTGCAGGTCACAGGAGCTATTCTATGTATTATAGGATATTAGTAATATCCCTAGTTCTGCCTGCAAGCTGGTACCACACTGTCCCAGTATAGTTATGGCAACTACAAATGTCTCCAGATAGTCAAATGTCGTGTATGGTTGCAGAATCCTCTCTATATGAGAATCCCTATTATAAGTCCCAAGAACCAAAATTTTTGGCTTATCAGATGAAGAAGGGGGAAATGATATTTGCTGAGTACATACTAAGCTTTCTCGTCTAACATCTCACTTAAGCCCCAAAATTAACTAAAATGAAAGTTGTCTTTATCTCATTTTATAGCTGAGACAGCTTAGTGGAGTGGCTTGGGGCTGTAGAGCTAGTTAGTGACACTGTCCTTTTTTGAACTTTGTATTTCTGTTCCTGCCCATCCCCTTTGCCACCCTGTTCCAAGAAGGTTTTCTCTGAGCAAAAAAACAAAAAACAAAAAAACAAACAAACAAACAAAAAAAACACTTGTTCTTCTGCTCCCTCAGAAAATATAGAGACTCTGGAATTGGGAGAACATAAGTGATAGACCTGAAACATCAGCTGTGCGCTTTTCACCTTGTCGGAAAATGGAAGCATTGATGCAGTGGGTAGCCTGCCATAGGCAAATGGTAGGAGCGTCCCCGAAACTCTTTCCTTTGCTTTCCTGGTTAAATGTTTTGGCAGCAGGCTATATGCAAGCCTGTGCTGTGCTATGACACCTATGGAAGAGTTTCCATCAGCCAAACAAATTGATCCTTATGATGATTTTGACATGGAAGTACGTACAGGTTTTTTGTAAGCCCTTCTCTTGCATGAAGACTGCTTCACAATGAACCATCCTCAACACATAAGCAGAGGAAAGTAGACAGAATGGTTTATTTCCTCTAGTGTATGTTGTTTATGTGTATGTTTTCATGGACAGAGCTGGAGAGGAAGTAGGGCTTGAGTCTGTTTCACACAGAAGCCCAGCAACAGCTCCTAACCACTCCAGGAGAATCTGATAAAAACTTATGATCCTTCTCCCTAGGAAAATCCATATATTTATACATTTACAGAAAGTTAGAGGGCCGTGATAAATCCTGTCAGGGAACTGTATGTCAGACATCAGAAGAGAGTGATATATTCCTTAGTGTTTAAGAAGGAAACTTTCTGATTTGCTTTAAAAATACTCCTGTGCTTTGATCTACTGTGTTGTTGGGTATTCTTAAGAAAGTAACCCAAATGTCAAACTACACAGTAGGCTCAGCTTGAGGGGGAATGTATCTGTTGCTAAGGTGTCATCTGGCTCTCCATGTTCCTCTAAGAGCTGAGTGTTAGTCTTTCAGGTTGTGTGGCACTTGCACATGGATGTAAGTCCAAAGCCTCTCTGGATCTGCACCATCTAGTAGAATAGACATTAGCTATGTGATTACATAAACTTACACTTACTTTCAATTTAATAACATTAAACATTCAGTTCCTTGGTACATTAAGCCCCATTTCAGATGGTGAGTAGGCACATTAGCTAGTGGCTGCGGTATTAGAGAGTACTGAACATGCCCATCACTGGAGGAACTTCTTTAGGAAGAGTTCATTGTGGTTAATGCAGCTGTTGGAGGCATGGCCCTTACATGGCCTCCCTGAGTTCTTTGCTTCTTGTACTGTGTTAACCCACGTGTGAAACTCAACACCTCCTCTTTCAGAAAAATCCGTTCATACTGTCCATTTTAATATTTGATTGAGTTACTACAATAGAGTTCTGTTGGCTTTGAATTGGCAGAATTCTGATCCCTCTTCTGATGCCTGGGTGTTGGGTGAGAGAGCCTCTTCTTGTACACAAAGCCTTCTCAAGGCATTATTCCAAGTAGTGGACCATTCTGGAGAATTAGATTCTTTCCACCTGCTGTGTGTAGAGTTGACACTGGTAAGGAGTGAGTTCAAATAAATGGAGAACAGTTACCTGTGTGATACTATGTGCTCATTAAACATGTTGCTAGAAACTTTCACAAATGTGGGGGAATATTTAAGCAAGAATACAGTTCTGCCGTGCACACCCAGTGGCATATAGACTGTGTAGAAATACTTTTGGAGAAAAAGATTCAGGAGAGATACCATGTGATGATCAGTGGGGACATCATAGCAATTTTTATTTTCTGTGTACTTTTGTATTTACCTTTTTTTGTAATAAACACATTTGCTTTTATAATCAGAAAAAAAGTACAAGTGACATAAAACCTACAGCTTTGCTGAGCTTTGCATCTTAAGGCACAAATCAGTCTGTTTTATAATTTTTGGTGTCTTGTTTTGCCAAGTGTCAGTGAACTGCAGGCTGAGCTGAAAGAGGTTCTTGCCCTGAGGAAGCAGCTGGAACAGGATGTGCTTGCCTATCGGAATCTGCAGAAGGCCCTGCAGGAGCAGCTATGTGAAATTCGGAGGCGGGAAGGTACAGTCCCCTTTTTATATCCTTTGGGTATGTCCCATGAGGTGTCTTAGTTGAACTAGAAGGAACCCTAGACCAGGAGGTAGTATGGCCACAGGATCCTCTGTGGTGAGTGAGTCTGCATTTGCCTGGCCAGAAGGGCCCATTAAAAGTTTGTTAATTCTGTAGTGGGTCTATAGCCTGGTTGTCTCCTGCCTGCCTATGTGAAGCATTTGCTACTCTAGCTCCAGATAACCTGAGCCACTGGAAACCCCCTTTGACTTGTAATCATTCCTCATTGAGTGCACTTTTTTTGCCCTAGATGCATTGAGCAGGAACACATAGACATAGAAAGAGATTGCTGTTTTAGATTCATGTAGGGAGGGCAGTAGCACCAGGGTCCATGGGATAGCACAGAAGTACTCATCACAGTGCATCTGGGCCCTCTGCTTTGCTGCACACTAGCATCCTTATAGTCTGGCTGGTGTCTTGTCCCTTTCTGTATCTCCAGCCCAGTGGTTGGCATGTATGGTTAAAACTGCTTGTTGCTGCTGTGGGTTGACTTTTCTTGAGCCTATTCTGTGTATAAGGTTCACGGCTGTAGGCTCTTGCCTTTTCATCTCTGCTCATCACAGTCATCCAATCAGGCAGAGAAGGTGTTAACTTTGCTGAATAGATGAAGGAAATGAGCTGAGCTGAGCTGGGCTGGGCTGAACTTGGGGTCATTGATTTGCCTCATCTGACCCAGGATATACTGCTTGAAGGTCCACCACTGTGTTCTAGGAACAGCAGCAATGGCCATATAGATTAAACAAAATTCTATTTGTGGTGATACCTCTCTCAGTGATTGTTGCCTGGCTCTGCTTCTTTTCACACTATTAGAATGTGATGTGTATCATGAGAAGCAGAACCTGACACACAAGTAAAAGAGACTCTTTGTTCCCATTCTTGGCAGACTTTTTTTTTTTTTTTTTTTTTTTTTTTGGTGTATGCCCTGTGGCCAAGAAAGTACTTCAGCCACTTTCATGTACTCTGAAATTTGTTCAGGGTCTTATCTATTCTTGTGTATTCATCCCTAAGCAGAACTACTCTAATTGAACTGAAGTCTTGTGCCATTGAGAGTGGTTTCCAGGTAAAGCACCTGGTAGGCAACTTATAATTCAGTATTGGCTGCAGGGACAGCCTACAGACCAGAAGAAACCACACATTGAGACATCAGCCTGTAGAGCAGGCAAAATTACTTTTACTCTGAGGGTCATGTTTTAACCCCTTGCTTCAACTCCCCCACCTCAGCCTCTTGCAGTTGCTTTAGGTAGAAGGCATGGGGGGGGGGGTGGTTTGGAAGGATCTGTTTCTAATAGTCTTTCTCCCCTCCCCTGCCCCACTTTCTATTTAAATTTTTGTGCAGAAGAGCCGTTTTCATTTTATAGTGATCAAACATCATATCTAAGTATTTGCCTTGAAGAGCACAATCAGTTTCAAGTGGAACATTTTTCTCAAGAAGAACTCAAGAAAAAGGTATTGACCTGACCTGTTTACTTTTCAGAATTGTTCTTGTCTCTTTGGTTCCTGATCTCAGAGGTGTGCAGTTCTAAAGCCCCTGTCCTCTCCTGCCTGCATTGTCTTTTCTGGATTGCTGCATGGCTCCTCGTGTGCATGGTGCTGGCAGTGCTCCCCAGAATAGACTTTTGTGTCGGGGCTGGAAACCCTAGCCCAGGCTCACTTTCCTGAGAAAGTGTTTGGCTGGCCCCACACAATGAACAAGTCACTTTCCCTCAGCTCATTCATTTCTTTGTACCTAATCCTGCTTGATAACCCTCCCATACTACTGATTGGTAACATGTATGGGTACACATATCTAGATGTCTTAAGTGTGAGCCTCTTAAATGTAGTCTTCCTATTATGTTTATTTCTTCCTATTATCTTTTTTTCTGGCACATTTAGTAGGAGCTGATAGATTTGAACAAATATAGTTTCAAGTCTGATCATTGCATCTTTTTTGAAATGTGAGGTTTTTAGTCTGTATATCTGTGATATGGTTATAGTGACATAATGTTTTAAAGGACCATTGCTAAGAATAGGTATTTTGAGTGTGTGTGTGTGTGTGTGCTCACGTGTATGCCAAAGATTGGTTATTGGTATTGGGTGTCTTCCTCTATCACTTTCCACCGTAGTGTTTAAAACAATCTTTCACTGAATATGGAGCTCATGAAATTTAACTAGATTGGCTAGATAGCTAGATCTAAGACTTTACCTGTCTCCTCTCCAATAGCACTATGCTTAAGCAAGTGCTTCCATGCACCTAGCTTTTATGTGGGTGCTGGGTATCTGAATTCAGGTCCTCATACTTGTGTGACAGACACTTTAATGACTGGTTATCTTTTCAGTCCATGGATCTGGTTTTTATTTCTGTTTTGTGTCTTGCACATCTACATGCATAGACAAGGTAGAATTTTTTTATTTTCTTTGAAGGTCAAGAACCTTTTGAAAAATTATCATACACTGGCATTTGGAGTTTATAGAAAACAAAGTGAGTCTGCTCAATTGCCTATGCATTTGGTCTAGCAAAAACTGAAGTGCTGGGCTGAGCCTGGGTACCCTGTGCTATCTTTTGTGGAGTCTGCTGTTCTAGCCCATCTTGGTGCTTTGACTCTTGCTATGTCTTATACAGTTTTCCAGATGTGCCCCAGCTGTGGCAGCCATAACATGAACTTCTTTCCTTATTATAAGACAGCCTCAGGAGTTCTGCAGGAAATGATTGACTAAAGCTCACAGGGGTTGTTATTGCTTTATTAAGGACAACTCATTTTGACTGATATTACTATCTGGTTTGTAAGAGTATCCTCTAATTACCTGTCTAATTATCATCTTGGAAGCTTACTGCCTCCGTCTGTTAATGTAGGCCTAGGCCTGGAAGCTTCTAGCCTCCATACAATCTAATCTAGGCTTAGAATGCTTTCACCTCTGAGACTTACTGTTGAATAAACTCGCCCTTTCTAGTTCTTTCTAACTCTGGCTGGTTCAATCAGCTGTTCTGGCTCAAACCTCTTCTCCTGTGTGACTGATTCAATCTGACTTCTCTCAGCTTCTGACTGAATTGCTCTGCTTGGCCTCAAACTAACTCTAACAGTCTGTTTTAATCTTCTGGCTCATTCTCATTCTCTGGCTCATTCTGTCTTTACCTGTGTCTAGATTGTTCTCTCTTCAACCTGTCTCTGTAAAACTCTTCTGGTAAAAGTGCCTCTGAATTCCACGAAGTGAACTGTCACGAACTCAACTTCAGTGCACTGCCTCTCAGCTAACTGACTCAACCGAACTGACTGAACAGAACTGACTAGAATCAGAGAACTGCATGGCTCTGTCTCCTGAGTGCTGGGATTAAAGGCATGTACCACCATACCTGGACCTAAGCTTTTCTTTACCTGAAACTTGTGCTATCTATGCCAGGCTGGCCTTGAACTCAGAGATCTGCTTGCCTCTGTCTCTTTGGATTAAAGGCACTTCTATATTTCAGCTGGATCACACAGACCAAAGGCAGAATGTCTTTGCCAGAGCAGCTATGTTCTGAATTAAAATTCTTCTACACTGTGTATATAGAGAAAGAGGTCTCTGCTCTTAAGGAAGCTCTGACATAGTTGGAGAAACTTAAGCTCTGGGAAATTTTTCCTTCAGAATGCTATGTTAAAAGACAGAAAAATGTTAGCTGCCATTGACCAAATGCCTTTGTATGCTATGGCTGTGATCATGGTGAGTTCTCATTCTAGATACCTATGTTATTCCAACCTTGGCTGTAGATACAAAAGCTGAGGATAGCTCAGGTAGCCTTCCCACAAGTTGTACTCCTTTGCCTTAAAGTGAAACCTGTATCTTTTTGCTCTTACTGCAGGTCAGTGACCTCATACAGCTTGTGAAGGACCTACATACAGACAACCAGCACCTGAAGAAAACCATTTTTGATCTCTCTTCCATGTGTTTTCAGGGAAATGACAGACTTGAGTCAACAAAACAAGCAGAGGTAAGAAGAATTGTTCTTATTGTCATGTGCTAATTGAAGAGATACCTCCCTTCCAACCCTTCCCCCATTTTTTAAAGACTGTCTTAGGAAGGTCTTTGAAATTCTGTTTGCTGTGGTAGAGTTTTGAGGGCCCAGATGATCATTGGTTCTGTCCACAGGCTTCCTCCAACTCAGGTCATGTCTTATCAGATGTGTTTGGTACCCTGTGATGCCGTTACTATGGCCTAGCTCTGCGTATTTGCTGCAGATGGCACATCTGGATGCGCATGGCCATGGCTCCAGATAGTGTGGCTGCAGTCTTGGAGGATCCATACTTAAAGGAAGATGTCTACCCACTCGCCTTGCCTCTCACCCTGATTACTTCTAGGTGTCACTGCTGACATTTGTCTCTCTTTTCCTATGTTTTTAACCATGCTGTACAGGGAAGGACCCTAGGGCCATGCTGGGGAGAGAGACATTGCCTTACTCCAGGCTTGGCCAGCCCATTTCTCCTTTGAAAGAACCTGGCTCCATATGTGCATTAGCATCATTTCTGAAGTAAGGGTTATTCTCACTGTGAGTGCAGAGGATCTTTCTGTGCAGGAGTCCCTCAAAATGAGTTCAAAACTGGGCTTTTCCTGGGTGAACTTGTCTTAATTCAGCCTGGAGCACAGGTACATACAGGCCTCACATCTGTGGCCACATCATTTCCTTGGGAGAGGTTTATGTGCTGTCTCTTCCCACCTTCCCAGTGGGAACTGCTCAGAGGTACTATATTTATGCTGTGCTTTGGCCATCTGCTTTCTTTGAGACACTGATTATTATTGATCTTGGACTCCAGGGCTCCAGATAATTTTGAAAACCAAGAGCAATGGCTAGCCACTTATGGGAGAAACAAGTCTCCCAGCTTACTTCCTCTGAGGCCGTGTGTTTAATAAGCAGCTCCTTCTTCACCAGCTCCATTTGAGCTGTAAATACCGAGTTTTGTTTGTTCATTTGCCCTTTGAAAAAAAATCTGTTAAATGTCCCATTATGTCCTTTAGAGAACAGAGGCCTTTTCCTCTGCCCACTCTAAGATCTTAATACCAGCCGATTCAGATTTGAGTCATTTGTCAGATTGCACTTCAATTTGATGTTCCCTGCAAAAAGCCTTTTCCTTTATAGCACAGTTCCCTTGGCTTCCCTCAGAATGAGATGGGAAGATCTGCATGGAAAGGTGGCTATAATTTGGAACTGAGGGAGGAAAGGGAAACAGGGTGAGGTGAGATGGCAAAGAGGGGAGCCTGCTGTTCTCTGGGAGAGTGTGTGGATCTCCTTCCATAAGACACAGCTAGAAATGTCCATGTTGCCCACAGTTTTCTCTGAGCAGCAGGATTTACAGAGAGAGGGTCCAAAACATCATTTCTGTTTTCTTAGAGGCTGTAAATCATGGAAGTGAGAGTTGGGGTAGGAGAGAGAGGAGAGGAGAAGAGAGATGTTAGAATATAGAGAAATGTCCCTAATCCTGCTGCTTTCAAACAGCATAATTGACATTTCCAAACTGTCTCTTCTGATTGTGCCACTTATATTAAATGCAGTTTTCTTCCCTTTTGTTTTTTTCTAAATCTCATTAAGTCATAGCAGCATTTTCCATTTGAGGAACTGACTGTTTAAGGGCCTCTTTCTTGTTGGATACCTGGACTGATTCTGTACACAGGTCTTTTTCTGTCCTTAGGATTTCTTTCCTAAGACTATATCCCCAGATCTGTAATTACTCATGGATACAGATATGAAATAATCATACAATTAGTTTTCAGATATCTTTCTCCAAAATTCTAATTGATGAAGGCCTAATAGAGTTTGTCGTGTTTCTTTCCAAAGTGATTGCCCTTAATTAGCACCATCCTATCAGAACAGGAGGATGTACGATTCCCATATGTGGGTAGTTTATGTGGAAACCGTCCAAGTGACCAACAGCTATCCTGTTACCTTAATGTGCTTAATTATGGAAGTCTCTATCCAGGTGCTTCTTTTTTCTTCTGTTCGCCACTTATTACTTGATGCTAGAGAAGTCACCATCTTACAGGTTAATTTTTCAGCAGGACATGGTCAGAGTAGTAAATGTTGAAACCTGTGACTGCTTGTGGAACTAATATTTCCAGTTGAGGTCATGTGAGCTGGAGGGTGCTAGGAAGCTGTAGTATGCAGGAAGGTTAGAGGTTGTTGTCATTTACTTTTTTTTTTTTTTTTTTTTTTGTCATTCTTATGTGTGGTTAGAAAGCTGAGGATCGGGGACATGAAGATAGATAAAAGAATGTAATTTAATTGAGCTTAGGTATTTATAGAGCTGTCACATTGGTCAAGAAGTGGATCTTGTGTGACTCAAGCAATGTCTTGTAGGTTTTTCTGCTTGGCCACTCCTTTTCCCCTGACGTGTTTCTACACAGTCTCAGCCATCTAGCTATACACAGCTCACAGTTTCTGGTAATAAATCATAAAGAAGTAGGTTTTAAAGCAAGTCTTTTCGGTACATATAGTTTTACCATTTATTAAAGGTAGAAACAAATTTAAATGCTAATGAGATGGATGTGCTTGTTTATTTTTATTTAAAGACTTAAATCTTGGCTGAATATTTATTGAGTAGGATGCATAGCATCTTCAACATTTTTCAGAGTTGATTGACATTTTGATTTTATGATACCAATTCTATCAGTTGCTTCCTATAAATGCGTAGTACAGAAAAGCAGAATATGTTTAGGGACCATTTCAGAAATTGTTGGGTAGAGCTGCAGAGATGACTCAGCAGTGAAGGGTATTTGCTGCATTATCATGAGGACTAGAATTGGGATTTCTGTACCAAAATAACAAGCTGGACTCCTCAAACCTATAATATTACAGGCCTCTGCATGCACACAGGGGCTCATACCCATGCATAAATATATCCATGCATATAGACAGACACACAGATAAATATGCAAAATAAAATAAAATGTAAAAACTTACTGGTAATTTTTTTCTTAATTTTAAGTCAAATTTCATTTACCAATTTTTTTGTTTGTTTTTTTGTTTTTTTCTGAGACAGCATTTCTCTGTGTGGCCTTAGCTGTTCTAGACTTGGATTGTAGAGATCCGCCTGCCTCTGCCTCCCTGAGTGCTGGGGTAACAGGCATTTGCCACCGCACCTGGCTCATTTAACAACTTTTTTTTTTAATGAGCTTTTTGCTGCCAACTCAAAAAGCAGTTTTGCAAAATGGACATTATACTGTGAAATACAAAGGTGAACCAATTTGATGCTTACATGTTGAGGAATGATGATAAGAAAATAGTAAGTTTATTTTCTGTAATTAATCCAAGTGTCTGTAAGAGCAATACAGTGTCTATACAGCAATTGATATCATCCGGTAGTCTCAAATATGAGCTGAGGTTTTGTGCAATTTGGTTGATATGGCAGAATATAGTGCCATGCATATGGCAGGGCGCATGTGGTGGGTGCTCAGCTGTATTGAAGTTGTGTGATGCAGTATGGGCACTTGCCACCAGAGACCCCTTTTGGTTGTCATGTGTTCAGAAAACTTTACTTTGCCAATGTTGTTGGAACCCTCACATTAACTTAAGTGACTTTATATGGGCACTGCAAAAGCCAGGCATGGTGGTGAACACCTCCATGCCAGAACTTGGGAAGTTAGCAAGATAAGAAGTTGATGGTCATCCTCAACTATGTAGTGAGTTTGAGGTGAGCTTGGACCACATGAGACCATTTCTCAAAATGAAAAACAAACAATAACAAAATTAAAGTATAACCCGTTTTTCTGTATAAATTTATTCATCAAATGTAAATGTCATTAATAAAATATTTAAGGGCATTACATAAGACGTTAAGCCATTTATTAATCTATTTTTTAAAATAGCACATTTTCTTTTCTCAGTTGATTATGTTTATTGTTTAGAAAAATTATAAATGACATAATTGAGCCATCTTCAAAATAATTATAGGCATTAACAGAGTATTTTGCGATGTTTGGATATAAATGTGTCCTGTGTAATGTTTAAGCCAAAACAAATTTATTTAGCTTATCAAGCATTTTGCATTTCTTTAAGGTAGAATTTTCTCTTGTATTTCATGATAAGTTGCTTTACCTGTAGCATCTGCTGTGCGGCAGCTCACATGTTGGACCTGTCCAACTACCCTCTGCCAACCTCTTCTCTCCCAGCCGGTTCTTCTTTCCCTCTCCTTACTCTCACCAGCCTCTTTCGAAATTTCTGAAGGTCTGACTTGTTTAGATTCCACTTAAATGAGATCATGTGGTACTTACTTGCTTTATAGACTGTTAACATTTTTTTCCTGTCATTATTCTATCTCGTCTTTTCAATAATTTCAATGGAAATTGTAAAGAAATCAGTATATTTGTCCAAAATATTTAGGCAGGTGTATCTTTAACTAGCATATATATTTTAACTACAAATTTATACTACGTTTATTTATTTTGTATGTTTGTGTGTATGTGTGTATGTGTGCTTTTATGTGTGAATGTGCCACAACACATGTGTGGAGGTCAGAGGACAACTTGAAGTAACTAGTTCTTCCTTTCTACCTTGTCAGGGCTGAACTTAGGTTGTCAGGCTTGATGACAAGTGCCTTTACCCACTGAGCCATCTCCCCTGCCCTTAACCAGTATATGTTTTATAGTTACCGTTTCATTTTTTCATGAAAGGCCATAAGCCAATATTTGCTAAGTGCCTGTAAATGAAACCTAAGCTTCTTTCGCGATCCCTCATGTCCTTGTGTGTTCATGCTGCACTCTACCTACTACTCTGCTTTGTCTACTGTGTTTTAAATCTCTCTGTTAGACTTTCAAATAACTAGAATCATAGTGTATCAACTCTTTACTCAGCATGACCATTTTGAAGTTCACTCCTGTTTTTATTTGAGCTAATAGTTTCTTGTATCTCATTGTTTGAATGTGTTAGCATTTGTTCATTGTACTGTTAAGTAGACTTGTGGACCAAGGGTGATAGGAGCATCCATGTACCAGTCTTTGGGGACCTTTTTTGTCTTTTGTTTTTCCTAATAAGCTTAATATTTAGTAGCCTTGTTTGGTCCTTATCTCTCATCTCTTTAGAATATCTACAAGGCATAGTAGCACACATTAGCAATCCCAACATGAAGAGGCAGCAATAGAGGCAGGGAGACCACACATATTTGAAACTAGCCTGGTTTAGTAAGGTCCAGGCCAGACAGGAATATATTGCAAAACTTAATCTCTTCTTCCCCTTGCCAAGGATTAAAAAAAAAAAAAAAAAAGGGAAGAAACTAGTAGAGTGAGGGTACCTCACTAGTTCTACAAACTTTTATACCTTACCAAGTTTGTTCATAACACCCTTTGTTATGCTCTGTAGCATTGTAGGATGTGGTTTGTGTTCAGCAGATCTCTTTGATCTTTATTGTAGTTCAGATGTAGTAGGCTAGAGTATTCTGGCCTTGAGAACTTCCTGTAAAGTAACATTCCTAAGTCTGTTTTGTTTTCAATTTCTTCTGAACAAGGTTCTTCTTCTCAGGGGAAGATAAGAAAGATTTCAGCTGGGCAGGGAAGAGTTAAAATTGCAATTGACTGATGTAGGAACTCATAAAAACTCTTCAGACAGAGCCACAAGTATTACATACATACAACTGCCCAACAAATGACCCTGAACTCCCTGGGTTTCCTACCTTCAGCTTAGAGCTACATTAGCAACATGAGTGATTTTTAGACTACCTTTGATTGACACCTTCACTGGTCATGGCCAGCTTGGCATAATTCATATGTCTGATGACCAAACTCTGCTTGTTTGGAGAACTGGGCTCTTGCTCTCCTGGGATCTTTGTACTACCCATTCTTGAAAATGGGACTTCATTGCTTTTAGGTATTTCAAATTAATGCAGTTTCTATAAGTCCTTTATTTCCAAAAGTGTAGTTATTATCAGGCAACCTGACACTCTTCTCAGTATAATGACAGTGTTACTTGGACTGTCCACATTTGTGGACAGTGTCATGCATGTGTCACACGTGTCTCACATGTGTGATAGTCTAACAGGACGTTTATGCCCTGTGCTAAATAGGAGAAGTGATGAATAATTTGGGTATACCAAATGTCATTTACTGTGGGGTTTTTTTTTTTTTTTCCTCTTTTTGGTCCCATCAAAGGCCAAATGGCAGTGGCTGCAGAAAGCATGCTTAATTTACAGCCTCACAGGAAGGCTGCATAGGACCAGAGAAAGGCCTCTAGTTATTTGGGAGGGAGGGAGGAGGTGGAATATATCTACAGCCAGTAGCTTTAACTTGAGCTGATTTTTATCTCATGGCTTTGGCATTTCCTTCTTTGTGTTTTGTTGTTTGTGTTGACTGTTCTGAATTTTTGAGAAAAGACAGAACTGATGTGTTCAAATATATTCATGCTGGACACTTTGTTGTTGTTGCATTTTTTTTCACCAATCCATGCTCTATATAGCTTCTGGCTAGCAAGGAGTATGAGGACACAATCAAATTTGAAGTGGATAATGAGAATAATTTTCAAAGTGACCAGCATTTGGAGCAGAGTAAAGAGGTGGTAGGATAGTTTATTTCTTACTCGGTTTCACCGTGTGTCCAAGTCAGTCTGCAATATGGAGTGTGTGTGGTTGATTTTCTGTTAATTCTGCCTACATTTTGTGTCTACTCTATGCCAGGGGCAGGGTTAGACATAAAGAGACTTGAAGGTTGAGATATGGTGGGTATGGATGCTGCAGGTGTGGCACGTTAGATCTCCAAAGTATCCATATTCATAGAGTCATAAGTGGGCCACAGCTGATATGGGTAGCTTTGGAACAGGAAGCAATGAAAATGGGTGCTCTGGAATCCCACAAACATGGTTTTGAACCTTGGCTATGTCGCTCCTGCCTCTTCCTTCCTTGTTTAACCTCTGAATTTGAATTTCCACTGCCTTTCTGTATGGGTTCTCTCCAATACTGAAACCATTTCCTTTTCCCTGTTTTGTAGATGGCTTATTTGATGGATTTAATAACTAGATTGGTGACAAACAACCTATAAATAACAGCTTATTTGTGTGAATCTCGTCTTTCATTTAAAAAATCTTAATCATTTTTCTGGTGTGGCAAGATGGAGTAATGTCTAATTTGCATATCACTAACAATAATGAAGCCAAGAGGAGTTATTTATAGACTGATTAAGGAAATTTACTGCTTTGGATAAGGAAGAGAAGATGCTAATTGTATCATCTCAGGACATGCCCAGAACAGGCCTTAACTGGAAGTCTCTGTGGTAGTGCTCCTCTGGGAAACCCACTGACCCAGAAGGTAGATCTGTAAAAAACATCTCCACGGGAATTAGGAACTGTCCACCTTCCTAACGAAGCCCTGTTAATTAGTAAATGTCAGTAGAGTATTAATGCACATGTCTGTAGTGTAAGTAATGATGTTGTATGAAACATGATAACTATATAAAGCATGGTTGATTATATGCATTCCAAATTCTTTTGTTTTGTTTATTTCTGAGACAAGGTTTCTCTGTGTAGCCTTGACTGTCCTGGACTGACTTTGTAGACCAGGTTGCCCTTGCAAACTTACAGAGAGATACACCTGCCTCTGCCTCTGCCTTGCAGAGTGCTGGGATTATAGGCATGTGTCACCCCACACGGCTTTTAAGGTCTTCTTAGGAATAATTTCCAAGTAGTGGACCGTTGGATAAGAGAACATAAATCCAGAGGGCACTTACCCTAACTTGGCCAGCTAATTTTATTCTCTGAACCATAGCAAAGGTTGTGGACGGAGGGTAAGAAAAGCAATGCAAACGCCTCCTGCCTTAATATGAGTATGAGTGGATAGATTCGCAGGCTTGCACCCTCCCTTTTCCTCTTTGTGCATGCCTTTCGATCAGTTCTCACTCACCCATATCCCTTTCTCCTACTATCCCTTCCATTCTCCATATGCCACTATTTGACCAAACACTTTCATTTGTAGATCATGGAAGACTATGCTGAGGATGGTTGCAAAGATGGATATTTGAGGCACATGGAGTCACATCTTTTAGACCATGGGGCCCACACACCCGGCATCCCTGGAGGCCAGAGCCTACAAGATGAGCTCCAGGGCCTGCTTGCCACTTTCTCCTGCAAGAGGCCCACACCATTGCTGGAATCCAGGTAGACATGGGCCGGGTACCTCTTTGTCTCTCATTTGAGGAGCAAACATACTCATTTTGCTAAATGGATTCAGATGGTGCTGTTCTGTGTACCTGAGAGCTCCTGAAATAGATGGGAAGGAATCTTGCCAGTCGTATAATTAAGTAATTAGGCTTGGTGCTGGTGGCTGTGAGGGGACTTGAGCAGAGAGCTACAGGCCCATTACAAAAAGGCAAGAGAAAGCTTTCCCTAGAATTACTCCTTGGAGTCCCAGATAGGGCTGCCTGGCTGTCGGTGGCGAGAGGAGTCAGCCCTCCTGGCATCTCCTCTGGTTTTGGCATCAGCTTAAAAACACCACTTCAGTCTTGACTCTGCTGTTTTATGTCGAGCTTGAACTAAATTCTCCTCTCAGTTTATCAGCTGGGAGTTGTTCCTATGTGGGGAAATACTAAAGGTTGTTTTCCTAACACAGAGAAGGAGAAACATTAGGTACATGTGTGTTTTGTAAATTAGCCCTTTATGAGTCATTTCCCCTTTCATATTTCTTCTAGGCCATCCATGGCAGCTGCTTGGGCTTTAGAGTCAGGAAGATCTGTGCTGTTTTTTTCTCCATGCCTCAGTTTCTCTAGCTACTTCTTGGGGATGTTGGGTGCACTAATATAAAATACTGAGGAAAATTGTCTTGTGTGAAGTATATTTCAGTAAAAGATCTCAGTTTTGATACAGACAGAAAAACACAATTCACTACTGTTTTGACCTTTGACAAGAGCCAGACACTTTAGTCTTCCTTACATTTTTGCTGTAGTAAACCCTTGTGGGACCCTTCTGCTGAACAGAGGACAAGAGCATTCTGTTCTTAGTAAGCTTGGTGAGGCTGACCCTCCTAATTCCTGACACCTAACATTTTCTAGCATGAGTGCACTGGCGAGACATACCCTATTCATAGGTGGGCAGTCACTACTCAAGACTAGAGAATTTCTGGAGCTTCTAAATCCCCAACTGTATAACATTTGAAGTAAAAGGTACCACTGCTCTGGACCATATAGGGCCACATGGGCGTGTTCTTGGATGCTGTACGCTGGGGACATATGGACCATGGTGAGAACAAGGTGGCTTGGTGAGGGTGGGTTGTGCGTGCTCTCTTCTAATGCACACACTTCTCTGCTCCAAATAGTTGTCAGGGAAGCATGTGTGTGCGAGCTCTCGTCGTATGTCTTCAAAATTAGTATTCTTGATCTCTTGAGTTGTAAAAATTCCAGCCCAATTATGGATTTAGAGAAAGCCCTTTATGAGCCAGCAAACATGTGGTATTTATAATTGGGTACCTGCTTTCTCTAGCAGTTGCCTATCTCATAGGCTTCCTAGCCTCTAGCAACCACAGCTGGTGTTAGAAGAGCCACTGTAACTGCCTTACCTTTTCCTCTGAGCACTGTTGTTCTCTGTGTGCTACTGAACCCATGATTTTGGTCATGGTTCCATGGACCTGCTGAAGGCATGACCTGTGTACATACTCTAGACCATCCTTTTTTTTTTTTTTTTAAGTTCGTTTGTTTGTTTCACTTTATATCCTAATAGTAGCCTCCTCCCTCCTCTCTTCCGGGACCCACCTTCCCTCCCTCTTTCCCCTATCTCCTCTCCCCTACTTCTCAGAAAAGGGGAGACCCTCCCCAACAACCCAACCTTGATGCACATCAAGTAGGACTGAGTACATCCACTTCCACTGTGGCTTGGCGAGGCAGCCTGGCCCATGTAGACCACGCTCTTTTAAGCTACCTTACAGGCTCAGCTTTACATCCTGTGGCCAGTAATCTTTTCACAAAGCATTTGGGGACCCAGAATTCCCTTAGTCTTTGGAGAATTTTTATGGGGGCGGGAAGTGAGAAATATTCAGTATTCTCATTCGTCAGGGAAATTCTATTCTTTTGTCTAGAAAATTCTTTCTAGAAGTGAGTTGGTTTTGTTGCTCTGGAAACAAACAAACAAACAAACAACAATTTAGCTCCACCATTCAGATCTATGTCATCTGTCCCCATTTTGGTTTTTTTCATCCCTAGAGTGAGAGCTGATGATAATTATTCCTTAGGAATCTTACAAAGATTAAATTAAATAGCGAGTCCTGGGCATATGTCTACAGCAACACTAAGTAAAGTTTTGTTACTATTGCTGCTTTCATCTTGCAAGGAAGGTTGTGGCGGTGACTTTGATGACTGCCTGGGCTTCCATAGTAAGACCTTGTTTAAAAAAATACCTTGCCAATTAATTCTACCTTTTGCCACTCAGCCCAGGGAAGATGGTAATGACTGTCATATGCAGGTACAGCAGCCAGCTAATGATGTGTGTCTCTATTCATTACTGAGCCAGTGTCTGACGATACCAGTGCAAAATTTTGATAGACTTAGGCTTAAGACTTCCCCCTCAGCCTTTGAGGCTTTGTACTTTCTAGTCATCCACCTTGAGGGACTGTCAGAATGGAGAGGCTCCAGAGTCACAGACTCCACCTGTCTGCTACAGTGGAACAGGAAATGGCTCATTAGTTCTCTTGCCCTTGCCTATCCAGAGTGGCTCACTGTTGATGGTGGAGTGAGAAGGGTAGGCAGCGTGCCTTGTGGAGTAGGCCTTGTTCCCTCCTCTGTCTTGGCATTCATTCACTTTGTGTAGATTCCTAGTCCTTCACTTACATGTTTCCAGAGGCATGATTAAGAATCTCTTCATTTAATGTTTTTGGTCTCTGTAGTTTAATGTTAAGTGATATTTGATAGCGGAGAAATTGTAAAAATGTGAAAGAGGAGTACTGAGTATGCTAAAGAATTGTTTTTGAAAAGCTCATACAATCTTGGGTTCTAACTGATGGTAGAAGAGAGGCTAATTCCCTAAAGAATAATATGGTGCTGGCAATAGTTGAGTGATAGGTCCAGAACCACCAGAATGTGAGGCTGGCAGGAGGTCTGAAGACAGCATTGGAGAAGTAGCCAAAAGGGACTGGGCAAGGTTTAGGTTGCCAGGGAGAAGACTTGGTCAGTTTTGTGAGGTAGGTTTTTTAGTTTAGAGTTAATAGACATCTGGAAGTTCTAGACAGGACCCTAGAAACTCTAGAAATTCAGAGGTCTCCCTCGTGTTCCTGTCTCTACCACCTAAGCATAGATTGTTTCCTCCCATACCTAGTGTCCATCATTTTCTCCAGGATCACCTCAGCAGCCTCCTGGCTGGTGCTATGAGCCCGTAGTCCCTCTCATTTGGGTATCACAGTGCTTCTGGCAGTCATTGAAGAATGCAGTATGTTATTCTGGCTAGTTATGTTTCTACTAGCTGTGTATCTGCGTGGCCCACTTCTTAGCTGTTTATGCAGTACTATTCATCTCTTGCCTTCTCTTTATTGGCCACTCTGCCCATCTTAGTACGAGAATAAGTCTCAAAGTATCCTTTGTTTCAGGGCTCAGGGATATGCTGGTCCTGTTTACCTTACATTTATGTTTTCTTTTTCCGATATCTGATATCTAGGCTAACCATAGTCATCTATTCTACCCTAGCCTTGGGCAGCTGCTCGTATTATCTGCGTTTCTAGGACCTATGTGTCTAGCATTTGCTGTGGCAATGTTTCCTTATATCCCACTGGCTGATGACCCTGGTTCATTTGTCACTGATAGAAACAATCACATTTGAGCCACTGTTTGACTGTCAGATGAAAAGTCTGCCTTTCCTATGATAGGGTAGAAATATCCCTGCTACTGTCCAAGAGCAGCCTTCCTCTTGTGACTTCACTTCTGACCTCCCAGCTTCCTGTCTCTTCTGAATCATCAAATTTCCCCCTTTGCTGAGTCATAAGCATAATATACACCTTATGTTAGGCACTGGGAAAAGTGCCCCCTTCTGGTTTCACATCCATTTTTAGCTACTATCCAATTTCTTTATTCCGATTCCAGGGATAATTTCTAAAAAGAGTTGCTGATATCCACAGCTTCCACCCTCTCACATTTTCTACCCCATCATAAGAGCCTTCTTAGCCTTTGCCCCATTTATCAAGTCAGCAAGTTTCTAAACTGTGAAATCCATTGGCCAGCCTTTTAGCAGCAGCTGACCCTTCTCTCTAGCCTAGAGTTTCTGTTTACCTCCCTGCCTCCTTCTTCCTCTCTGCCTTCTTTGTTAGAGAATGCAAGTATATATCTCAGAGCCATGTCTTCAGCCCCTTTCTTTCTCTGTTCCCACACTCTTTCTTGCATTTGGAATGTGCTATGCAGCTCTGATTTCTGCCTCTTGACCCTAACAGCCAGCTGTGTGCTGGGCACCTCCTGCTTGTGAATCAGAGATCTCAGTGCTGACCTAAGACACATGTTGTGCCAGTTTGCTGCTTCTCTAGTCATCGTCATGCTTATGTCCTGCATTGCCTAATAGCTGTATCCCAAAATGCAAGCTCCTCTGTCCCCAAAACCCATAGTGAGTCCTCACCATTGTCCCTACAGACTATAGTCCTAATTTTTCAGTCCCCTTTCCTTTCTGTTCTTATCTTCTTGGTTTAAGTTGCCACCATTTCTTGTTTGGACTTTTGCATTTGTGCAGCCTCCTTATTTACCCTCCTGTTATCATTTCTGCCTCTCTGTAGTCTATTATCCACAGAGTAGCCAAGTTCTTTTTAAAACTTAATTTGGATTACCTCTCTTCTATGATAACATCTTCCAGTAGATTTTCACTGTCACTGTCAGTCAGTTCAGAGCTTCTTGACCCAGTCTCTGCCATTTCTCTGTCTTCAACATCCATACCTTGTGTTTGCTGGGCCTAAGCCTCACTGGCCAAATTTGTTCTTACCAGGGGACTTCCAGTATCTACTCTTCCCTCTATTTCGATATACTCACCCAAATCATCAGAGCCTCTGTGAGCAGTCAGTTCTGTAGAGAGGCCTTTTCTGATCACTTAATCTAAAGAGAATTCTATGGCTATGCTTTCTCTCAGGATTCTTTTTTGTCTTTCCCTCTCAGTCATAGTATTTATACTGTACTTCATTGATTTAGCTAATCAGTGTATACATTGTTATGTGTCTGTCTTCAACTCAGTGGCATGTCTATTCCTCTTTGGAAGAATGGAAAGTATCCTGTCAGTGTTTGAATTAATGTGCAGATAGTTGAACATTTTACAGTGCAGCCAAAGGTTAAGTTTGGGAGACCAAAAAGAGTTAGAGTCCTTGTAGACTCAGAAAGGCCTGGGTTTTAATTTCTGCTCTGCCACTTGTTTGAGAGTTTGTCTCTCTTTGAGCCTGTTTCTTCATCTGGTCTCACTGCATGTGAGAATGTTTTGTTTTTGGAGGATCTGACACATGGCAAGTGCACACAAGCTCAGGATGGGCACAGAAGCATCACTCGGGCTTCTGATAAGACCCTTGGACCACCTGCAGGAACTGATTACAGAGACAGCTTAATGAATCTGCTGTTTCCATTTTCAGCCAAGCAACACTTAATAGCCACCACTTTAGTATATTGCAATGGCCTCCATTGCCACAGTTTACTGCCCGTTTGTAAAGTTCTTTTCCTGGGTTTTATTGTATGTTGTTGGGTGAATGATGATCCTTCTTTGGCTTGCTGACTAGCAATTGTCATTATTTCTTACCTCTGTTAAGAAAGGAAGGAAATGAAAATTTAGTTCTGATGCTTAAAAATCAGAAATATTTTAAAAGTCTAGGTTTGCTGTACCTTAAGTTGGTCTGTGCAGTCCAAATGATTTCATACTAGAAGTGAATGATGCAGCATGCATTTTGCTTTTATTTATTTATTTTTTTAATTTAAATTAAGTTGACTTCCCTGATCTACATCTTGGGACTGTGGAAGTGAATCTCACTGAACTGCTGTCTGCAGTGGGCACATTGAGAAGATGAGTATGGTACTGCTGTTTTCAGTGTTGGCTGACATCAGAGGGAGGGTAGGCTAGAGTATGTCTGCCTCACAAGGTTTCTTGAAGTGAAGCAGTTAGGAGACACTGACTGGAAAAAGCAAGAGAAATAACCAAAAGGGGTCTCTGCTGTCTATTTTCTGTGACTGCCTGACTTCACCTCTAGCCGACTCTTTCTAGAAGGCAGCCACTACGCTAGACCAACCCTTGCCTGGAGCACTTTTTTCTCAGTTTTCTTCTGCCTCGTCATTTTGTTTACTTTCTCTATTTTGTTGGTGATTTAAACCTTATTCTTGTGGGCTGGAGAGATGGCCCAGGAGTTAAGAGCACCTGCTGCTCTTATAGAAGAGCCAGGTTTGATTCCTAGCACCCATGTGGCAGTTCAGAACTACCTGTAACTACAGTTCCAGAGAACTGGGACATGCTCTTCTGACCTCTGCAGGGATTGCAGAGTGCTCCACAGACAGAAAATAAAAATAAACACTCACACACAAACAATAGTAATAAATAGATCTTAAACCATTTTTTGAACTCTTCAGTGGATTGCTTTCCATTCCCTTGCATTCAAAATTTCGAATTTCTTAGGTTGTCATTTTCTTGGTGTATTCATATGTATATGTGGATATGGAATGTGGTACCTATGAGTACAGGTGTATGTGCCTGTATGCATACATGGTGCTTTTCTCTGTTACTGTCTGCTTTACTGCTCTGAAACAAAGGTCTCTCACTGAACTGGAAGCTCACTTTCTCAGTTAGTGTAGCTGGCAGTGAGCTCTCAGCATACCCCTCTGTGTTCTCCAGTGCTTGAATACAGGCCCATGCATCCATGCCTGTATTTCTACATGGGTGCAAGAACAAGCTTTCTTACCTACTAAGCCATTTTTCTTGTGTGATTGTTGTCTTTTCTAAGAGTGGATTTTACATGTAAGTTTGGTTTGTGTTTTTTAACCATCACACTCTTACTTTCCCTTATTCTTCTAGGGTAAGACTACTGATGTTGTCTCAGCTTGGCCCTTTGGGGCGTATAACATCTGTCAGATTGCACAGCTGCCCTGAGCGTAAATTTGTGTTTTTCTTGTTACGCTGTCCCTCTCAATTCTAGGCTGAGTTTCTTCTTTGGCATATGTGTACCTTTGGTTTTGAGCCCTAGTGCTTCTCTTCTTATTTATACCTGCTGCCATTTCTGGGAGTAGATGAGAGTGGACGGAGCACATACCTGTTTATGCCACCATCTTGACAGAAAATCTGCCCTTTACACAGTAGCTCTTCACCTCTTTGAAGCCTATGTATGAATAAGCCTATCCTTTCCTCGGCATGCTGTGTTGTGTGGGACCCTTCCTGTGTCTGCTGCCTACTTCCCAGCCTTACTTTCTTCACCACATAGTGACATGACTGTTCATCTCTGTGTCATGCTTACACTAATCTGTTCCTGTTGTTTCCCCCTTTGCCTTGTGAATTAGTGACTGATTTATATACCCTTTTCTATCATCAGTTTATACCCCTGCTGTAGCCGTTGCGCCAGTACAGTGTCCAGCACACAAAGGAGTCTTCCAGCATGTGCCACACCAGCACTATCCTGTGTGCTTTTCATGGTGGCTTTATCCAAGTCCCTGGAAAGCAGGGCCAGAGACTTACTAGACTTGTGTATACAGGAGCAGGAAGCCAATGCAGATCCTATGGTTGGTCTGGGCAACCCAGCACTCTCTGGTGGGCAGTATAGCTTGGGCTTTCGTCCTTCTCAGGATAGAAGCTAGGACATTCATACCACACAGCTCTCAGCCCAGAGCTCTCAGCTGTCTTACCACTTTAGACTGGAAAGGGACATCAAAGAGCATCTGCTACCAGGATGCCACCTCTCTTCATGCTCAGTGCTTCTTTAATCTTCATGTTTTGTGGAAGAAGATTTACCATTCTGTCAATGAATCTTATAGTGTTTGGAGCCATTTTATTTGTTTTGTTTGTTTATTTGTTCATTTACTTATTTACATTTATTTTACTTTCTGTGCTGGGGCCAAACTGAGAGCCTTGCACATGCTAACCAAATGCTCTGTCTCTGAGCAACACTCTCAAACCCTGAAGCCCTTTCTATTTGTTGTGGTTCCAATTTGCTGTGAAAAAGACAATGTTCAAAAGCGACTTGAGGAGGATGGTGTTTACTTGGCTTACAGTCAAATATCAGAGAAAGCCACAGCAGAAACTGAAGCAGAGACCATGGAGTAATGCTGCTTATTGGCTTGCTCAAGCTGCTTTCTTATATTCTGTGGTTATCTGCCCACTGATGGCACTACCCATAGTGGGCTTGGTCCCTCATCTCAGCCAATCAGGAAAATGTCTCACAGGCTTAACTATAGGCCAGTCTGAGGGGGCATATATTTCTTTTTTATTAATTATAGTATATTCACTTTGTATCATACCTATAGCTCCCTCCCTCTTCCCCTTCCAATCCTACCCTCCTTCCCCCTTCTTCACCCATGTCCCTCCCGAAGTCCACTGGTAGGGGAGGTCCTCCTCTCTTTCCTTCTGATCCTAGTCTATCAGGTCTCATCAGGAGTGGCTGCAGTGTCTTCCTTTGTGGCCTGGTAAGGCTGCTCCCCCCTCAGGGGGAGGTGATCAAAGAGCAGGCCAATCAGTTCATGTCAGAGACAGTCCCTGTTCCTATTACAATGGAACCCACTTGGACATTGAACTGCCATGGGCTGCCTCTGTGCAGGGGTTCTAGGTTATCTCCATGGTTGGAGTATCAAGTCTCAGAAAAGACCCTGTGTCCAGATTTTTTGGTTCTGTTGCTCTCCTTGTGGAGCTCCTGTCCTTCCAGGTCTTTCTAGCTACCCCTTCTTTCATAAGATTCCCTGCACTCTGCCTAAAGTTTGGCTATAAGTCTCAGCATCTGTTCTGATACCCTGCAGGGTAGAACCTTTCAGAGGCCTTCTGTGGTAGGCTCCTGTCCTGTTCCCTCTTTTCTCCCTCTTCTGATGTCCATCCTCTTTGCTTTTCTGAATGGGGATTAAGCAATTTAGCTAGAATCCTTCTTCTTGATTAGTTTCTTTAGGTGTACAGATTTTAGTATGTTTATCCTATATTATATATCTAATATGAGAGGGCATATTCTTAATTGAGATTCTTTCCTCACAAATGACCCTAGATTGTATATATTTGACTAAAAAACAAAAACCAAAACAAAACAAAAACCTAGCCCAGCCTTCAAACCAGTGCAATTTGTGCTCAATCTACATGCTTGTTAATAAAGCATTCCTTCATTAATGTCTGTTTATTGAGTACCTTTTATATATCAGGATGGATCAGTCATGATGGACTAGCCAGGGTGGCAGAATTCACCCAAAGCCATACTTGCATACTAAACATAGGAGTGCAGCCAATGTCATGGAGTGGGGTACTCTATAATTGCCATGGGCACCCTATGATCCCATTTGCTCCTTTCTAGGTCATCCTCCATTCATATATTCATTTGGCCCACTTAACTGTATACCTGTGTGACATTATCCATTAACTCAACAGGGCAATACAGGCTGTCTTTGGGTGTTATGATATTGTATGAGGTAAATGTTTGTCATGGTTCCTGGCATATTTGCGAATTCACTGTTTACTACAGACAGAATCTGGACAGGATTGGTGGCAGAAAACTTGGGAGGCTGGGTTGTCTACAAAGCTGCAGCAGGGGGTTGACTCTCCTATTGTCTTTCTTTGGAAAAACAGGCCGGATCTTCTGAAAGCACTTGGTGCCCTGCTTTTGGAACGAATATGCTTGGAGGAGCAGGGCCTTTCTGGAGACCACCTTGATAGTAAAGCTGAGAAAGTGCTTCAGCAAGTAACTGTTCAGTTGAGAGATGAACTTGGCCCTTCCTTCCCAGCCAATTCATTCTCCAAGTCACACAATGAACTCAAGTCAGTGTGGAGGACAGGTGACGAAGGCAGAGTGGGCCTGAAGAATGCCTCAGTGCAGACCATCACCATCGAGGACACCCCTCATGGATTCATATCTCTAAGAGAAGCTTGGGTAGAGAAATCAAAGGAAGCCATTTTCAGTACCGAGCCTGGGTCAGGGGCCTTGGGTGAGATGCCAGGGCTACGGACCACTCCCCTTTCATTCCCCAGTGCCATCAACAAGGTAAGCTTCTCTGTAATATTACATTTATATTTACATATGTAGTATTAACAACATATGTTGTTATGTAAACAACAACATAAAAGGTTTAAAAAATCATCTTGAATGCCACTACATATTCTATTTCTTTGAAGGCCAAGTCAGTCTGGAGGCTTTATCTACCTGTGTTGTACCAGCCTCCACCTCCATGCCTCTTTTCCTCCCTGCCCTCCCATTCCACTTTCTACCCTGACCATAGCTCTATCTCATTTACCAGGATGCTTTTGTGTTTTCACCAGGAAAAGCACATGTGGAATTCTGTTTGTCTACCTGTCTGCAGTTTTCTCTTTGGTTTTATGAACTCGGACGTTTCCCCTTGAGGGCTGCTTAAGATTCCATTGGACCAGATTTATACAGTTCTCATTGACTGAAGGATATTTCCTGTTGCAGGTTGCAGTAAAATTGTAACAGCTGGACTTTAGAGGAAGATGAGAACCTGGCTTCTGTTTTAGGGGGACTTTTATGTGGGAGAGACAGGATTCTGAGGGCTTTATATGGTTGCCATATCCTGAGTACTCAGGGTTAGCTAGCTGAAAGTAAAGGACCTAGGCTGGGGCACTCACTCTGTGTGCCTGCAGGACCATTCCTGTTTCTTGCCAAACTGCTTTCCAGCCATGGTGGTCCAAAATGGAAAGGTCTGGTTTTTGTAAGTCAAAGGTCTGTGTATTGCTTTTCCCTCTGAGCAGCTGCTCTGTAAGCTGTAAGCACAGTCACACAGGCCAGATTATTAAGAATGAGACATTCTCAGCAGTGTGTGCTTGGATCTATTTACAGTCATTCCTCTGGGATTTGGGGTTGGGATTGAGAATCCATGTAGCAGAGATGTGTTTTGATGGAGAGGCAAAGCTGTCATAATTCTGACATAATTCTGGGATGCTTGCTTCTGATGGCTGTTTTGTAGCAGCGAAATCAACTGTATATACTGCTTCCTACCATCAGAATGGAAAATTAAGTTTATTTTCTGACCACTAAATTACTGCTTTTGTGCCTACCAGTTAAATATATCATTAGCAAAATTGCTTTTGATTGTTTTAAATTATGCACCAAAACTGTAATTTCTAGAAAAGGCTTTCCTAAAGATATCAGTAGGGACTATATATATATATATATATACACACACACACATATATATATACATATCATACATATATAAATAGCCATTATATTAATGGTACTTAAAATGCAAATTTGTGTGATTTGGCTAGAATAGAATTGCTTTTCTGTGCCCTAGCTCCCTCAGTTTGTACCTGTGTATTAGGAAAACTGGGTAGGTTGTTTTGTTTTTTTTTTTTTTCTTTATTTTTATATTTACTCTTTTTTGTTGTGTGGGAGATGCCATCTGATGTTCAGGAAATTGGATAATTCAATGGACTTAATTTTTCTAAATTAATTTTATTTTTTAAATAAAATTATATTTTCCATGTTTTTAAAATGAGGGAATTTTTATTTATTCGTTTACTATGTACCAAGAACTATGGTCAGTTGTCTGTATTATCTAATTTTTTCAACATTTCACATAGGAAGAAACAACACTTAGAGAACTGTCCAAAGTGACTCAGCTGGCAAGTGGTGAGAGGATAATTGCTTGCTTGGTTTCAGATGAAGGCAGACACTGGCTTCTTTTGTGCTTTTGGTGGTGGCAAAATTGGTAATCCAATGACTTAAGCTAGAACTCTGATACCCAATTAAAAAGAACATTACTGCACTGTAAGGGTGAGGCAGAGACTAGATAGAAGACTTTATAACACACCTGTGCTTGCATTAAGCTTGGCCTCAGTATCTTGAATGGGATCAGTGCAGCCCAGACTCCCAGGCTATATGGAAGCATAGTGAGATAAGAGTGGAATTGCCTAGGGCAGTATTGCTCTGTGTTGCAGGAGCTCAGAGCATGTGACTTCCATTCCCAAGGAAGGACTTGCAGTGATTCATCATTAATATGGTGGAAGGTGGGATTGTCCCACTCCTTAGGGCAGCACATTGTGTGATGTTATTTCAGAACTTGTGTTAGGCTGACTGACAGCAGTCTTCCAGCTTCAAATAGGCTTTGGCATTTGAGCACTTCAGATCTCTTCTTTGCTGCCATATGACATGCAGATTTGGATCCAAGAATAAAGACTGGTGGAGACCCAGGACCAAGAGAAATTGACTGTTTTTTCCCAGCCCTCTGCTGAGGCCATCCACTTCCTTTCAAGTGGTTCCTTTTACTTCTTCAGACTATCCTTGTCCTTGAACAGTTTCTCTCCCCTTCCAAGGAACTCTAGGACAGAAAGCATCCCCTTTTCCTAACAGCCTTGGAATCTGCAGAGCTGGTTTGACCCCGGAGCCTTCTTGCTGTATGATAATAATAGGGTAGTAGCTATTTAACATCTTGGTTCTTTGAGAACAAGCATGATGATAATGAGTTTCCATAATACCCTAAGGAAATCCCTTACTCCTTAGTAGTCAAACCAGTTTTCTACCTGCCCATGGCAAGTGCTAAGCAGCCACGGATCTACCTTCTGGTCCTGGGCATTTCCTATAAATGGACTCATGTAACATGTGACTAGATTTCCCACTTCATGTGATGCTTTCATAGTTCATTCATGTTGCTGCATGAGATAGTTCTTATCACCACATAAAATGCTAGGGAAGGGCTATTGTACATTTTATTTTTATATTATGCATTTTTTTGCTACTCATAGATGTTTTTGTGCATAGATGATTTTACTTCTCTTGAGTAGATATATAGAAGTAAAGATGATGGCCCAAATGCTTATTCTCTGTTTAGCAATTTTAAGGAACTTAAAATGGTACTGCTTGTACTATTTTTACTTTCTTCCCAGCAATGTATGAGGCTTCCAGTAACTCCATCTCCTCACCCACATTTGGTACCATCTCTGATTGTAGCTGCCCTGGTAGGAGTGAAGACGCATGAATGTGTTCTGTTGAGATTTCAGTTGCAGCCCTCTGATGGCTGTTGATGCTAAACATCCTCCCATGTGCTTGTTAGATCTGCGCGGTTTCTACCTGAGACATCTCTGCCTGTCTGTTTCCTAAATTTTAATTGGACCATTACATCTTATTATTATTGAGTTGTAATAGTTTATATATTCTAGATGTAAATCCTTCTCATTTTTTGAGTATGTTTAAAGTTTGCCATTTGAAAAATAGCCTCATCTGGCATCTAGAGTGTCTGCTATGTATTGGATTGAAACCTATGATACAGTATGATAAAGATATGCAGAGACCCAAACCCAGGGCCTTACACTCAACTGTGGACGACAGACAGTAAATATGGATTTTCTCAGACATTACAATGATGTTGATATCCTATAGGGAAAATGGCAAGGGACACTGAGTGTATACCAGTGAGCCTTAGGGGCTTGGACTTGGAAGTTGAGGGCTTTTTCTCTTGAGGGTGGCACATTTGAATTGTCTTGTTAAATGGCTTAGTAGGAAAGTGGAGGTCAACAAGAATGAATGTTCTAGACAGAGCATATGGTAAAGCCCTGAGGTTCCAGGAGCATGGCATTTTACAGAAACAATAGATGGCTAAAGAGAGAAGGCTAAAATGGGAATGGGCAGTGACTTCGACTCTGAGTCATGCTGTGCTTCGTAGGTTATGACGTGGACATTGACCTTTGGCTTAAGATAGCCAGGAAACAGTTAAGAGTTTTAAGCAGCAAGGAATAGTCAGTTTGCCTTTTTGCTTCAGCATGGAGTGGATTAGAGAGACTCGGAGTGAATGCTACACTTCCCAGGAGACTGCCTAGGTGAGAGCTAGGTGCCTGCACTGAGGGGTGCCAGAGAGGATGAGGGGAGTTAGAAAATTGTGAGGCACCTTAGAATAAAAGTAGTCTTTAAAAGTCTCTAGGCTTTCTGGATGGTACAGTGAGTTGGATAGGCATGATAGCAAAAGTAGTGGAACCTGCTGGTGGGAATGTGCCATGATAGAATCAAGGAGTTGATGGCCTGTAAAAAAGCTTTCATATAGGTTAAGCAAGTTGGAAGCTCCCTGAGTTTGAGAAATATACTAGTAGCAACCCAGTCAGTAGCCAGTTAAGTAAAGGACCAGCAAAAATATAAGAGAGATGGGCTCACACTAGGGATGGTGGGAAATGAGGACACATATAAAAACAAACACAAAGACATTTCCTAGAAGACTGTGTTAAAGGTGGAATGGCCATGTTTAGAATGTTTGGATTAGCCAAAGGAATTATGGATCAGGGCCCAGAGGGTGTTAAGAAGGGCCCTTGACAGTCAGTGTATGTGTATGTCAGGGTGGAGGGGGATCTTCCAAGATCTATGCTCTTTCTTAGGGATGGATAGAGATTCTATTATTGGACTAGAGGTGTGGGTAAACAGTTTAAAATCTATTTTAAAAACACAAAAACATAGCCCATGAAACAAAAGAAAGTGTGTTTTAAGCATATCATTGCTCTACATGTGTGTCTTCAGGATGCTGAGAAGACAGGCCTGCTCTTCCAATTAAAGACATCTGAGTTACTGGAAAATACATATGATCGTCCTGTCTCCCTGGAAGTAGTGGCTCAACTCCAGAGCCAGGTTCTAGAGCTGCAGAGGGAGCTGAAAGAATTTAAAACCCGCAACAAACAACTCCATGACAAGCTAATTCTGGCAGAGGCAATAATGGAGGGGATGGCAGTACCCAACCCTACACTGGTGAATGGTAAGCATCAAGAAAATGTGTTCTCTATGAGCTGAGTGAGTGGCTCACAGGACTGCCTGAAATGCTATTTCTGTTGTTCAGAATTGCAGTAAGTTTGTGTATAAACCCTGTGAACTGCAATGATTAACCTTAACTCCTGAAAAATGTACAGTGGAGGAATATGAGAAGGGAACCAAATCAGTTGGCTTGTTTTTATTCTGGAGTCTGGACTAGTAAGTGAGATTTGGACTTGTAGTGTTTTTAGGTCCTGGAAGAGGGGGTCCCTGCTTTAGTCCTTTGGAATTGTGTGTGGGTACCTAAGGTTTTGTTGTTGTTTTGGAACATTTAAAAATTTTTTCTTCTGTCATATATTACATCCTGAACATAGTTTCCTCTTTCTCCTCCCTTCTAAGTACCAGCCACAACCCCTCCCCACCATTCACTCCTGTTTTCTCTTCAGAAAATGTACCTAGGTTTAAATCTGTATTTTTTTTGGACTAGCTTCCAGCCCTGTGAGATTCTAGCAGGTGGCAGTATGGTTTGTTAGCGATGATCCTTTTTGTAGAGTTCTTTTTCTAACTTGAGACTGATCTCAAATGCTGATGACTCTTTTGAAGAAGTAACCCACTTCCCTGCTCGTGGCTCTTCTGGGACCTGTGGGTTCCAAAGACTTGGACAAAACATCTCAGGTGGTAACTCCTAAGTCTAGGACAGTACTTCAAGATTACAGACCATCAGACCTCTGAGAATGTGGAGAGTACAGAGAACCCTCATTGCAGGTCAGCCACAAAAGTAGTATTTACATCTCCCTCAAAGGTTCATAAACCTACAAATGTGCCAATGTTGACACTTGAGTTTGGTCTCCTACTGAATGCAAATGACGGTCACATGATGAACCTTTATCCATAATGGGATAACTTATTAAACCCTATGTGCCAAGCTCTGTTCTAGGCTCTGTGATGATAGGAACACAGAACAGATGAGGTCTGTTTGCAGCTTCTGTTCTTGAGTGTGTGTAGACAAGTTGGTAAGTGTATAGGTGATGGTTGTGAAGCGTGCGGTGGAGAGAAGTACAACAGGGTGAGGGCTTGTTGAATGTGTAGTGAATAGCATTCCCTAATGCTCATAAATGTTAAAGTGCTTTGACAAGGTGGAATTTGTTGGAAACTAGCATATGTCAGCATGATCGTCATCCTGGGAGAGGGAACAAGGGCAAAGGTGTTGCTTTATACTTGAGAACTAGGGGGTAGAGTAGGGAGACCAGTTATGTAGCTGGTATGCTGGCATGTAAGAAAGGCAAGAGGAGGTTAGTAAGCAACAGGCCAAGTGTGCTTCCAGAGACCACTCTAGGACTTCATCTTCACAAGATTAGAACCTGTTGGAGGCTTTTAAACCACAGAGTGACATGATCTAACATAACCCTTAAAGCAGGAGTTGACAAAGTAATGTCTTTGGGTCAAATCAGGCTTGCTGCTTGCTTTTGTGATTTAGGCTTATTGATACCCAGCACCATTCATTCAAATATCATCTGTAACTATTTTATTATGTAATAAAGTTAAAGTTAGGCTGGAGAACCTAAAGTGTAAAAATGTATAATTTCCATTTTTGAAGTTAGTGGCCAACTTGTGTTTGTTTTGTTTTGTTTTGCTTTTTAAGGGCTTTCTTTTCACTCTGTTAGAAGGATGGGGTTGCCTTGCAACAGGGTAAGAAACACCACAGGAGAGGCTGGTTTAGGGGATGTTAGACAGTTTGTTAAATATCCTAGTAAAGACTTCAGGTGTCTAGGAGAGGGGAATAAGCTTGAAAAGAAACTGGGAAATAGCCACATGTATTAATATACATACACCATGTATACCAATGTGGCTTAGAGCCATAGAGATGAGACTGGAGAGTTCTAGAAGTGAGGGTTAGACTGAGGAGGAGAAGCAGGTAGGACACCAAGTAGGGATGGCATCTTATCATCTCAAAAGCCAAGTTAGAGTGATGGTAAGATAAGTTAGATATTGATGGTAAGATGAGGCTTGAGGATCTTCCTTGGTATTTAATGAGGTCTTTAAGAAGAAAGCCTTTGTGGGAAGAGCTTGATTGGCATGGGTTCCAAAGAACATGGATCTGAGAAATTAGAGCCAGCAAAGATAGACACCTCTGAGGAATTGCACTGTTGGAAAGGTATGAAGGGAAAGGGCCACTAGGTTCCAGATTGCCAGTGAATCTGTAGGGACTGGACTGAGATTATTTGGGATAGCCCAGGGTCTCTTAGAGCAAGGACTGCGACAGTGTTCAGACAGCTTGGCTGTTTCTAGCTTGCCAGTTAAAAGAGTCAAGTACTGCATAGGAAAATGTGTCATGTCAGGGCATTTCTAGAGTGGGTCAGGGGTTGGAGGTGGTTCTCAGAGCCTTGGGTTTTCTGTGGCACTAATAAAATTAGAGTCCCTGTTGATTGTTGAACCATCACACACATTAAATACCTGATCTAATTGAAATGCCCTACTGTCTTTGGAGGTAGTTCTAGTAATTACTGTCTCTATCTTATGCCTAGGCAGCAGTTGAAGAGAAAAATGTGAAAAGTGTGCCTTGGCCACAGTCACTCTGGTACTTGTCGCCTGGTACTCATATGAAGTAGCCTGGCTGATTCCAAACTCTACATTCTTTCTTCTTCCATGAGGCCTAACACATAAATACTCTCATAGGGATTATGTGATATTATGTAATACTCTGTAGCCAAAGGCAGCTTCCTTTTACTTTTACATTTTTCACTTAGATTCACCTATTTGAGGTTTCAGGGTCAGTAGAGTTCTACAGAATCAGACTTCTCTCTCTCTGTTTCATCTCCCATTTATCCTTTCTTCTACCCATCTAGGCATCTAGTTACCCTGTTGGTGTACATTATCTGACCACCTGCTATGTCTCCAGCCAGCTCAGGGACCATATATAGTTCTCTACCATCTGAGAGTTCCCTGTCTTACTGGGGTTGAGACAGATAATCAACTCTGCAGTGGGGTTTCCAAGGGGAGAGTGCCATGCGGAGGTGACTCAGCCCAGCAGAACAACTTGTATTTGTCTAAAACTTGCTCTCTGCTCTGCACACTTGCTGAGACCCAGGAGTACATCAGCCAGGTACTACTCTGGCCATCACCCAGAAGCCTCTGGGCTTCTCTCATTTTGGAAAAGTGGGCATGGGTTGATGAAAATTCATTTTCTCACTCATAGTTTTTTGAGAACTTAGACTTAAGCCATCTCAGACAAGCTGTTCTATATTTATGCTTTTATGTCCTGTTATGGCAGCTCGATAGATTAATTTTGTCTTATAAATTGCATTTTTCCTCCCCAGTGTTTTTATTCTCCCGGTTGTATCTTTGTGTTATTCTCAGTTGCTTGGCTAAATTTCAAGTCTACAGTTTTATTTTCTTTCTCATTGCTAGTGCCTGCAGCTCAGTGTGCTTTGAGAACAGCCTACGAGGACAATGTAGGCGAGCAAGAAGGACCTGAAACCACACCTTCTGCTGGGAGAGACAAAGAAGTGGACAGTGATCAATACACAAGCTTTGAGATTGGTTAGAATTCAACCGCCTTGCAGCAGCTACTGAGTACTAGGCATTGTTTAGGACTGTTTCCATCAGAGTCCTTACTAGGCCCTTAAAAACCCACTTGTGGGGCTTTACTATCATTCCAATATAACATAGGAATAGGACTGGGGAGGTTATGTGAAAATGACTGGTGTAGGGTCACAAAGCTGGTAAGGAGGCAGGAGTGTCAGGGCACAACTTACTCACATTGGGACAAACTGGTCTATTATCAGACTTCTGCAAGGCAGAGGGAAGGCTCAGGTTGTTTAGTATGAGAAAACAGTATCATCTCTCAAGGGATCTCACACATTAGGGACGTGGGATTAGAGTAGGACACTTGCATGCAGCTTAGTCTTGACTGTTGTTGAGTTGGTCTCTGTCCATCCAGGAAGAGTGGGTTGGAGGAAAGACTGCTGCTGAGACCAAGATTGTGAGCTTTTCCAACAGGTCAGTTGGAATGATGCAGAGACGAGTGAGGTCTCCAGCAAGTTGTATCCCCTTTCTTTAATTATGAAATATTTTATCTATACAGATATACATAAAGGACAGTACAACAACTATCCACATTCCTATTTAGTCAAGATGAGCTAGTGCTTATGCTTATTCTGTTTACCTTAGATCTTTTATTTTTTCATTAAAAATAAAATCATTCTTGTTTTGGATTCAATATACTTTGTAAGAAGTTGCAATCACTGTTTCAGGGAACAGCCAGCCTCTGGAACAAGAATGAGCTATGGCCAGGGCCCTCTGCTGTGCACCTTCCCAGACTAGAAATGCTGTGCTGATTGCATAGTCTTTGTGCTTCTTTGGGGTTTTCTGGCCTTTTAGGAGAAAGGTGCTGTAGCAGTCAATAGAGTGCTGGTTAGCTCAGCTGTGGGTAATAATTTGCATGTGAAATGCCTCTCACAGGTTCATGTGTTTGAACACTTGGTCTCTAGTGTTAGTTAGTGCTGTTTGTAGAGACTATGGAGTCTGGATCTGGTTCATAGCTAGTGACTAGTGGAAGGTTCCAGAAGGTTCCTTTCCCTCTCAGTTCTGGTTTGTCACTGAGCTGCATTTGTCTTTCTGAGTGTGTATTTAGATCTATGCACACATGGCTGCCTCTGCTTGAATTCCCCCTTTTCTTGCTTTGCTGAAGCTTTATTCTGAGATCCCCACCCACGATGTACCTTTTGTGGGTATACTTTTTAAATATCCTTGGACTTGAGCACTGGTGTTGATTTGTTCAGTGACTGCCTGGCTCAGGGCTGCATGTTATGCATAACACCTTAGCTTTGCCTCCTTTTTGAAGAACACTTCTGTAGGTGCTTGGGGAAAGAATGGAGAGCATCATCTGCACAGGTCCTAGTGGCCTTACTCTCTACTCATGTGCTTCTGACACAGGAAACCCCAGCAGAAGATTCAGGACTGTTGTGACAGAAGGCATCATTTGCAGTGTTTCTACTTTTTACTCCAGCTCTTAAAGCCTTCAGTAACACAAATACCTCAGGTGAGGTGCTAGCACATAGGCTGGTCTTGGCACATGCATGGTCTTAAGTCCAAGGCCTGCCAGCTTGCATTATCAGTCATATACATATACATCATATACATATTCCTTTCCCACAGCATTCATACAGTTCTAACCAAACAGTGGAAATAGTTTGTTCAGACCATCATCAACGGCTGCTGAGCAAAGAATAAAAATGTCACATTGCTTTACTCATGCTGGCCGTGAGACTTGCTCTGTGTTGGCCTTAGATATGGGAAGCCAAATCCCTGCCTTTGCTAAATCATAAATTGTTGTAGATTGTGGACTTTTGAGAGTGCTTCTTTTTAAGGACGGGTTGCGTTGTTGTGATTGTTGTTCTATTACTGAAAATAGTTGTTTTTTCCTCTTATATAATTTAACCTGATTATGGTTCCTTTTGCTCTTCTCCTCCCAGGTCCTCCCCACCTTTTCTCCCATCCAGATCTACTTCTTACTGTCTCTGATTTGAAAATAAACAAGCTTCTAAGGAATAATAATATATAAGATAAAACAAAAGTTATCAAATAAGACTTGGACACGACAAACCAACAGAAGGAAAACATCCCAAGAGAAGGCACAAAAATCAGATACCCACTCATTTGCACCCTTATGAATCCTATAAAAGTACTAAACTGGAAGCCATAATATATACACAGAGGACCTAGAGCAGGCCTGTATAGGCTCTGTGCATGCTGCCTCAGTCTGTATGAGTTCGTTTGAACTTTAATTATATTGATATAGAGGGTCTTGTTTTCATGGTGTCCTTTAACCCCTTTGGTTCTTATACTGTTTACTTCTTTTCTGCAGAGTTCCCTGAGCTCTGAGTAGAAGGATAGAGACATCCCATTTAACCCTGAGTGTTTTTCTAGTCTTTTTTTTTTAAGATATATTTATTTATTTTATGTACATGAGAGCTCTATCTTCATGTACACCTGCATGCCAGAAGACATCAGCTCTCACATTATAGATGATTGTGAGTCACCATATGGTTGCTGGGAATTGAACTCAGGAACTCTGGAAGAGCAGCCACTTCTCTTAACCACTGAGCCATCTCTCTATCCCCTTGGCAACTACTTGGGTTGTTTGGAGATTCCTATGGGACCCCTTTGGCCATCAACTCAATTAGATGTAATCCAGTCCCAGTACTAAAATCTTTATTTGGTGACAAGAGATGGGCTGTTGGGATTCTTGTTTCCCCCACTATTTGGCAATTTCATTTGGAACACCTTTATATATATATATATATATATATATATATATATATATATATATATATATACACACACACACACACACACACACACACACACACACACACACACATACATATATATATTTTAGGAAGCTTCTACTGTATTATGGTTCCATACTACCTTGAGGATACTTCTAAAGGATGAAGTATAGGAATGTTATGATTGTTGCATTGTTAGGAGCAGAGTTTAAAGTAGAGGTATAAATGTGACTGTGAGCATGCACGCCCCTGGCACTCTCTGTGCTGTATATTCAAATATTTGGGCCAATCACAATTTGTCTCAAAGTGACATTTGTGTAGCAGTTGCATTTGTCTTTGTTTTATGATTCCTTAACAAAACACATCATAATTAATCTTTAGTTCTTTGAGAAAGATTTCTTCTTGCTATCAAGTGTAGATGATACTATAATGAGACTGCTATGATATGGTAGCATGACACTGTGTTCTACAGGTGTGTTGGGCTGTATGCATAGCTTCCTGGGACACATGTAACTTATGGAGCTTAGTTTGGATATGCCTATGTACTTCCTCATCCTGGAGGCTGACTCCCTGGAACAAAACCTTGTTGAGGGATATTTTGCTTGTTCTTTCTGATCTGTACTCTCTTTGAGCCACACTCCGTACCACATACCTTTTCACTATCCATCATGTACCAGACACTAGAAAAACAGATGAGTGATTTCTGTTTGATGACATATTATACAGTGTAGAAGTGCTGTATTGGGAATACTTGCATTAAGATGTATACCCATTGTTACCTTAAAAATCCAAAGGTGATGTTGACATTGTAAACAGAGATAAGAGTGGCCTTGAGACTATGACGAACAAATTCTAGAAGCTGTGGTTCCATAGAATGTTGATGTAATTGTCTTTCTGAGAGCCACCCTAGGTCATCTTGTCCATCTCATATTGTTGCCCTTAAAGCCTTTTCACAAGCCAGCCTTTGCTTGTTTGCCTCCCATGACGATATCTTCCATCTTTGAAGAACTGGTTCTAAGGAAGCAAGGAGCAGTTCCTTTACTGCTGTGTATATTAGTTATGTTAGCCTTTTTCTGAAAGTGTTCAGTATAATGCCAGCAAATAAATACAGCTCTTCCCACTGAGTAGTGTCCTTTCTACTATGCAGCTGAAATTTTGGAGGGTCAGAGAGGTTCATTAATTTGCTCAAGTACAGCTATTGGAAATAAGGAAGCAGAGCCAGTGTTGGAGAACAGGTCTATTGATTTCAGAGGTGAGGTTTTTCAGGCCTGGAAAGATGTCTCAGTGGTTAGGAGCACTTACTTTCAGAGGACCTGTTTCAAAACCCATGTCCAGGCAGCTCACAGCTGCCTGTAATTCCAGTTCTGGTACTCTTTCCTGACCCCCATGGGCATGTGCATGCATGTGGTACATAAACAGACAAGCAGGTGTGTAAATATACACAGGGAAGTACACAGTCCAAAAGTGAGCCCACAGAAGAAGGAAAACTAGACCTAGAAAACTAAAGTATGGAAGGACAAAAATTATTCAGGACACAATATATGAAGAAGTGTGGAAGTGTGAAACAGAACAATGTGGGCAGGAGGTGCTGGGGACTTTGTGAGAACCTTCCATGGGTGGTGTGTCGGCTTGGGGTGCCTCCAACCAGGTCATAGGAATCTCAGAATAGGAGTACTGACGGGTTTCAGTATGTAGGGTTTATCATGGTTGAATGCCCTCTTTAGAACATTTATCTGAGAAAGAGGATGGATTGAGTGGTAAAACAGCATGCTAGCCAGCTTTCTAAGACAATGAGCTTGAAAGGACGGAAAGGATTTTGTCTTGTGGGTCCATGACTGGCTGGGCTTTTCCCTGTGAGTCTTTGGTGAGGGAGAATATCATGGTGGGGGCTTGGGGTAGAGTATAGCTGTTCACATCATAGTGTCTAGGAAGCAGAGAATGGGGGACAGGTTCTTAATGTCCTCTTCAGTGATGATTTTCTTCTACTAGGCCTCACTTCTAAACACAGTACAACCTTCTGGCAGTGCTGTGAACCAAGCCTTTACTACATGGGCTTTGGGGACATTTAAGTTCCACAGTTCAACTGTGGGAAGCACCAGAGGCAGGTGGCTATTATGGTAGTGTTGACTCAGCATTGGCTCTGTGATATACGGGGTTGGTTGCAGCAAAGGAGATATTGACAATGATTAGTATTTGATTTTCAGATTCTGAAATCTGTTCTCCTGATGACCTTGCCTTAGTACCAGCATTCAAGGAGAACCCTGAGGACTGCCTCGACCCACCTTCCATAGCCACTTACTTGAATTCCAAGAGTCAGCTCTCTGTTAAAGTCAGTGTGATTGGTACTGACCCGTCTGAGAACATTGATATCCCTGAGGACATAGAAGCCTTAAAACAGAAAATCCAGGACTTGCAAAGTGAGCTGGAAGGCTACCGAAACTTCATAGTCCAGCTACAGAAGCACTCTCAGTGCAGCAAGGCCATTATCACAGTTTTGTGTGGGACAGAAGGGGCCAAAGATGGCTTAAACAAGTCTACAGGCCACATTGATGAAGAAGAAATGACATTTTCAAGTTTGCACCAAGTACGGTATGTGAAGCACATGAAAATCCTCCATTCACTTACCCCAGAGATGATTGACGGCAGGATATTAGAGAGCCTCAAACAACAGCTGGTAGAACAAGAGCAGGAGCTACAGAAGGATCAGGATTTGAACTTGGAACTTTTCAGCAAAATCCATAACCCGCAGAACAAGTTCCGAGACCTTTCTCCATCAAGGTACATCTTATTCCTTCCTGCTTCAACCTCTTTCCTAATAAGCCTGCAGTTCTCCCAGGTTGTTGCTAGGCAGGAGCCCAGGAACTCTGAGGGAATGCTGCTCTATTGGTGAGTAGAGTATAAACTAAGGAAAGCCTCACCTGGGGTTCAGGCAGCCAGGATGAGCATGAAAGGCTAGGCTAGGCTGCACAGCATTGCTCTGTGCTGGGTATGCACATTAGTTAGGAGCTGTGCACCTTCTGAGATTGGCAGGGCAGGTGTTGCCCTTCTGGGCTGAGGACTCAGGGTAGAAGCTCCACAGCAGTCACTCAGTGGATTGCAGTGTGTTTACTGAGCTGTCTGCCATGTTTATTTTTGAACTATGTTATTGGCTTTTGCCATTTTGTGGAAGTAAAACGGATGTCCTAGGCAAGTTGGGAGGAATGTAAATGTTTTCTGTATCTTTCCCCTTAAGGTCTTCTTAGAGAAATAAGCTTGTGTTGAAATCAAGAAATTCTTAGGTCATGAAGATAATGCTTTATGGTTATGAATACATACATTGGCTTCATGAGATATGGTAAAAATGGGATCATCTGTAAAGTTGAGCTTCATTCATTACTAATTTGAGAAAAACACTGTTCTGAATTGTCAAAGAGCGAGAGTGATTTTCTTTCAAGGCTGCCCAAGCAGTGAGTCTGAGGGAGCTTATTTATTGATGGGCTGTTGTAGCAGTCCCCAGGCTAAAAAGTTTTTGTTTTGTTTTGTTTTGAAATGGAATTTCACCTGTAGTTCAGGCTGGCCTCAAACTCATAATCCTCTTGCCGCAGCCTCTTGAGTGCTGGCATTGTAGGTGTTGTCTGACCCTGCTAGGTGAGAAACTTGATGATTTAACCCCAGACACTGAGCAGGAGGCACTCTCAAGTTGTTGTTGTTGTTGTTGTTGTTTTTTTGTAGCTAAACTGAGACTTTTGTGACTTGCCTGAGGCATTGCCAGGGTTCAAGACCATACAAACACCTCACTCTTCCTCTTCCACAGAACTGGCTCCACCTTTAAGATGGGTATCATATGATTGGTTTTTGGTTATTGGTTGTTAACAGTGGTCATGGTGAACCAAAGTGTCTGTCAGGCAACTCTAGATCTAGCTAATTATGACTACTTTTCCTCCTTTTGAGGAAGCTGCAGACTTGGGCCATCATAGAGAAGTGGTGGTGAGGAGGTAGTATTGCATGATAAAACTTCGTAGACTGTGTGTTTGAAAAACAAAGCTTTACCACCTAAATATCTTTGAGAAAGATTTCCTTTTCTGCATGAGTCCATGTATTAGAAGCACAGGACAACCAGGTGACTTAAGATAACTCGTTCCCATGACTGATGGGCCCTAGTCACTCAGTAAGTGGTAGCCAGGTGTCTGGCTTTTTCTGTTAGAAGCAGGCAGTCCTTTCTTTTTACCCTTGTCATGCACACATGTGCGCACAATCGCACGCGCGCGCACACACACACACACACACACACACACACACACACACACACAGTATTTGTACTTGGTGAGAACATTTGGTAGGTCCCTGACCCTTGAGGCATTTGTTTCTGTAATTCAGCATAGTGTCTTTGAAGAGTGTATGGAAACTAATTGTTCTCCTGAGTCCCTGCCAATCTGTGCTTTAATTGGGGGCTTTCTGAGGTTAAAAATATTGCGGAAGAATCTCTATTCAAGCATTTGTTGGTTGTTTGAACTCAAAGAAGGAGTGACCTTGTACAGTTTCAATTTTTCTAAAGTATATATGCTTGTATAGCTTCAGGCTTTCAGAAATTATGCTCTGTCATTTTTCCAATTAGTGTTAAGGTCACAAAAATTCAATTCTGAAATGACACACACATTTTCCTTTCCTCTTTTATCAGATATGATTCATTGGTTCAGTCCCAAGCCAGAGAGCTCTCCCTTCAGCGGCAGCAGATTAAGGATAGCCATGACATCTGTGTCATTTACCGTCAACACATGAGCATCATGATCAAAGCATTTGAGGAGCTTCTGCAGGCCAGTGATGTGGACAGTTGTGTGGCTGAGGGCTTCCGGGAGCAGCTAACACAGTGTGCTGGACTGCTAGAGCAGCTGGAGAAGCTTTTTCTCCATGGTAAGTGGGTAGAGCGCTGGTCTGAGACTTTCTGTGGCTTCTTGGGTGGCCATTGGCAGAATTCACTCCCTGCCCTTGCTTGCCTTCTTGCCAGCTATACACACTGATCTGGTTGTTCTGCCATTAGTCCCAAATAACCTTCTTTCTCATGGTCTTTACCCCTTGCTTTTCTTGTTCCTTTTCCTTTTCTCAGCCATCCTGTTGGGTAAGTCCTCCTTGACAATCTGTGTAAGACAGCAGTGCTCCTGTCACAGACATCCACTGTCCACTTCTTCTGTTCAATATTTCTTTGTGCTTATAGTCAAGGAGTGAGTGAGTCCAGTTTTATGGTATGAAGAGTGTGGCTCATGAGAGGAAGTACCTCATTTGCGATCATGGCAGCAATGAATGGCCAATCTAGGATTTTATAACTGATCTCTTAGCATACATCTATTCCCCCAGTAGATCTATTTGTATTCTTCTTGGTGTTGTAGATGCTATTTGATTAAAACTTCACAGTGACTTTGGAAGTAGGAGGTGATAACTCAGTGTCATAGTCACTGTTCTATTGCTGTAAAAAACACACCATGACCAAGGCAACTCTTATAAAAGAAAGCATGTATTTGGGGTTTGCTTAAAATTTCAGTGGTTTAGTCCATTGTCATCATGGTAGGGGCATGGCATAATACAGGCAAGTACTTGAACAATAGCTGAAAGCTACATCATGAACTTTAGCCGGGGGGGGGGGGGGGGCGAGGAGAGACAGACAGACAGACTCTGGCCTTTTGAATACTCAAACCCTACTCCCTGTGACACACTTCCTCTACCAAGTCCATACCTCTTAATCCTTGTAATCCTTATCAAATAGTGCTACTTCCTGGTGGCTAAGCATTCAAGTACATGAGCCTTTTGGGGCCATTCTGATTCAAACTACCACACTCCATTCTGTGAAGTCTTGGTGTTGCTCTCTGGCAGTAGCCTGGGCTGTCCCATAGGGTATTGTACTGCCCTTTTGGCTGCTGGGATGTTGGATGGAAAACAGATGTTCCCATCTCTCTTTTAGGCCAGTACAGGTGCAGTTTGCTTCAGGATGGGAATAAGGGAACCCCCAGGGATCAAAGGTTCAGCTTCTCTCAGGAATGACTAGAGTGCTTAGGGTGAGGCCCATGCAGTAGGCAATATTCTTGGTCTTAGGAGGAGGAGTTTTTGAGGGTGAATGTATTTAACTTGCTTAGGGCTAGGGGTGTCTGAGATACTTAATTTACATTAACAAAACAGTGCCATCGTAAGAGGGGAGAGTGGTATTTAATTATTGTATGGGTAGGGGAGAATCTCCAGGTACAGTTAAAGGTCATTGGTTGAAAGCCAAGACACCATGACTTCTTATTAGCTTAAGGTGGGTATCTCCAGGAATCCCCAGGTACTTGCTAAACAGGTTTCTTATCAGGAAGGGGCCAGTAATCTTCCCTGAGGGCTATGTGATACTCCTTACAGGATCTTGGGTTTCCTAGATCAGGCAAAGAAGGAACCCCACTGAGAAAGTGAGTCTGTTGTCGTAGACTGAGCTCAGAGGCTATCTGGGAATACCACACTTAAGACCTTAATAGTAGGGTTCCACGCCATGGCTCTGTGAGGGACCTGTGGCTCTCATGACCAAGTGCTTACAATCATATGTGTTTATAGTGAGCTGGGGCTAAATCCTCAGGACTATGTGCTTTATAGGCCTATGTGGTTTAAGAGGCTGGTCATAAGTGAGAAAAGTGAGTTGCCCAGAGATAGTGTGCACTTGGTGAAGATAATTTTAACTGCTTTTCTGCAGGTGGTTCTCCATGCTCCCTGTATGTACTGTTTAATTCCACAATGAACACAGGGGAGCTCGCCAATCTGGGTCTCTTTGTGCTTTTCCTAAAGCCCCGTTGTTGGCTGACTTCCTGGAATTTTTTCTCTGAGAGCTTTGAGGATCGGGGTGTAGGAACACTAGACTGTTAGCAGCTTTATAAAGGGTGCTCTTTCTGGCTCCTATGTTCTCAATAAGCTCATTTTTACTTCATGGTGCAGAAGTAACTGGGTGGTGGACAGATTGACCAAGCTCACAGTATTTTGTTGTCTTTCTTAAGACAACCCTGGCCCTGGTTCTGGCAAGGGAGGTAAAGGGGAGGATGCTTCTGGCATCTGCTGTGCTCCCTCTTCAGCTAGCTGCTCAAGACTTCTCAGTCAGCCAGAGTTTGAGAACCATTCCACTTGTTTCTTGTAGGCTCTGGAGCAGGAACATTTCAGGGCTAGCAGATGGCACAAGTGTAGGACTTCATATTCTTCAAAGTATAAAGGCCTTAGGTACCATGCTGCAGCTCCTTTCTTAGGGAATAAAAAGAGGCACAGAGACCAGTATTCCTTGGATGCCCTGTAAGGGGTCTGGCTCTTGAATTACGAAGCAGGTTTACAATAAAGTAATTTGTATATAAGGCAGTTGTAAGGCACATGTTGTCAGACATTTACATATAGACCTTAGATGATAATACCAAGCATGTTTGCTATGGGATGATGGATAGGTAGCCACTACTCTGACTATCATTTGTGTAGCTGTGCATTGGAAGCCTTGAGTTCCTCCGCTTGACCCTTTTAGAACTTTTTTTTTTTTTTTTTTTTTTTTAACAGCAACAGGACTCTGCAACTTTTCCCTTTCCTCACTGATAGATAACATACATTAAGCTTTAGTGGCTACAGAACATCTTCTGTGTAAATGTTCCTTGCCTTATTTGATGATTTCCAGGGGGTGGACACTTAGGTTGCGTCCATTTAGGGACTCTTATAAAGAACAGTCACTTGGAACCTCAGTACATTCTTGCTACTTCTGTCAAAACATTTGGTTGGCAGAATCTTAAGAAGCAGAATGGGTAGTAGTATGCTTTCTTGATACTTGCTATGGGCAAAGCTACTAAGGATCCTGATAGGATCTGGAATTCAAAGAGATTCTATGGAGTGTGATTTTTCTGGGTGAAGGTGTGTAGCTTTCAGATTTGCCACATGGCCAGGATCCAGAGTAGATCAGGAGCTAGAGTCGCAGTCAGGTTTTCTAGCATAGCCTTATTGTGGTATCTCCAAAGACGAGCTGCATAGACAAGGAAGGTAGTAATTGAGCAAAGTACTAGAACTGGTGCAAAGACAATTGATTGATAGTTCCTCAATGAACTCAGTAGGATTGTCAGGGTTTAGCCACTTAAATAGAAAGCAGTCACTAAGGATCCTTTGCCTTGACATTCTTCCTCATTTCTTCTCAAGATTTTCCATAGTCCAATGGAAAAACAGTGAGGAAATGCAGAAGGTAGTTTTCATTGTGTGTTTGCTTTATTGTCAGCCCAGGTGGAAATATGTGTCATCCTTGTGTCCTATGAGGAGTATAGAGGTTAGCTCACTTGTACCAGGTCACACAGGAGGTGGCAGAGTCTGAACTGGAGATTTTACTTCATAGCCTGTTCTAACCACTGGGATATATGTAATGCCTGTCACATAGCCTGTTCTAAACAGTGGGATATATGTATTGCCTGTCACAGTAAGAGCAACTGTTCTTATTGCCTGGGTGTTGCATTTCCCCTTCTGTGAGTCTTACAACCAGTGCCTTTCTATACAGGCCGGGCTCACTCTTTACATAAATTGTGCTGATCCTCTGAAAGCTTTCTTTTTTACCCCAAGTAGAAGAGAGGTCTCGTTCCTGTTCTTCACTCTGGGTTACCTGCAATTTATATATGACTTTGTGATGGGGCTATCAGAGGGATGTTGGAGTGGCCTTTGGAATCAGAGATTGGAGTTACTACCCTGGCTTATGGGTCATTCTACTTTATAGGTCATATATCTTCTATGGGGTTAGTAACAACCACCTTAACAGAGTCCTTTGTAAAGATTAAGTGAGATTATTTTAAGTGTCTCATGTTGCCATTGGAAATAGTGGGACTTCAGGAGGTGACAGAAACGATTACAAGGTGTAACTAGCTTACTGCAACTTGATATTGCCATGGTCAATTAACATCCGTGAGTAGTCTGCTCTTTTCTGAAGAGAAACAGAGATGGAGTAAATTGGTGGTAGGAGAGGGCAAAGGGGGAGGCAGAGGGGAAGGAGAAGAGAGAGGGGAAACTTCAGACATGTGAAAAAAATGAAAAAGAAAGAAGGTAAGTGTATTTATATATTTTTAAATTTTTTTATTATTTTTCACAATTAATTTACTTTGTGTCCCATTGTAGGCCCCTCTCTCATCCCCTCCTGGTCCTACCTTTCCTTCCTCTTTTCTCCCTATCCCCCTCTCCTAGTCCACTGAAAAGGAGGAGTCCTTCTTCCCTACTATCTGACCCTAGCCTGTTAAGTCTAATCAGGACTGCCATGGTCCTCTTCCTCTGTGGCCTCAATAAGGCCACCCCACTGGGGGAAGTGATCAAAGAGCACGCAGCTCAGTTCATGTCATAGACTGCTGTTGTACCCCTTATTAGGGTACCCACTTGGAGACTGAACTCCCTATGGACTACATCTGAACAGGGCGTCACTCCATGCATAGTTCTTGGTTGATGCAGGGCCCTCTGAACCCAGATTTTTTGGCTTTGTTGGTCTCCTTGTGGAGCCCCTGTCCCTTCTGCATCCTTCTATCCCCCCAACTCTTCCATAAGACTCCCTGCACTCTGCCCAAAGTTTGGTTGTGAGTTTTGCATCTGTTTCAATCTCCTGCCCCTGGGTGGAATCTTTCAGAGGACATCTGTGGAAGGCTTCCGTCCTGTTCCCTTTCTTTCACTGCTTCCTGTGTCTATCCTGTTTGCCCTTCTGAATGAGATTTTATATATTTTTTTAAAAAAGAAAGAAAGAAACTTTTGATTACAACAGTGGCTCACGCTGTCAAGCAAAGGGTTCTGACTCCTGTCACCATAGAATCACTTCCTCCATATGAAGTAGTTCTTGTTCCAAAGATGGAACACAGAAACCTGGCATGGTCATATAGGCTTATCATCCCAAGTGGTGTTGAAGAAAGAAGATCATGAGTTTGTGGCTAGCCGGTATACATAAAAAATCCTGCCTGTATATAATCACATATATATGAGCTGGGGAGAGAGAGAGAGAGAGAGAGAGAGAGAGAATGAGAATGGGAATGGAGGCAAAGCTCCCTCCATCCCTCCTCATCTAATTTTCCTTCTTGCTGAGGCTGTACTATGCTTATTTTCTCTAAAATTCTTCCGTTACCACCGTGCCCCTCATCACCACATCCTGTAACTGTCCCCTTGGAGGTGAGTGAGCTCACCAAAGGCAGACAGGACAACTCTGCATCCATTCTCATATCCTCGGTGTGTGCCAGGTTCCTGGAAAGAGCCTTGGTAGACAGGAAGGAAGAAGCATGAGGTTGAGTTGGAGATGCCAGGCACTTGGGTTTGAATGTGGGAGACAGTGTAGTATAGGTGAGGAGTTCTGTGCCAAAGAGGATTCTGAACAGCGGCAGGGGACAGACTAAGTCAGCCATTCAGAAGTCACTCATGTTGTGATCCTCTTGCTTGATGCACAAGGAAAGCTAGATTTTAGATTTTGTTGTTTCTTCATTTCTGTTTTAAAACATGATACCTCCTCACTGCTCAAGCTCAAGCTCACAGCTTTTGGGTTTGCCAGAGAGATGGGAGGAGTATTTTAATGACATGCATCCCAGGCTCCTGCAATAGCTGACAGATGGTCTCCTGCCACCTGTGTGGAGACAGTTTCCACGAAGAAACTCATTTTATCAGTTGTTACCATGTACTCATGAATCACACTAGTCATCTGTCAGTTTGCTTAGAAGGACCTTATTGTGATGAGGGAAATAGGTGTAATATGAACTACCCAAAAAGTGTTTTATTTAACAGGAGAACTTCCTTCTGTGGCCTTGGAGGCTAGTTCTTTCATGGGTTTAAAATGGGCTCATTTTCAGGAGACTCAGGATGCTTAATGTTATTCCAGACCAAAGACATGTGCATGAAGGCGGTGGCTCTCAATGCACAGTGATGCCCATGCAACAAGCTGCTACCTTCTGTTTGCCTGGCAGTACTTGGATAGCCTCTATCTGTTGGCAAGGCTGTTGGGTAGTGGCCTTCTTGAGGTTTGTGAAGTTGGAGGCTTTTCATCAATGGAAGGCTTGTGAACAGCCCCAATAACCATTAGGCAGGTCACCTAGCTTCGAAAGAAGAATCTAATTGGCACTGGGACTTTGAGATCTGATCCAGTCATTGTGACTTCCCTGTTTTAAGGAGGAAAGCAGAGGGCAGACATAGGGACTGGAGACTTGAGAGCATCTACCAGGCTGGTGGGCTGCCAAGCTCTAGAAGACAAAACATTACACTTGTATGGGAAAGATATGATATGACCAAGCAGGGACAGGCATAGAGCTTTGAGTACACCTGCCACAGTCCTGCCCCTTCCTGAACTGTAAAATGCAGTGAAGTGAGAGTAGAACACAGGGCCTTTGACTTAACACTTCCTGCTATAAAGTAGAGGTAAACTATGAGATTATAGTGAGGCCCAAGGCAGAGAATACATGTAAATGAATTGTATGCAGGGCCATGTTCCTCCTCACTGGGGCCATTTGTCTTTTTCCTGTGGGTGACAGTGTTGCACAGTGTCAGGTGTTTGGTGACCTGCTGGGGTGGAGATGGAGCCTGGCTGCCATGTAGACCTCCCTGTGAGAACCATAAGCAGAATCACAAGATATAAACCAAACATGCGTGCTCTGATGCCCTTATCCTCACCGGTGCTGTCTGGTGACTTTTTCTTTTGGGAGTTTAGAACTCTGTGGGTGCAATCTAATTATAGTCTCATTTTTTTTCAAGGCGGCAATAGAAGCGCTCCCCTCCCCCCTTTAGCCATGCATCAGCTTCTTCAAAGAATTCATCCTGGTCTGCAATTTCCAGAGTTTTGAAGTATTTTTAAAGTTGTTAGTTGCTTTGAAATCTGGGCCTTTGCATCCTTTCAAATGGTGACATGCAGGAACAGAGCACAGCGTCTTTTTTTCCAACAACATCCTGCGCTTTATTTTGTTTTCTTTTGTTGTTTCTGTTAGTCATTTCCCCTGCTGTCGGCAGTGGCCTTTTCAACTGTACTCAACTGCACTTTTCAATACTGCTTTCCCCACTAATCCCAGTTCTGAGAGTCTTTCCTGGGGAAATAATTTAAATGTTGATAAAGCCATGCACACAGATATATTTGTGTCACTTATTTACTGAGATGAACGTTTGGAGGTGACCTAAATACCCACTAGGGAACTGCAAGATCCAGTCCATGTGTCCCTGCCATAGGTTGTTAACATGGTCTTCACAGTGGAGGCTTCTGAAGCAGACTTCGTTGGAGGAATGCTTATAATAAAATGTGATGTGAAAAGATGCAGTCAGCATCATCTCTGCCCACGTGCATGGAATATAGAACAGAAGGCAGTTCAGGATGGTGCCTGCTGGTGGGGTGGGGGTGCTGGAAGGAGGCTTTATGATTCTTTCACCCACTATTCATAGTGAATGTATATTCTGCTAATGCCACAGGATCTTTATGTTGTTGTGTTCTATGTTAGTGGGATAGAACCTAGAACTTCACATATACTGTTCTGTATCACCAAGCTGGGTACTCTACCACTATGCTATGAGTTTAGTCCTCCTTTAATTTATATCTGTGTATGTGCATATTCATGTGTATATGCATGTGTTTGTGCGTGTCTCTCTCTCTCTCTCTCTCTCTCTCTCTCTCTCTGTGTATGTGTAAGGTGAGGTCTGCTGGAGTAGAGGGCAGAGGTTGATGTCACATTGAGGCAGGATCTTCCATTCAACTTGGGAATCAGTGATTTTTCTAGATTGCCTGTCTCTGTCTCTCCAATGCTGGGATTATAGGCATAAGCCACTGCATTAAAAAAAAAAAAAAAAAGTAGGTAGTAGGGATCAAAATCTGGTCCTCATGCTTATATGGCAAGTGCTTTACTGACTAAGCTGTCTCCCTAGCCCCAGTGGCCATTCTTATGCCTTGTTTATTTTGAAAGAGTCTTACTATTTTGCTTTAATTGGCTTGAATTTATAATCCTCCTGCTGCAGCTTCCTAAATATCTAGGATGATGGGCCTTTGCCAGTAGGCCCTGCTGTTATCTTTATTTTAGAGAGAAGAAGGAGCTACATCCAGAGACACCATTGTAGCTGCTTTCTATATTCTTTCCTGCCATCCGGAACCAGTGCCTGAGCTAATGTATGTGAGCTATGCACTGGCTAGTCCCACCCCCAAGGTCTGTGATTGTTTTCAGGAGCTTTAAAAGATGGGCCCATGTCTCAACAAATACATGAATAATAAAGTACTAGTGAACAGGTTTTGAAACCTCTTTTCATCCTCTGATTTTTTTTTTTTTTCTACTTTCAGGAAAATCAGCTGGAGTGGAACCATGTCCCCAGAGTGAATTGCTACAGAAGTGAGTATGTGGGTTTTGCTAAGAAAACCCCAGGACTAGGACTGTTCAGCTTTGTTTTTCCTGCCAGTTTTTGAATTTAACGTTATCTTTCTTTCTGTCACTGACTTTCCTGCTTCTTGTAAATAATACACCAATACCCACAGAACCAAAGGTGGCTACATAGCAACCAGAATCCACCACTGAGGGTGCAGCTTCTTACTGGGCTCAGGTGACTTGTGGTATTCTGTCAGTGTCTGGAAGCAGATCTTTCTGCAGGTACCTGAAGGTTCCACTGTCCTAAGCCTAGCACTTAGACACATGTCGGCTGATTTGTTTTTTTCCCTTTTTTCCACCTTCCACCATCCTTTTGCCCCATGCCTCCTTACTAGGCTCCTTATTCTCCTTACTATGTCTCTGCATAGCTATGTATCTGCCAGCTTCCTTGAGAGGTAGGAAAGCCATTCCACAAAGCAGCTGGGACAGAAATGACCATGGCCTTTGCCAACAGCCTATTTTTCTGTGTTTCAGGATTATTTATTCTTGTTATACTACTTGACGTAGTTACACAAGTCACTTAACTGTGTGGTATGTACTACTTTCCCATTTGGCTCACCCCTATCCAAAGAGAGCAGCATTGTCAACACCAACTAGTTTTTATCCTTGTTGATTCTGATGCCACAAGGTGAGCATTTTCACTCACACTTTAGTATGAGCCTATTTATCAAACGTGTGCACCTTCAGTTGAGTGGCAGAGCTAGGCCTGGAACCCAAGTCTGTCATGCTCCAGCACTAGGTTTTTGGTGCTGCCTTTTGAAGATAAGGATGGACCATGGATTGCATACTCCCTTTGCTTACCTCGTCAGCCAACTGATTGTGCTGAGGACTTGCACACTTCCGTCCAGTGCCTTTGGGGTCCTGGTAGTGAAGTGAAGAAATGGATAGTCTGGAATTTCATTGGTATCGCAGAGGCCACCAGCATCATTACAGAGAACAGGCAAGGAGGTGCCCCTCCTCACTGGAGGATGTTTTTTATCAAGGTTTCTATAGTCATAAAAGAAACATTCTTCCTTCTGCAGTATCACTAATGATCCCTGCTAGTTTAACCCATGTATCCGTCCTTACTTCACGTCCTGCTTACAACTATGGAGATGGAAAGGAAAACCTCTTTGAATGGGCCTGGTCCCAGCTAGACATGGGATCTGAAGGATCAAAGTGGTTGTGCTAGGACCTCCCTGGACTATGTGTATGGCTGATACAAAGGAGTCATGGCTAGAGGGGCAGGCTGGGCTCATTGAGTGGTGCACAGAAGCTATGTTAGGAATTCTTAGCCCAACACTCATCTGCAGGACTAATGGGAATCTTTGAAGTAGGGAAAGTAAGGATGAGACTTTTCAGACTTGCTCTTCTAGGAGATTGATTGGGAGGGAGGCAAGGAACTTGTTTCTGTCCTCTTCAGCCAGGGTGTCTCTCCTTTTCATCTCTGGCAGGTTTGCTGCTTTTCCTACTGCTTCACCATTTTCAACTGTAGGCTCAACACTTACAGGTCACTCCTGAGTTAATGAAATGGGTACCCTTGGCCTTCACTGTACATTTGCAAGGCAGCAGCAAGCCTGGCATCCATCACACTGGGCGCAGCAGCAGCACCAGTGTTTACCCGTTAATGGATGCACTGCAGCTTCACAGTCCTTTGCTCTTGTCTAAGTCCATGAATAATGAGACTGGCCACTGACGAGAAGAAATAGAAAAGCAAACAAACAAACAAAACGGGGAGTACCAAGAGCTTAAATTAAGGAGTTTATCTATAATGGAGATTCACATGGGCTCTTCATGGTGTTCAGGTGGTTTTTCCTTATAGCTTAGGTGGTCCTTGAAAAATATAGGGTATTAACCAGATGATTGCCAGAATGATGATACAGGAGCCTGCTGGGGGTGGAGATCACGAGAGCTTTGAGATTTTTAAGTCTAAGGCCATCTCATGGCTTTGGGATGGGCTCCCACTTTCTCCTGAGGCTGTGAAGCCAGATAGGTATAGGTCAGATCTGAGTGGTGCCATGTAGGAGCTTAAACAGCATCTGGCTCATGATGAGCCTTGGTTGCCTCAATTGTCAAGTGCAATCGTGCTTCCTTCCTCAAAGGCTGTCTGTGAGGACAAATAACAACCCAGAACCCTGGGACAGAGCAGCACTTGGTAAACGGGTGCCAATGACAAACGCTCTGTCTCACACTCTGCCCTAAAAACCATCCTGTGGGACAAGCATAGTTTCCTCCCTTTCTTTTCTTTCTTGGTTCCAGACTTAAGCCCATGGAGACCCTTCAGAATTTCACTGCTTAATATTAAGAGGAAACAAAATGGCTTACTGAAGTTGCATGGATGGCCAGTCACAAAGAGGAAGTATAATCCTAAGTGTTTAAACCTATGATGCAGCTTGGGTTCATAGTATGGGAAGTGACATTTCTTTTATAAATTAAAAAAATTAATTTCTTTGTATTTTTTGTGAATTTCATATTAGTACTATATATTTATATCATTGCTTCTTTCCTGCAATTCTTCCTATGCCCCTTCCCTTCTCAAATTCATGGTCTCTTACTCTTTACTTATAATTGTTACATATAAATGTGTTGTATATAAATTAATAAATACAGATACTGGATGATTTCAGCAGGCTGTATTTGGAAATGACCTATCTTTCAATCTTGAAGGTTAAGAACTGAGGAAGACAACTTTGCTTACCAACATCTCCTGCCTGAATCTCCTGAACCTTCTGCCTCACAGTCACTATCAGATGATAAAATGTCTGAGAAGTCCTTCCTGTCCCGAGACCAGAAGCCAGACAGCGAGACAGTGGCGAGCCATTTTCCTCAAGGTAAGGAAAGCTGCTCTAAGCAGCTTAGGCATAACCAGGCTGTCTTTTCCTGGTGAGCGGAATGGGATGATGTCTGACCATTTTGCCAGTGAGGGGAGAGCCAGTGAAGGCCACAGCTGCTCATGGAGGGAATTTATCACGGGAAGGGCCCATGGCGTTAAAAGTGTGTGTGGCAGTAGGTGGTTGCTTTTAAATAATGACTTACATGATTTACCATTTTGCTCTTCTCACAGGGTGGCTTGAAAGCACTGGGGTTGTATCACTGTAGTTAGTTGTCTTGTTTTGTTTTGTTTCTGCATATACTGAAGACAGGTCCTTTAAGGTGTGACTCTTGGCTGTGCAGTCAGGCCCTTTGTTTTGGTTCATTCAGGCTGCTTCAGCTGAATACTGGGGACTGCAGAGAGCACAAATCCATCCCTCACCATTCTGGTGTGTGAAAAGCAGAGGTCTGGATGCCTTGTAGGTGGTGTAGTTGAGTTCTAGTGAGGATCCTCTTCCCACTTGAATTCTGAAATAGAAGAAGGGAACTCTCTATGGTCTGTGCCTTAAGGACGTTAGTCCTATTTATGGCCATTGCATTCTTATGACCTAATGTCCTCCAGAGGCTCTACACCTGACACCATCACGCCTGTGCTAAGGACATCAGTGTAGGAATTTCAGAGACACAGATATTCTGCCTTGTTCTGCTTCTGGATGTGGAATGAATTGGCCAAACCAGTTTCCCAGGGACCTTCTCACAATCTCCTTTCAGTTTACAATTTCTATTTCTTTTGTTGGGGTAGGAAGTTGGACTTAGTGTTTCTCATTCCATAATTTCAAAGGACCATAAAGATAGAGCAGATGGATTTGGGCACCAAAATTTTCCACCAAAGGGATGAATAGGGAATATTTGTAGCTGTGCAGGGGTGTGTCCTCCTACAGTGCACAGCTCTGCTGTGAAGCACAAAGTACCTGTAGATGATGTACATGTTTCTCATGAGCTGTATTCACAGGAAGGCAGTGGTTTTGGAAAATAGCCTATGGTTTCAGACCTTTGGACCTCTCTCGATGGTCTCTGTTCCACTGCCTCTTCCAATGAGTTTTTTTTCTGAGGCACCACAGTGGATTCTGTAGTGCAAAATGGACACCAGCACTTCTTGCTAAAATTTCTTACTGACACTAAATTTCATAAGCCATTGCTTTCAAAAATATTTGAAGATTTTGGTTTAAACAACTAGGTTTCTTTAGAATGGAGAGGTCCCACCAATATGTCAGTGACTAGAGCTAAGCCTTTGGCTTCTCTGGACACTCAGGCCCATATCTTAGGCATAACTAGAATATGACATGAACATTCTTTTGTTTTTCCAAACAAAGTTTCTCCCAGGCTTTGCTGTCCTGGTCTTGCTGTGTAGACCAGGCTGGCCTTGAACAAAGATCCACCTGCCTCTGCCTCTGCCTCTGCCTCTGCCTCTGCCTCTGCCTCTGCCTCCTGAGTGCTGGGATTATAGGCATGTGCCACCATTCCCAGCGACATGCACATTCTCAATACAACTTGGGAACCAGCCAGATCTTCCAGTAGCCAATCACCTGAACCTTATTTCTTGGGGTTTCTAGAGGTGTCCCTCAGAGATTTTTGTGAATACTTGATTTCTATATCACTTCTGCTTGTGAGTTTTGCAATCATCCACTCTAATTAGGTTAGACCATAAATCATTTCCCTCCTTCTGTAATAAGTCTAGTGTGCCACTCAATCTCTCTCCAAGATTCTGAGACTGCTGCATCAGGTCTGGTTACATGAGTGGACCGTGCCTCATATGGAATGTGGTAGTTGTCATGACAAAGCCACTGTATCATGCAGAGGGAACATGATCCCCCCTTTCCTATGTGGTCTCAAACAGAGCTCTCTTCTGCCTCTCAGTGAAATTTGTTTTTAATATGGTAATAGATAAAAGATAAAATAGATAATGTGATTTTTCCGAATTTCCTAGAAGTTGAGGCCTTTCTGCTAGCTCTGTTCTGCAAGGCTTGTGCTGGGCTGCCAGTGCCCTTATGTGCATTACCAGCTCTTTTATTGAGTAGGACCCTTACTTTCTAGAGCTGTTTAGATACATCCACTGTTTTCTTTTTTTGGGTATGTTTTCCTTCTGCCTTTTTGTCTCTGGATCTGTTTTTCCTTTTGTCATGTTTGTAATCTGTATATAGAAAGATAATTTGGCATTTTTCTTTGCTCACTTAACATTCTATCATAGACTTTCTGACATGTTAGAAAATGTCACTTTTAGTGGCTTTTGACCTGTCCTTTGAATGGCTGAACCGTAGTTTTCCTTCAGTCCTAATGCTCAGCATTTAAGTCATTTCTAGTCTTGCAATTGTAAACAGTGCTGCAGGGGGTCTTGAGCACAAAGCCTGCCTCTTAATCGAGGACATTTTCTTAATATAGAATCTAAATTGGAACTGCTTGGCAGAAGACATACATTTTTTTTCTGTTTCTTTTTGTGTGTGCTGTAGGTTTTTATAGGATTTATGGGTTTTACGAGTTAACACTTACTGAGGAGTTTACTATTAAAACAGGTAGATCCTTTTCTCCCATTTTGGAAAGGCTGGTATAGTGTTTCTTTCTTCTCAGGATGGTTGGATAATTAATGTGTGGTGTCTAATTCCACCGGGAGTGTGTCCTCCAGCCCATGTGATAGTTCTCATTTCCGGCCATAGACTCCGTGAAAGATGGCTTATATGGAGCATCATCACCCCACAGCCAGCACCATGTAAACCAACAAGGAAGGTTGCCCAAACCAGTGAGCTCCTGGCCGACTCTGGGCTGACAGGCTTCTGAAAGAAGGTTGGCAGGGACCTAGAGGCTGGGCCGGGAGGGCCAGTGCTGGGCACACCAAGAGTGTGCACAGACAGCCTTTTCCACTATGCTGCAGTGGGAGGCAGACATTCCACCAAATGACTTGCCATACTTCTGGCATTAATGGGAGATAGCTGAAGGTCTGGGAATTAAGTCATCTCATAAACATTCAAATTCATGGCAAAATTACTATTTAATTAGGAAAAGATCTGTAACATTGTACTGCTTTTAAATGAAAGCCATTTTGGAGGAATTAAAACTGGGTCATAACATTAGTATAATGTTTTAAAACAAACATTACTAAGACATACTGAGTGTACCCTAATTGATGAATTAAAGACATTAGTTTTGCCTTTGGATACTTAATGTGATTATGTTTTAAACACTGACTCTGGAAATCCACCTCTAGAGTGAAACTGTGCTGCCTTCTTTCTCTGTTGAAGTCTGATTTGGCAGAGGAGTAAAAAATTCATACATGCTCGTCCTAGAGTTTTTATCTATTAAGTGATATGTTAAGGTGTCAAATGGAGATTTTGAAGAACCTGAAGTTTATCACCCTGAGGTAACTACAATTAATAATTCATTGTAATTGCTTCTTTGGTATATTTGTTTCTGCTCCTTTATGTTCATACATAGAAAGCTGTGGTTATGTTGTAACTAGTTTCGTATCTTTTGAAATTTGACATAATAACATAAAACATTTTCCATGGTAGTTATAGTTATTATAACATAATTTAATAGCTGTGTAATTCCCTACCATAGTGAATGGACCTTGGTTCAGTGAACAGTTTGAGCTGTTTCAATTTCCTGTCACATGTAATGCTCTGATGAATATTTTCATGCATTCTGGCAAATGCCTGTGAGCATCTCACATGAGCTCCTTAAGTAGAGTCCAGAAAGTAGGACTATTTGGGAAATGACATTGGAGAACTTTCTTAAACCTAATGATATAAATAGCCCCAGAAGGTCATACACATTTATATGCACACAGCAGGTGATCTCCAGAGTACACTTTTTATTATCTTTCTCACTAGCATTGTTTTAAGTCTTGAAACTAATGAGTGATAAATGAGTAACATATTCCTTGCCAAAAAAAAAAAAACTTGCCTTGAAAAAAATATCTGGATTCATTATGAAGGTAGTTTAATCAACTCTCAGGCAGTTCAAGCCGACTTGAAAGTGATCTGTTAATTTCACCATAAGGAAGATTTTAAATTAATATTTGATATTGAAAAGAATAAAAGGCTACATTAGGGTTAGCATTAAAATTGAATGGAGTATAATTTTTTGCGTGTGATGTAAAGTTGCTTCTTTATGGAGGGCTGCAGAGAGCCTTTATGGAGCCATGGCTATGGGCTGTGGGAAATAGCTTGGCCTCCCCAAGCTTGGGAAAGAATTACCAGCTGCTGACTATCTCAATACATCCTATACTGTTGAAATTTCAAGATCTCTGCATAATCTATACATTATTCAATTTGTTGGGGGCTTCAGACTTTAAATTTAAAATGTTCTTCCTACAGACTTACTAATGGAACACATACAGGAAATTCGAACTTTGAGAAAACATTTGGAAGAATCTATTAAAACAAACGAGAAGCTCCGGAAACAGCTGGAACGACATGGATCTGAGGCTGACCAAGGTGAGAAGGGGCCTTTCCCAGAGTAAGGATTGGAATTGGGTGGATTGCTGCGTTGTGCTGTGTTTGCCTAAAGATGCTCTCTGTGGACCAGGTGGGTTGGAGAAGTGGATTCTGAGTGGTCACTGGGTCTTCACTGTAGCTAGGGTATAGATAGGGATTCTAAAATAGAATAGAACCATATTTTACCTTCTCATTAATGGACCATAAATCATCAACATTTAGCAGTCTTCCATACCCTTCATGCCAGAGGTGGCCAGCAGAATTCCCACACAACAGTTTACTCTGAAGGGAATTGTCTTCCTTAAAAAACAAAATACCTGTTAGACACTCCACAAAATTTAAAAATTAATTGTTCCACTATGTACCTGTTAACCCCGTCCTCCCTTCTTTCCTCCTCACTTTTCTTGTCTTCTTCTATAGCTTCATTGTGTGAAGTCGGTTGGGTTGAGCTGGATGTGGATGTAGCTCTTCTGTTGATTGGTTTTGTGGCTTTGGGCAATTCACTCTAGGCTTCTTTCATGAAGCAGGGTATTAAATGAAGCAGTGTCATAAACAGAGCCCTGCTCAGCACTCATTAGATAAACAGTTGCTTTTGTCACTGTTGGTTTTGTTTTGCTATTTCCAATAGCATGGCTAATTTAACTTTCAATGCTCCACAGTGAGTGAGAACCCTGATGCCATTTTAGAGATAAGATCACTGAGTTCTAGAAAGGCAGTATTCATTGATAAAACTCAAGACTTGGACCCTGCTTCATTTCTCATTGCTCTCTTGTCCACACATAAGGCAGTTTCTGGAGTTCTGCGAGTGCTACAGTTTGAAAGAAGCTTCTACTCTTCCACTTGTCCCATGCATTCTTCATCCTGCTCCTTCACTCCTAGGGAATTTGATTAATCTGAGTTATTAGTTGTGTCAAATACAGGAAAGAAATACAGGCCAGGGCCCTTCATGTTCACTCTTGGTAGTGCCTGAGTTATATTCATTCTGTTTTACATTTTCCCCAGAAAATCCAATTATAGAATTATTTGGGGGTTCAAATGGCTACTGGCAACAATGGAGCCGGAGATTGCTCTGGAGAATAATTCTCTCTGACAGGGAAGTTTACAGAAAGGCATTCATAAAGTATTTACCCACATAGAAAGAAGTGCTGTTCTCACCATGTTGTCACAGTCTCTGAAAAGACAAAAAATAAAAGCAGTCCTGCCTCCCCCTGATGTGAAATGTTCATCTTGGGGGTAAGTCTGAAAAAGGACTGCCTACAATGTGGAGGGGGGAGGTTTTCAAAACCTGTTATCTCATACCTTAGAGCAGTTCTAGCTTACTGCCAGTTGTCTGGAGTTATTGCAAAGGAAAGAGGTATTCAAAGAAAGGTCTGGATTCATGGCATCCTGGTGTACCTCGCCACATTAGGTTTAATGATTCTGGCCTGTTTTATGGCCTATTGCTTATTTATTTTCAAGTAACTACCCCAGCATTGATCAGTGTAGATGTTAGGATTTCTGCTGCTTACTCTGATTAGTCTTTGGTTTTCTCTTGTGGCCTCATTCACCATTCATCTAGATACTAATGGATAATAACCACAGAACAACAGCATAGGCATTTTTAATATGCTAACCAAGACTTGGGAACAGTTATTCAACTTGCCTGATGCCTTGCAATTATTAGGAAGGAAGAGATAGACCAGAAACTCTGACATGATCCCAGAGTTCAATGGGATGAGTAGGAGAAGATGGTGAAAAGAGACATTTGTGAATAAAAATTAATCTGACTTCCATTTTTGCATGACTCACTTGCTAAAGAAAAAAAGTTTTTGTAGAGTAGGAAAAATATTTCTAGGAGAGCTAACTGTACCTTTTTTACAAGGGATGTGGACACCACAGGTACCTGTTTGCATTCCAGGATGCTTTTCAGCTACAGATAACTGAAAAGAAATGTGACAAGAGAACAGTGAAAACATGGGTGTTTGCTTATACTTCCCATTGTTTGCAAGAACCCCAGAGGCAGATAGCTCCGAGGCAGGGTTGTGCTGATGTCCATTGTGACTGCTGAGTATCAGCATCCCATCCTCCCCAGACAGTATCCAAAGCATGGGACGGAAGAGCCTGGGCTTCTCTCTTCTCCAGTGGAGAATTTTCTTGAGGTTCTCAGCAGACTTCACTTAGGTCTCACTGGTTGCTGGAGACCCTTTATCATGTTCTCACCTGCTGGCTGGGACCACAGAGATCTGGCATTTTGCTGTGGTGTAGTAAGGGAACTGAAACAGTATAGAAACCAGGAGGAAGCATCTGCAGGCCACATGGAGAAGACTTGCTTGTAGGCACCTATAGTACCAGCTGTGAATAGAATGCCATAATGGTGCAGACGAGAAAGCTGGGCAGAGGGGAGTGCTGAGGTTGAGAGGCCAAGGGGTGTCCAGCAAGAGGCATCTTTTAGGTTGATTGAAATAAAGCAGTAAAATTTCAGTAGATGGACAACAGCTTGTATAGATAAGGATGAAGCCTCCCGTCTATATAATTCTAGATCCTAATCTCTGCAAGGTACACTCAGAAAAGGTACCTTAACCCAGGAATTGAAGAGTATGATTTTGGCATGGAAAAAGGTATGAAGAGCACCAAGTCACCCAGTTACTTGCATTTTCTGGGCACTGGGGTCTGAGTGGAGAGAGAATGTAGTGTGCTGTGGCACTGGAGCAGAACCATGGAAGGTCTTGAATTTGAGAGTGAGAAGCTAGATCTTTTGTTTCAATTGATCATCTTTTGCAGTGGCAGAGCACCAGATATTTTTCAGCCTAAAATAACCATGAAAGATCATGCCTGAGATGATAACCTTATTGGTAAAACAGCAGGGAAAGGAAGCCAGACAGGCGCTAAGCCTAGATGATGAAAGAGAAGTTGTCTCAGTGTAAGGCATTCTGGGAAAGGATCAGCAGCTCTGATTGCCTGCTTAGAGTACGAAGGGGAGTTTAGGATAGCTTCCAGGTGCGCACCTGGGTGAGAAGGTGCCGTGCTGTCTCCTAAGATAGGGACAGAGCTGCTGACAAGGTCCAGGCCACGATGGTTGCCACTGTCATCTCTTACCCTGCTGTGCTTCAGCTCTCAGCTTTGTTTCTATTTGGAGCAGTTGAGATATGGAGTTCTCCTCTTGCCTCCTCCTTAAGCTCACTGTCCTTGCCCTTTAGGTTCTGGCTGTATGTTTCATGGTTCATGGGGCTGGTTTTCATTGCATGCTATATTTCTTCATTGTTTAAATGTGTTTCTTAGGAAGGTTCATCCATCCTGCCTGGAGGCTGTCTATAAATCACAGTTCATATGTGCTTTGTACAGGTTCCACAAATGTTTCTGCTTATGGCTCAGAACTGCATAGCTCTCTGACATCAGAGATACATTTCCTGAGGAAGCAGAACGAGGCCCTCAGTATGATGCTTGAGAAAGGATCCAAAGGTAAACAATCAGTGGTCACCTGCAGCCTGAACCCCAAAGCCCTGATTCAAAGGATTACCAGCGCTGACATCTAGATTCTAATGTGGTAGCTCTGATAGCTTTCTACCTTTAAGTGCACATCAGTCCTATGGGGTAAGGGGAAGGCAGTGTTCCTGTTTTATAGCTTAGAAAATGGACACAGAGGGGTTAATGCCTCACGTAGCTATTTTGACAACTAGAGTATAAGCCTCCAGCACAGTGTTTCTACTGAGGCCTCAATACATATTACCGTATTTTCTCATCTCATCATCTCTTAGGAAGAGAGAAGCACTGGAAATTTAATACTGCCAACTCTGGAGATTTTTCTCCTACTAGTGAAGTTTATCTAGCATTCCTTATAAAGATCCTTCTCTTAAGTCCTTCTCTTGGAGGTTAGCTACTAGAGAGCTTTCACTTAATTTATTGTTCATACTTAGAATGATTCTAGAGTGAGGAATTAGTAGCCCTGTATCTCAACTAAGAATTCACAGCCTAAGCAACTGCCCTGCTGTGGTCATAGTCAGGTGCTACAGTTGGAATGTGGGCCAGTTTATTTCACAGTCCTAGGGGATATGGATATTGATTTTGCCTTATGAGTCAAAATTTGGGCTTATGCCGTTCATTCATTCATTCATTCATTCATCCAGCAACCTTTTTCTATCCTGTCCTACAGGGGATCTGAAAAGACTGATAAAGAAATAAATGAGCCTTTGTATTGTATATCAGAAGATTGTAGTCTAATGGGTGAGCTGGACATACCTATAGCAAGCAGGACTGGGGCCTGCTGTGATACAGGCAGGCCAGAGAGTGGTAGACCCTCAGCTCACAGACACTATTTTTCAAGGGTCAAGTCTGGACAGGAAAGGAAAGATTATCCAAGGTGCCTCAGGATCAGTGTTGGAGAGCAGACAAGGCCCAGGTTAGAGGTGAGGGTAGTGTGGATGACCAATCAGGAATGATATGGCTGTGCTGATGTTATATGGACCAACAGGAGCCCCTTGGAAATAGTTGAATCATGGTTAAGAGTAGATTTACACCAGGCATGGTAGTGCATGCCTTTAATCCCAGCACTTACAGAGGCAGAGGCAAGCTGATCTCTGAGTTTGAGGCCAGCCTGGTCTACAGAGTGAGTAGATTCACATCCAGGCTGTGCCCCTTCCAGTCTATATGGATACATGGAAGCCTTGACCATTCATTTGTATCTGGAAGATGGGGAAATTCACAGTACCTGCCTTATCAGTATGCTGCGAAGATGCAGGGCATTGAGACACGTGAGGGCTTACGATAGCACTATACCATTAGTGCCGGGGCGTGCTACCACTACCACTTCTGTTCTCACTTGGTGCCTCCAAGGCCTCACCCCATCCCAGGGGAGAAAGCTGAGGTACCGAGGAGTGAAGAGCTTCACTTAAGATCATTGTCAGCAAGTGGAGAAGTCACAGAAGAAATCAGTCTCTCCACCTTTTATTCACTGCTTGTGGCCTGTTTCCTGAGCTTCCAGGAGTATTTTATTCCTCTGGAGAGTTCATGGCCTCCTCTAGGGTCTTCTCTGCAAGAAGCTTGCTTCTGTCCATACTCACACATCTGGGTCCCTGCCTATTGCGCTACCCATTGTGTATACTCTCTAGGGCAAAGTAATGAGTTTTTCAAGGCCCATTATGTAACAGAAAGTTAAACAGGCCCCTTTCATTTCAGTGATGTTTAATCTGTAGCCTTGATGTTGACAGATTTATCGGCCTAAAATGCATGAGATAATTGGAATGTCAGAGCCATAAATGCCAGATTAAATCTCATTCTTTTCTGTATTCTTGGAGTGCTTGAGCTGAAGTATTGTACCAGTGTAATAATGTTGGAAAAAACAAATCGTATCCCTTCTCATTTTGGTATTTGCAGATAAACAGAAAGAGAATGAAAAATTACAGGAATGCCTGTCCAGGAAGGTTGCAGGTCTTGAGCACCTTCAGCTAGAGTACGCCAGTGTAAGGGAAGAAAATGAAAGGTTACAGAGAGACATCAATGAAAAGGAGAGACTCAACCAACAGCTGACTCAGGAGGTCTGCAGCACTCACCAGGAGCTGAGCAGGTGGGCTTGACTCAGCTGTCCCTGCTGGCCTACTATGCCTGTGGAAGTGATCATGGCAGTAGACACACTGGCTCCAGCCCTAGTGTGCAGAAACAAGCACTGTCAGCTGGGCATGAAATGTGGGGCATGGTCCTCTAAAGGAGGAGGAGAATGATGGGGCTGGATGTTGTTTTCTCCTAGGGTAGTCAAGGATTTTCTGAAAATACTCCTTTTGAGTACACAGTGAGCATAGAGAGCTAAAACTATCTGGAGATGGCCATGTTTGGCAGAAGGCACGTAGGCCCTAAGACAGAGTTGCTATGGTGATCAGAGAGGGTGCTATACCTGACTATAGTAGGAGCTGAGGCCACAGAAGGGTGAATGCTAAATTTTTTGGGCCCCCAGCCACATGAAGATTCCAATTTTGCTCCAAATGACATAGGTCACTGGGAGACTCTCAGTGAGCTGGGAAGACGTGAATCTGTCCACTCCTCCTCTTAGACCCTGCCTTGTTCCATTTGTCAACACACAGGACTGCCTCTGCTGTCTGACCGACCACCCTCAACTTCCCTGCCTGCATGCACTATCCGACATCTTTAGCTGGAGGTCCTGTCTCTTCTCCAGCTCTGTATCTCTGGAAAGAGACAGCCTTTCTGATTCCATTCCTTAGGTATCTCACAGGAATTGGAAGACGACTTCCTTAAAAATGTCCATGAAGCTAACTTGAAAGAAGGCCTATTAAGTGTGAGACGTAGGGAGCTGGGGGCTGTGATGGACCTTTTAACTGCATGTCTCAGCATATTTTGTCCATACTCTGGCTAAGATGTTCTGGCTTGCCCTGTGGGAACTGGATAAACCTCCTTTTGAGAGAATTAACTCCTCCTCCCATGCTGGAACCGTTTCAGGGTGCAGGAAGAAATGAAATCAAGGCAGCAGCTGCTCTCACAGAAGGACAAGCTGCTTCAGTCTCTCCAAGTGGAGCTGAAGGTGTATGAGAAGCTGGATGAGGAACATGGGAAGCTACAGCGAGGTATTATGAGCTCACCCTAGCCATTGGGCAATGGGCATGGAAAGACACGGCTCTTACTTTTTTCTATACTCCACTAAACCCACACTGGCCCATAGGTAGACGAGGTGTATTTAGAAGGAACTCTTTGACCTACTCTTTGTTTTTGAGGTAGAGTCTTGCTATAAAGCACAGACTAGCCTTATACTCAAAAGCCTCCTGCTTTAGCCTTACAGGTATACATCACCATTCTTGGCTCTTGGCCAAGCTGAAGTCTGGAGTCTCACTCCCTTCATCTCAGTTTGTTCTGACTTTACCAGTAACTGCCTCTCTAAGTAGGTCTGTCAGCACCCACTGTGTGGGGCTCTGAAAATTAAATGAAGGCATTTATTAAAACATCCTAGTTTCATTCCTTGCACGTAGTAGGCATCCAGGAAGTAACTTATGTCATAGTTTTCCTGTCATTCGTCCAGCAGATATTTCCAGTGTCACCACATGCTGGCCACTGCTGAAATGCTTGCTAGCCTTAGTGCTCTCAGCTTCCAGAGAATGCAGATCAGAGTGCTTCAACTATGAGGTGCAATGTTTGAGAATCAATTTTGAGGCACAGTGGGGGGTTTTCTAAAACTAATTTTCCAGATGGTTTCTCCCTATTGAAAGTTTATCTAGAAAGGGCCATCTCACAGCTTTTGCTTCTTCTCAAGTTGCTTCTCTTGTTCTTGCTATTGTGCCTGCCTTTTTAATATACCGTAGCCCTTAAAATCGTCGCCTTTCATTCTATAATTCTGGTCCAAATAGATTTTATTACTACTAGACATAATTTCAGGGTTTGGTGTGCAATTTGCTAGGCTTTTATGGCCAGAAGTGAAATTAATTTCCAGCTCTTACTTAGCCTGTGGAATAGCAGCAATTAAGTCAGCCAATATTTTTGTTTTTAAAATCGAGTTGTTATTTTAAATTGTACCTAGTTCTTAGGAGGGGGCTAGATGGTGGGTGGTGGATAGTGGGTTGAAATGCCCTTGAGTACCTTTGATGACTGACCATTGATCCTCAGGGATATCAAGGCTTTCCTTTATATATGTCTGCAGGAGCCCGAGGTGAGTCATCTGGAGAAGGCTGGATGGGGCTGGATCCTTTCAGCAACCTGCGTAGCCTCCTGACCGAGATGCAGGCTCTTCGCAAGCAGTTAGAAAAGAGCATTCAGACTAACAGCACCCTGAGGAGCAAGCTGGAAGAGCAACTGTCACAGGGGTCAACGAAGGCCCAGGAAGGGGCCCTCACTCTGGCTCTTCAGGCCCTGTCTGTCACTGAGTGGTCACTTCAGCTGGACAAACATGGTAGGGAACTTGCCTCTTCTCACTTTGTGGAAGTGAGAATGGATCTGTGTGACATGTGAGCTTCTGACTAATGTTTTTCTGGCTTCTCTCATCTCAACATGGTAGCATACTCTCTGATTGACTGGACACTGGGTTCTCTAGAAGTGGAGTTTGAGCTTCCAGCAGTCCATGCTATCTTCATTCTTGCTCTACCCATCTGTTTAGTCCTACCCGTAGCTCACCAAGGCCAAAAGGCTTTTCATTTTCTTACCTTGGTTTTTGTGTTTGTTTTAGGTTTTTGATAGAGGGTTTCTTTGTATAGCTCTGGAGGCCTTGAAACTCGCTCTGTAGACCAGGCTAGCCTGTAACTCAGAGATCTTCCTGCTTCTGCCTCCCATTTCTGGGATTCAAGGTGTATACCACCATACCCAGCTCTTTTGTTGCCTTTAAATGAGATCCCATACTCCTTACTCTGGCTGTCAGTATCTTGTAAGACCTGGGAAACCTTCTGTTAAGTGGTGGGTCTGGTTTGCATTTAACTACAGGTTTGTATAGGGCTTGGAGTGTCTGGAAAGGAACAGAAGACAAGGTACCCTTGACACACACCCAGGAAGAACTGTAACGAACCAACAAGCAGTTATAAGTGGTCCCCTGCCCACACATGGGCTTTCTACTGATTGGATTATTGTCTACCTGTCACCTGACCGTTCCCCTGTTAATTTAAGAGTTTTATTTAAAGAAAGAAAGAAACAAACAAACAAAAAGAAAGAAAAAAAGAATGGTAGCATGGCTTTTGTTGTTAGCAATGTTATTGTGATAAAACCAACTAGGGGAGTCTGAGAAGCTAGAAAAGTGTCTTATCAAAGCATCTTTGCTGGAGTACCATCACTCCATGCCCCTAGAGGGGCGTGAGTGGAAGAAACTTTCATGAGAGATCCCAACACCTGAACTCACTCATTGCTCTGCCACTGGCATGCTGGGTTATCCCTGTCTGTTGGTCTCCTTTACCAAACAAATTACAGCATTGTTCTGCCCCTCCGGGCTCTTCAGAGTTCAGTGGCTTCTCGGGTGTGAGAGTGCTTCCTGTATTACCTAGTGTCACATACACCCCCAGTAAAGTGTTTCAGATGTATTACTTCCAAGTCCTATTGCAGGTCACTTTGCTCTCATGTTCAGGTCGCTATAGCAGCTTCCACACTAAAATCCTCCAGTCTAAAACACAGACCTCAGCCTGACATTGTCCCACCTTGAGTCGGTCACTTAACTCTCAGCATTCAAGCCCTGAATCCTACAGTGTCCTTCCCTGTCCCTAGGCTACAGGAACTGTGTTTCTTCTCCCTGAATGATGACTCATGTCTGTGTCTTTGCACCTGCCCAGTGCTTTGCTTCGCTTTTCTTTTGCTTTGCTTCTTCCCACGGGGCACTGGTAACTTGTCTTAACAGATAACTCAGGAGTTAGCTCCTGTGATGTCGCATTGGTCTGGCCTCCTCACGTGAGTGCCCATCTCTGTGCTTCCCTCCCTTTTCCCTGAACACCCTGAGATGAAGTTAACTGTGTACTGTTTTGACAGGAGGGTTCTTCTAGAGATGACTCTGGGCCTGGCCACTCTGTTACCTGGTATCTGCACAGGGTACCAAGGAGTGACTGGCATATACATGGTACTGGCTGCAGGGCTGGTGTGCAGAAGGTGGGAGTGAACGTTGTGTTCCTGAAATGGATGCATAGATGGGAGATATTCTTCCGTATTCTCATTCCATCCTACCTGTAGTACTGATGATGGTAAAGCTCAAATTTTCCTCTCTTGTTTTGTTTTCGGTAGATGGCAACAAATGTCCAGAGGGCAGTGATAATTCATTTGATCTGTTTGAATCCACTCATGCAATGGCTCCTAAATCAGGTACAAACTGGGTAACTGTGATAATGCTGGGTAGATAATAGGGCTTTTAAAATAGAAGTAAAGAATGTTGCTGGCATCCGTGGCTTGGCGGTGGTTTGACGGTGGTTTGGGACTTAGATTTGTATCTCCGGAAGATAATTGCTAAGCCATTGGATCTATCCCAGGTGTTAACTAAGCACAACTTCAAAGGAGTTAAGCTTAAAGCTTTAAACTGAAACCACCTTAGTATGGATTTCAAGGACTCTGGGATCTCTTCTCATCCCTCTGCAGTGGGGTGACTACACAGATACGTCATCATCTCTGTACTGTGCTTTAAAATTCTCATACTTCCTAATTTTCACCAATCTAGGCCTGCTTCCTGAAGATTCAAGGATGCAGATTTCTCTGTAAAATGTTTTCCCAGCCACCCCAGTCAGAATCAACCAAGTTAAAAAGCAAACATGATTTTCTATCTGCATAATGCTGCCTTCCTGTCCAGTCCAGCTCATGTCACCTCTTCCAGGAAGCCTTCTTTTTTTTTTTTTTTTTTTTTTCTGATTCAAGTATTTTTTTATATTTTTTATTTTTATTTATTTTTTTAAAGGTATTTTTTTTATTAATTACATTTTATTCATTTTGTATCCCCCCATAAGCCCCTCCCTCCTCCCCTGCCGATCCCACCCTCCCTCCCCTTTCTGCATGCATGCCACTCCCCAAGTCCACTGATAGGGGAGGTTCTCCTCTTCTTTCTGATATTAGTCTATCAGTTCTCATCAAAAGTGGGAAATAGTAAGAGCTGGAGGGGACGGGAACTCCACAAGCAGAGCAACAGAACAAGATAATTTGAACACAGGGAACTTCCCAGAGACTCATACTCCAACCAAGGACTATTCGTGGAGATGACCTGGAACCCCTGCACAGGTGTAGCCCATGGCAGTTCAGTGTCCAACTGGGTTACATAGTAATGGGAAGAGGGACTGCCTCTGACATAATCTGATTGGCCTGCTCGTTGATCACTTCCCCCTGAGGGGGGAGCAGCCTTACCAGGCCACAGTAGAGGACAATCCAGGAAGCCTTCTTGACTTCTCTCTCCTTGTTACTTTCCCTTGAGTTCTGGCTGGCTTTCACTGTCTCACTGTACTTTCTGCAGCCTCATTAGACCTGAGCTATTGGCATGCAGGTGACAGCATGGTTCATCTTGGCAGTCTAGGGTCCAGTAAGTGTTCAATAAACATTGGTTAAATTGACTTGAATCTTTGCCCAGCATGGGGTAACACATAGCTGGAGGCGCAGAGCCAAGGCCCTCTCCTGCTGTGCTCTTCCAACATAACTCTGAACACACATGCCACCCCAAGAAGATCTAACATTTAACCACTCCTTTTGTAGCTTCTGAGACTCTTCTGCTTTCTGGAACTGATGCTGACTCCCTCTCCTGTGACAGCAGTTCTACCATGAGCCCCACTTGCATGCCCTGCCTGGTTCCTGGCCACCAGGTGTGGGCCAGCAAGAGTGGCCACCATATACTGGGCCTGATTGAGGATTATGATGCCCTTCATAAGCAGATCAGCCGGGGCCAGAAACTGCTTGCCAAGATGGACATTCAAACTCAAGAGGCTCTGAGCCCCATACGTCAAAAGCTGGGGCCAAAGGTAACCTGAGTGCCAGGCTGGGGGAGGGAGATTGTTTCCTGCTGCCTCAGTAAAGCAGAGGGGCTGGTCAAATTCTCTATAAGATGTGCAGTGCCCTAGACTTCAGTAAGGCTTTAAAAGGGAAGAACTGGATCTTGAAAAGATCATTCTGAGTGAGGTATCCCAGAAGGAGAAAGACACACATGGTATATACTCACTTATATAGACCTGTAAGATATGATAAACAATGAAATCTATACACCTAAAGAAGATAAACAGGAAAGAGGACCCGGGGTTAGATGATCAATCCTCACTTAGAAAGACAAATGGGATGTGCATTGGAGGTATGACAGGAGTCTACCGCAGAAGGCACCTGAAAGACTCTACCTAGCAGTGTTTCAAAGCAGATACTAAGACTCATAACCAAACCTTCGGCAGAGTACAGGGAATCATATGAAAGAAGGGGGAGTTAGTATGACATGGAGAGAATAGGAGCTCCACAAGGACCAAATATATCTGGGCACAGGGGTCTTTTCTGAGACTGACACTCCACCAAGGACCATGTATGGATATAACCTAGAACCTCTGCTTGGATGTAGCCTGGGGTAGCTCAGTAACCAATTGGTTTCCCATAGTAAGGGGAACAGGGACTATTTCTGACAGGAACTCGATGGCAGGCTCTTTGATCTCCCTACCCCCCAAGGGAGGAGCAGTCCTGCTAGGCCACAGAGAAGGACTTTGCAGCCAGTCCTGAAGATAGCTGATAAAACAGGGTCAGATAAAAAGGGAGGAGATCCTCCCCAATCAGTGGACTTGGAAAGGGGCAGGGAAGAGATGAGGGAAGGAGGGTGGATTGGGAGGGAATGAGGTAGTAGGATACAGCTGGGATACAGAGTTAATAAAATGTAACTAATCATAATTATAAATGAATGAATGAATGAATGAATGAATAAGTAAATAGGGGTGAACTGGGAAGGGTTGCTCAGGAAAGCCTGGAAGTGATGTGGCAGTTTGTTGCTGATCAGCTGACAGCTTTTTGAGCTTTCACCCTGGGTTACCATGGCCACTGCTAAGTGATGTGCTGCACTGCTCTGAGCCACTCTTTGTCCCACTGCCCTCTCATATCCAGTCATTCTACTCTTCCACTTACACATCACCCGGGTAGACCTGTCTGCTTGGACTGGGGTGGCTGTGGGCCAGTTAGAAGCCTGACCTTCTAAACAGAGGTACCAAACCCAACCAGACTTGACCCTACCTCACTGAACTCTCATCTGACTGTGCTGTTCTGTAATTTCTACAGCCACTCAGATGAATGTGTTCCTGAGAGATATTCTACGTCCAACTCAAGGTCCTCTTCCTGCAAAGGAGTTTTTGTGTATTTTACCCCTCTGAAACCCTGTGAAGGAAGTACTATCACTCCATTATAGAGATGCTAAAAGCTGAGTTCTCAGGCCTGCAACGTGCTCTCTATCTGACTCCACTTCTCTCTGGGCAGCAGCTCTTCTGGGAGCTTGACTAGCTTCAGTCTGCCTCCGGCTCTGACACGTTTCACTCTGAGCAGGCAGGGCCACAGGCAGCAGACCCTGTTTCCCACAATATCTGTCTTCAGCCTGCTTCTCCTGACTTGGCATTCCCCATCTTCTATATCCCTCTTCTCTCTGCTTCATCTTTGTGCATTCCTCTCATCTCAAGTTGCCTCTTGTCACAGACTCATGTGCCTGACAGACACAACTTATCATGTGCTTGACAGATAACAGTCTTGCACTTCTTCCAAGGCACCAGCTGACATCCACAAGTTCCAGATGGTACATAGCCTCTGGACCGCACTGATAAAAGATTTTTTTCTTTTCTTGTATATGTATGTATACATAAACACTTGTGTGGGGTCACATACGTATGTGCAGGTGCATGTATGTGTAGAGGCCTGAGTTGATATCCAGTCTCATTGCTCTCTGCGTTATTTATCAAGGTGGAGTTTCTCAGTTGATCCCAGAGCTCACTGATCACTGGTGTAGTTAGCCAGCTTGGCTCAGGGATTCCCTGACTTGCCCTCCTCAGATGGCCACCACATCTACCCAGCTTTTACATGATTCTAGATCAATATGCTTGCTCAGCAAGTACTTTATGCACTGAATCATTTCCTCAGTTGCTCTTGGGATTTTGCTGAAGACACTTCAGTTTCCTGTGCTATTTGCTTTGGTTTTGTGGGTGGCTTTGCTTGTTTTGTATTACTATATTTAAGAATCAGATTTGCATTTTATCTTCTAGTAGATGATAAGCTCCAAGAGAGAAAGGACAGTGTTTCTGCTGAACATTAAATAGCCAGTGTCTAGGCCCCTAAGCCTGGTACAGACTATGTGCTTGGTAAATAATATTCCATAAATTAATACTAATAAATTCCTGTTCTTTTTTGATTAAAATATTTGTTTTGAAAGCTAGAAATTGTAGAAAAGCATAAAAGCATCTCTTCAAATACCACTTAAAGGTCAGCACTTAGAAATATATATGTATATATTAAACATACAAAGATATACATAAACTTTTGGGACATTCATAAAACTTATAAAATAGTGAGATATATGAGGTTCATATAGTTCAGCTACATCTATTACTACTTTTCCTTTCAAGCGCTTGTCTTCCAGTGGCTGCCAATAAGCTATTGTGGACATAGCATGGGCTATTCTCTCTTTGGCTATTTGTGGGCATGTCAACTTCACTGAGTCATCGTTATTTTCAAATTTCTGATTGTATTTTGATTAGGTATGACAGGAGTTTCCCAGTATAAAGGCTGTGAATGTTTGAGGAATCTTAATAACTATTAGCATGTTACATTACTCTCTAGAGAACCTGTGCCTATGGTTTTGAACTAGTGCTTGTTTCAGTACACTTTTGTCTTTCTTGAATAATATTCATATTTTTGTCATTTTGCTACCTGAACAGGTATGTAGTTGTATATTTATCAGCTGCAAAGAGAAATGCTTTTCATTTTCCTCCTCCTCTTTTGTATCTCTCATCCTCTGTGCCACATTTTCTTTTTTCCTGCCTTTGTCACCTCTCTTCACATGAGTATTCCTCCAGCACAGGGAAGGAGAGAGGTTTCACAAGACCCTTGATACCATACATTCTCAGTAAACTGGCAAACGTATCAAGTGTTGTACTCTGGGATGTATTGGTATCGTTTGTTCTGTGGCAATCTGGGTTCTCTTCTTGGTCTAGTAACAATAGTTAATGCTGGTAGTTACTAATCATAGTTACTGATTGGGCTAAACTTGCCACCAAAATTCTTTTCTTATGCAGCTCAAGAGTGTCATGTAATCCCAGCTCCTGCTCATCATGTGAAACAGGAGCCCTAGTCTTAGTGAGACCTTCTGCTGACTATTAAACAGTGCTTGTGTGTGAGTGATCCCTGTGACGGTGGCGTATAATGTCCTTGTTGTCCTTTGTAGGATTCACACTTTGTGCCTTTGAGCACGTTTCTCTCTAGCATGAACATAGCCAAGCTGATCCTGGAAGAAGCCTCCAGGTTGCTGAAGCTCTTCTGGAGAGTCTCTGTTCCCACAGATGGCCAGTGTTCACTTCACTGTGAGCAGGTAGGTGATCATATATGCTGGAAGGCTCAAGTACACAGAGGCCTGCATCTCTATTGCTTCATTGTCCAGTCCAAGAATGTGCCCCACCTTGAGGCTATGTCAGAGGGCATGTCACCAGGGATGTTGGGGCCACACTAAATTCTTACCCAAGCCCTAGCATGGCATTATTGACTGGAATCCTGTTAACATTTTGTACATAGGGAAAACATGGTTCAGGCCTTGGGCTGAGGAACTGATTTGAAAGCATATGTATGGGAATTCTGTATTTGTTCCTTTCTTGATAGGTTTCACATGTCACCTTGTTCCTACAGACCAGCTTGCTCATTTTCTTAGCAGTGCCTTGCACTTTAGTTGTCTCTGTCTGGAAGTTCTGATTTGTTGATGGCTTTCATTGGATTTTAAATAGTTGAGAATGAAAGGTCAGGAGCCATGCAGGTGGAGCCTTGTCTTGAGTTTTGTCAATGGGGTTCATGCGTGTCCTGGCACAGTATACAACACCCTGGCTAATCACAAGGCTCCCTGAGAGAAAAGCACGCTAGAAAAGGAAGTTATAGTTCTGCATGGAAACCTGACAGTGATGTCCTACTTTATTTGACTGGACAGATAAATGTTTTCTAAGGTGATCAGGAAGGCAGAAGGAAAGTTTACATTTAGTTTTGGCAGCTCAGAGCTCTGTAATCTGGCAATGAAGTTGTTGTACTGAAAATTCCCATGACAAGAGTGTCCTGGGGAGGAATTTGGATACACTGAACTCAAGGATGTTCATAATCATTTGTGTGGCATGGGGCAGTCATTCTGGGCCCACTTTTTGCTGGTGGGACACTGGCTGGAAGATGAATGATAATAGGATCCCTTGAGCTCTAGCCTTGGTGGTTTTCCCTTCTCTCTCTCTTTTTTAAATTTTTTTATATTAATTACAGTTTATTCACATTGTATCCCAACTATAGCCCCTTCCCTCATTCCTTCCCAACCCATCCCTCTGTCCCTCATTTCCTCCCATGCCCCTCTCCAATTCCACTGATAGGGGAGGTCCTCCTCTCCTTCCTTCTGATCCTAGTCTATCAGGTCTAATCAGGAGTGGCTGCATTGTCTTCCTCTGTGGCCTGGTAAGGCTGCTCCTTTCTCAGGGGGAGGTGATCAAAAAGTTCATGTCAGAGACAGTCCCTGTCCCCTTTACTAGGGAACTCACTTGGATACTGAGCTGCCATGAGCTGTATCTGAGCAGGGGTTCTAGGTTATATCTATTTGTGGTCCTTGGTTGGAGTATCAGTGTCAGAAAAGACCCCTGTGCCCAGATGTTTTGGTTCTGTTGCTCTCCTTGTGGAGCTCCTGTCCCTTCCATGTCTTACTATCTCCCCCTTCTTTCATAAGATTCCCTGCACTCTGCCCAAAGTTTGGCTATAAGTCTCAGCATCTGCTTTGATACACTGCTGGGTAGTCTTTCAGAGTCCCTCTGTGGTAGGCTCCTGTCCTGTTCCCTGTTTTCTCCCTCTTCTGATGTCTATCCCATTTGTCTTTCTGATTGCTTTCTCTTAACCCACAGACTTTTCCATTGGAGGCTTACATGACACAGTCCGCCTGTTGTGTATGTCCTATGCCTCTCCACTGACTCCTCACCATCAAGTATTACATGTTACATAAATAGAGAGGGCTCCTTGGTCACCCAGCCATGGCATTGTCTTCTATTTCATCGAAGCCCTTATTACACATTGTAATTATATATTGTTTGCTTAATGCCTGTCTCCCTCTCTTTTCCTTTAGTGGCTTTGTCTGTTTTGTTCATGTTTTTTAATGAATGAATGACTAGATGGGTGAATGAATAATTTCTTTCCACTCTCCAAAATCAGTTCTTACTTTAAATTATTTTAAAGGTAACATGTCTATGCTAAACGGTTTATCCTCAGTGGAGTGTTTTTGCCCTTAGCAAACAGAGGCAGCTGTTTGTTAAATAGACCGAGTCCAGTTTGTGGCTAATCCATGTATGCACACATGTGTGTGACTTCACACACACACACACACACACACACTCATAGACACAGACATGGAGAGAGAGAGAGAGAGAGAGAGGGCTAAATTTGTAGCCCTGTCAATCCTCCTCCACTTGCAAATCAGTCTGGGAATTGTCAATCTTTGTGACGATTCACAGGCACTGATGTTAAGAAGCTAGTGCATTCCTGTTGTAAGGTAACACCTTTTTAAAAATATTTATTTATTTTTGTGTGTGAATTCATGCTTATATACTGACTTGCATGTGGAAATTATAGGCCAGTTTGGAGGAGTCAGTTCATTCCTTCTACCATGTGGGGCTAGGGGCTCAACCTCAAATGAGCAGGTTTGGTAGCAGGTGCCTTTGGCTGCTGAGCCCCGTGTTTTAAGATTTTAAAAATGCATAATGTCATTAGAAACTGAGAGTTTTACTGAAAGAAGAATAAATATGATATCAAGGAAATGCGAACTGTATAACCCTACATTTTCTTTTTTAAAAATTAACCGAATAACTCCACATAAAAGACTGTAGAAATAAATAAAATTGGAATCAGAGCAGCAAGCCCACTATATATCTCAAAGCTTGTTTCTTGTGGGAGGAGCCTGGGCTTCTTTAGGAGATGGCTTGTTTCAGGTACTAAGATGACCTTAGAATCTATAACATCCTAGAGGGAGAAGGAGGTAGATCCTGGCCCTGTACTACAGCATCCCCTGCAAGTTTGTGAGAAGTACAGTTGCCAGGGCCTCCCTTGAGCCAGCCTGGAGTAGCCCTGGCAGCAGTCTGTCAGCACTCAAGAACCTTGAGAACCACAGATTAAAAGAAAGTAGCTGTAACAAAGCATCTGATTCTTGTTTTGATGATGAGTTAAATGAATTTTGTTGAAGAAGAAGAAGGAGGAGGAAGAAGACGAAGAGGAGGGGTAGTGGGAAGAAAAGAAGAGAAGACATTTCTGACTGGTTATTTTTAGGATTTGCTAGACTTTATAGATTGAGCATCCCTAATACAACTGCTTTTAAAAGTCTGGGATTTAGGACTTTATGTTTAGGCATGCTCAAATGGGACTAAGAAATTATTTTCACTTGCTAGATGTGCTAATGCTATCACACGTTCCAAAACTAATTTAAGAGATGGATACTAAAATATTTTATAAATGACATGGTCAGTTTCAAAATAATCTTGGAGGGAAGCTAAACCACTGTGGCTTTGAATTGGTAGTTGCTTGTTCTGGGTAGGTTCCTGAAGGTTTCTATCCAATTTTGTCAATTTTTATAGATATTTGAGATGTTCATCATAAGAAGGAAAAGAATAACCTATCCCAGAAGCCAGGCAAAGCACTGATGGCTTATGTGGCCTCTGGGAGGGGTGTCTTTCAGTTCTGTTTCTTAGTTCTAACAGCCTACTTGGTGCCACATACTCTGCTAAAATTAGAAACTTATCCCTTATTGTGACCTAAGGGAGTTAGTTTTCTTTTTCTTTTTTAATTCATAAATGGAATACATTTGGACTATTAGGTCAAGGTGTAACTATACCCTTAAAAATTTTAATGCAATGTATATTTAATTGATTTTATGGGTCATACTGTGAGGTTCCAATACATGTGTACAGAAGGTATTGGTATCATCGGGGTGATTGACATGCCATGATTGACATACCATGTTAATTATTTCCTTGGGTTGGCATCATTCAAGATCCCCCAGCCAACTGGAGTTGCATTTTTTTTTTACCCCTCTTTCCAGAAGTAGGGGCCAACACTTCAGGAATTTATATGACTTGCCTTAGACTTCTGCAGTCAGGAAGTGGCAGGGCTTGGCTCTGAAACCTTGCTGTCTTAGTGTACCTTCTTCATGAGATAAACAGGAAGGTTTAAGTCCAATGGGACAACAGACATAAATATTTAAAATTTTTTGTTGTAAGAGTGCACTTGAAGATGTACAATTTTAGGAGAGTGCTAGTAAGAAATACCCTGGAAGCTGGTGATTGGCACAGCCCTTCAATAGGCACTGGTGCTCAAAGAAAAGAAAAGAAGCTCTTTTTTGCTTTGGCCATTGCTGCTGTCTGCCATGGTATGGCTTCCTGAGCTCCCAGTAGGTAAGGAGTGTTAGTTGAAGTATTAATTAAGTATTACAGTTTTAAAAAATATATGAATAGGGCTAGGGAGACGGCTCGGATGGAAAAGTACTATAGAAGCATGAGTACTTGAGCACTCTTGTCAAATCTGGGCCAGGAAGTTCACATCTATGACTCCAGCACTGAGGGAAGAGGTAGTGGCAGAATTGGCCAGTCACCTAACTGAATCAGTGAGCTTCACTTTCAACGAAATACCCTGCCTCAAAAAATAAGATGGAAGATGGGCATGGTGATGTACTTCCCAGCACTTGGGAAGACATAGGCAGGCGGATCTCTGTGAATTTGAGGCCAACCTGGTCAAAAAAGCGAGTTCAGGAGAGCCAAGGCTGCACAGAGAAATCCTGTCCTGAAAAACCAAAAATAAGTTAGTTAGTTAGTAAGTAAGTAGATAGATAGATAGATAGATAGATAGATAGATAGATAGATAGATAGATAGATAAATGGAGTATGATGGAAAGCAATGAAGGAAAACATGCTGTTCTCTGGATTCTGCATGTATGTTCATGCATGCACATGCATATTTTTACATAGCACACATATATGTACACACACCTATACAAACACACATACACACCTTTTCAAATGGCCTGACGTCTTATCCCATGGGAATGCCAACATTAATGCTTTATGCTATGTCAATATATACATCTATGTAGATATGTGTGTTCAGTTTTATAAACAGTTATTGTTTTGGGTTCTTTTATCACTAATTATAATCATACATCAATAAAGTTCTGAAGCCTCATTTTAGCTACAAAATTATTTCTTCTAATGTAAGCCGTATGCTGAGCTGACTGTAGAAAGTGTGATGGGTGAACCAGGCAAACAAGGAAAGGAGCATCCTTCCCCAAGCCCACCCTCCACCACACCCTTTGAATCTCAATTCACTAGAGTGTGAAAGGTGAGCCAGGGGTTGCTATGTCAATGTCACAGATGTGGAACTTAGGATGACTTTGTTCTAGGATGTGTGGCTTGTGAAATTGTGATTAGAAGACAAGTGTTCCTGGGCTCCTGGCCTGTACTAGAGAATCAAAGCTACCTAATGATGAAATTAGTATCCTTTTTGGAGATACTCTGAAGTCTTTGTACCTGACATGATTGGTTAATCTTCAAAGGAGGTTAAGGCAGGGAATTAAAAAAAAAAAAAAAAGATACATACGTTAAACATTTTAATTTAGCTTAAAACAGACAAATGTACATTCATTTGCCATTCTTTTGATGTAGGGCCAAGCCTTTTCTTTGACTATGGATCTGCTGATTGGAGTTCCACATCTTCTTTCTTCCACAAATCACATCCATAATGTATTTCTGTCACTACCAATTTCTGTTTCTTTCAGATGAAGAGGAAACTTAAGCACTTGCAGAGAAATCTGAATATAGAATTTTTATAGATGGTTCCTCCTACATCTTTTACAGTTGTCTCGCCCACACCTAATTTACCAGAAAAGTGTGTTTCAATGGCTTGCTTTTATCTGGTCTCCCGTGAAGCATATGTTAATAGCCATATGGCCAACTTTCTGTCCATGCATTGGCTCATAGTTTGACTTAATATGTTATTAGATTCTGTTATTTTATTGAAAGCAGAGATATTATAAACATGTTTGGAAACAAACTAGAAAAGATGCTACATGAGCTGCCAACCCATCCTGTCCCTTCTTGGTAGCAGAAGTGGTTCATTGTAGCCAAGAAAAAAGGGGGTGTTAGCCTTGCGGCCAGTTAGGGAGTCTCTGCTGTGCCACTTCACAGGACAGTGGACTTGGCATCCGCAGTCCATTCTGAAAAAAATCTAAATTGGTCTTTCTGATGTTCTGTAGTTGCTGAGTATTGTCATGTTACAATCCAAACATAAAAAAAAGGAATTAGTTTGGCATTATAACTTCTGTTAACACAAAAGAAACTATGAAAATTTAAAACTCACCGTTGATGTTTGGTTACCACATCAATATATGTTTATAGATGTGGAGATGTGTGTTTCCTTTTGTGAAACAAAAGTGCCTCAGATTCAGCATTCAGTCTGTTGATTTGGGCTCTTTCTTTCACTAATTATAATCATCTTTTGAAATCAATAAATAGAGCTCTGCAGCATCCTTTTTAATAGCTGCACAATTCTTTCTTTCAATGTAAGAACCATAATTTATTTATTCGGATTCATATGAAACAAATCAGTTTGTTTATTGTTCTTGCCACTGGCAGTACCAAGGTGAGCACCTGTGGAGAAAGGCTTTGTGTGTGTGTGTGTGTGTGTGTGTGTGTGTGTGTGTGTGTGTGTGTG